CGACTCGGGGTGCGACGGCGACGGCGTGTGCCGGAAGGTGCGGCAGCGGCGGGTGGCGGGCGAAGAGGGCGGCGGCGGCGGCGGCGGCGGCGGCGGCGGGAAGAAGAAGAAGAGGAAGAGGGTCGATCTGCGTGAGCTCAACGGCTGGCAGTGGGAGGCGAGTGAGAAGTTTGACATCGAGCGCATTCTCGACAGCAAGGTGGAGACGGTCGGCAAGGTGCTTGCGCCCTCACACTCGCACCTGCCCTTGCTTATTGCCACTCCATCGCTCACGTGCCCGACCACCTCTCTTCTCGCCTCACAGGGCAAGAAGCGGGTCGAGATGACGTACTACTTGATCCTCTGGAAGGGGTACCCGCCCGACGTCTCGACGTGGGAGCCAGAGTCACAGATCCATGACGACTTGATCGACGCGTACGAGGCGGAGCTCGATGCGGCGTCTGAGCTGGAGGCGGAGGAGGCGGAGGAGGGCGAGGAGGGCGAGGAGGAGTGACTAGCGCGCGTCCTCCGCCCCCGTGCGCGTGTGTTGAGGTGGTGCGAGAGCCATTTGCGTGCGTGAGCGGTGCGGCCGGGTGTGTGAATGTGAACCGTGGGCCACTTGTGTTGAGGGATGGCAACCCATGTGGGTGCCTATGTGTTTCTTTCGAGCTAACGCACCTTGTTTTGCAGTTTCTATGCCGTGCTATTCACTTCCAAAAATCGACCCCCGGGACCCCGACCGACCTACAAGACGGGCGATGACGGTCACACAGGAGCGACACACAGAACCACAAGACAAGACACTCAGCCAACGGGGCGGCTGCCACACATCCTGAGCGAACTTCCCTAGTCACCAGGGGTCAGTCCCGCGCGACCTCGGGAACTAGCCGGGGCAGTCGGAGAAGTGGCAACTCCGTGCACTGACGGTCGGCCGTCAGAAAACACGCCTGCGTGGATCGCGTCACACCAATCCTCGCTACCCAACGCGGCCAAAGGATATCCACCTCGAGAACCTCGAGAGAGAACCTAGTCACCCGCGGCCGGACTCCATCCGGCACGCGTCGCTGGGCGCTCAGAGCTGCGTCCCCTGCTCGCCACCCCGACGCCCAAGGCGCCCGAGCGAACGACAGGCGGCACGCGAAGACTGATTGCAATCCCGCCGACCGCCAGGCGTAAAAGAAAGAAAGAAACAAAACAGGCAACCCAAGGGAGGGATGGGAGGACGGCACGCCGCCACCACACAGGGATTTTAAGTAAGGAGAGGACCGTGGTGCTCGCCAGGTTTTATTAAATGAACTCGGGGGCACGGGACGCGGCACAAACGGGGCACAAACGCGTGTCGTGCGCCCGCCTGCGCTTCACACACACACACACACTGATTGATTGATTGATGGGAAGGCGAAACACAGTCCGACCAACGAAAGAAAGACCGCTCAAGGGACCATTGGGTTTGTACTATTAACAACGAAGGCGCTCTCAAAAAAAAGAAAAGAAAGAAAACAGACAACCCAAGGGAGGGATGGGAGGACGGCACGCCGCCACCACACAGGGATTTTAAGGAGAGGAGTGTGGTGCGCTAGCCGTCGCCCACCCTAGGGGGTCTGCCTCTTCCTATCTCTTTTCGCAGTCTCTCGCCGATTCTCGCTGCAACCTTCATGCCACCTCGCGGCCGTCCCACTCTCGTCGTTCTCTCCCTTGTCACTTCCTCCTCTGTCGCGTTATTCTCTTCTGCCTCGTCCTGCGCCGCCGCCGCCTGCCGTTCCCTTGTTCTCTCGGCTTCTTTCGCCTTTCGGCGCAGCTCCGCCCTCCTTGCTGCATATCCTGGCCCCTCGAGTCTATCGAGCTCCCCTCGCGCAAGGACCACGTTTCTGACTCCCACTCCGATCATTTGCCTACAGGTCATGTTGTTGCTCAGGTCCACTCTCTCTTCGAACACTCGTGCCTCTACGGATGATGCCGGCGCTGGGGTCCCCTTCGGATGCATCGTGACATCTGACAACTGAATTTCCACTGGTTCGTTCTCCTCGGAGTCATCTTCTCCGTCCTCCTTCCGTTCGGCTCTTCGCTCGGTACGTTCGGTGTGGCTCACCCTCCATGCCGTGAACAGGCGCTTTATCCACCCTATATTCTTCTCTCGTTCCTCTGCCCGTGCCTTGGTCTTGTCGTTGTTTCGCACCCATGTCTGTATGGCAATCGAGGCTGCCTTCCCCACTACCTGTAGTTCACTCGTCACCTCTTCCGCGAGCTCCCTCCTCTTTCTTTCGGGTATGGAGTCCGTGAGTGCGGGTAGCGTGCAGGCAATCACGGGCGCTATTTTGTCGTACTCCTCTTCGGCGAGCGCTCCAAATCTAGACCCTTTCGCCTTTAAGGAGGCTGCCCTCGCTCGTCTCAGGAATGTGGCGGTGTCTTTTGAGTCCGGCGCCTCCCGTTCAACTCTTGCTGTCGCCCTCGCTGTGTGTTTGTCGAGCTTCCGCATGAAGTGGCGCGCCTCTTCCTTATGACCGCAGCGAATATGTTCACACCTTGAGCGGAGGCCAATTGATTCGCGAGACTCCGGCAAAAGGGGGGTTGGCAACGGGCTTTTGCGGACCCAAGCCTTCAGCTGGTGCCAAAACGTACCAAAACGTCCGTCCCGTCGACCAAATACGCGGTCGGTAGAAATGGCTTGCTTGCAAGAATGGGATGCCGACAGGCGTCAGGCGGCGCATGCCGAGAAGTCGCTTGCCGTGCGGGAGCTCGTGCGCCTCTCCCTGCGCGTGCAGTCCACGGGCGTCGTCGCGGAGCTTCATCTCGACACGGCACTGGTTGCTCCGAGCGGCAGCGGAGCTGATCACGAGCGACGAATTCGCCGGGGATGCCAGGCAACAGATGGGCGCGCAGATAATTGGCGTGGCGTCCTAAACAACGCGACCGACGAGCATGCTCAACTGCTGCGCGACGCTCTCTGCGACCCCGACTTTTGTATGCGCTTTGCCATTCGCCGCCGCATTGGCTCAGGGGGCACAGTCCGCTTGCAGTGGCTCTTCCGCACGAATAGCGTTGTTGGCCGCTGCGGAATCGGATCGATCCCATGGAGGAGGAGGGCGCGGTCGGCCAGCGCAGCAGGCGGAGTCCCTCCCCGCGCCGGAGCCCCCCTGCAGTCGAGGGAGTCCTCGTTGGCGATGAAGGTGGCGACATCGAATCGCGGCCGACACACGTCACGGGAGGAATGGGCGATGAGCGGGAACGATGCGCGCTACGACGCCGACTCCGCCGTGCTCGTGGCCGCAGAAAGCCGCGCTCCAGGAGCACGCCAAGATGCAATGGCTCGCTTGCTTCGATTCAGCTCTCTCGGCAGCAGAAGTGGGGCTGGAGCGGGTGGGGGTGGATGCCGATTGAGGAGCAGGTGCGCAGCTGCGCCCTGTGGCAGCTGCGCCCTGTGGCAGCTAGTCGAGGGACTTGGTAGTTGTGACCCCCCTGAGTGAGGACAGGAGAGAGAGAGCGTTTTGTGGTGTTTGTTGGTGTACGCAATAACGGGACAGGGTGGTTGTTCTCTCTATCTCCTCTTCTAGCTCTTAGCATGAGCTGCGCCCGGTGTCCGACCCCCTTTTGCGCGGCAACACCTTAAACTTTTAGGCCCTCCATCCAAATTCGGGTCGGAGCGTAGCGGAGTGGGCCCCGAGTTTGAAAAAGGGCGACGGACGCTTGCGTCCTAGCCTCCAACAACGCCTCCCCGGCGCAGAGGGGCCCCCGGAGGGATGCTCAACCGCTCCACGCCACGCCGCTCGCGGCGGTCCTCTTCCCAGCTCCGCTGAGGGCCCCGGCGTTATTTCCAGCGCTTTTAGTGCACCCGGCAACCTCAGCAAAGCAAATTTTTTGCGCGTACTTTGTGCTGTCGGTCGGCGGGCGCGAGGGGTCTGCGCCTACACGCGCGCCTACCCGCTCTCTTCCGGCCGCAGCGCAGCGCAGCACCCGCCGCCCGGCGACACTGGACATCGATGCCAGGTGCGTCGTCGTGGCTCGCGGCCCTCGGCTTCCTGGTCTCAAGAGCAGCATGTGTGCCGACGTGCCCGGTGGCTCTCCCATTTGACTGGGTGCGGCCCGCCTATGCCTTTCCATGGCGCGGGAGCGACGCTGTTTGGTCGTTCACGCGCGTCTTCCCCGAGCGCAAGCTGGTACTATGCACTGTGCCGGGAGCAGGCTCAACACCGACCCGCAACTTTGTCAACGCGCTCGCCTCTGTGCTCTCACACGGCCGCTACAACGCATCAGTCCTTCCCTACAGCAAGGCCCACCCTGAGATGCAGCAGGCGCCATGGCTCCACCCGCTCGAGATGATGCCGCGCGAGGAGGTCGAGCGCATCGCCTGCGACAGCACCTGGACGCGCATTGCACTGGTTCGCAACCCGTTTGCCCGCTTGCTCTCAAAGTTTGCGGACAAGATCGTGCGGCACGGGTACGAGACCAAGCCCAGCGCCGACTCAAGCCGCAACGACATGCTCTTCCGACCGCCCGCGCGGATCGAGGACGGCCTCAACTTTAGCGCCTTCACGCAGCGGCTCGCGGCGGTCAACCAATGGGAGAGCAACGCCCACCGCCGCCGGCCGAGGCGGGCGCGGCCAGACGGCAAGACGAGTGGCCGCGAGGGGTCGGGCGACAAGGACGTGCGGCCCGATGGAGAGGCGCATTACGTCGACGAGCACTTTCGCGGCGGCTCCAACTTTTGCGGCATGCGCCACGTCCCGTACCGCCTCATCCGGTACGAGTCCCTCGGGGACGGGCTGCGGCAGCTCGCCGCGCAGCTCGGCGTCGGCAGCGACCCCACGATAGCGCAGCAGCTGGATGACATACTCCCGCACAATCGCTGCCTCGAGGCGGCCAAGCTGCGGAAGTACTACACCGCCTCCGACGTCGTCCGCGTGCGGCGCTACTTTCACGAGGACTTTGTGCGGTTCGGCTACTCTCCGCAGCTGCCGCCGGCGTGCAACGACAGTGCGGTTGGGAGCGAGGCGTCGCTCTCCCTCACCCTGCCCACGCGCTGCTCGAGCCCGAGGGCCGTAGCCAACCCGCCGCCCGGCTGCAAGCCCAAAAGGAAGGGGAACGGGACCGCCGCGCGCCGCGCCGGCCCGCTCCGCCAGTACTCTGTCCGAGAGAAGAAGGCGATGCGGAGGTGAAAAAAATGTTCATTTTCAAAAGCAAAACACGACGCTCTGCGGTTGGTGCACCCCTCACACTAACACATTCCCCTCATCGCCCCCTAACACCGCTTTTTCGGTGGGCCTTTGCGGCAATGAATAAAAAATTCATATAAGCCTTTGGCTGAGTAACTTGACAACTTACTTGAGTACTTTCGCATTGGACCTGCAAGCTAGTATCTCCGCATTTTCTCCCCCCTGTCATCCGCCTGGTCCCTCCGTAATCAGCCCCACGCGCCTCTCTTTGCACGCCATCCCAAGCTCATCCAACCCCCGGCTCGAGAGGCGCGCGTTGCCATAGATGCTCAGCTCCTTGAGCTTTGGCAGCGCACCGTTCAGTATCTCGGCGGCGAGGAGGTTGGCGCTGTCGTCTCCAATATCGTTGAGGTTGAGGACCAGCAGCTCGAGCTCTTTGAGCACCCCGGAGCGAATCACCGAGATGAGCTGCTCGCACTCGGCGTCTGCCCACCCAAGCTCGCGCAGCCACAGTTCCGTCACGCAGCCCAATCGGCTCTCATACGCGTGCAGGTAGAGGGCCTGCACCTGAGCGAGGTCAGCCTTTTTCGAGGTGAACGACTTGGTCTCGAGCTGCCTGTCGAACTCGGCGGGCGTGAGTGGCGGGGCGCGGCCAGCCTTGCACTCCTTCTTCAGCTCGTCGAGGTTGGAGGCCTTGTCATACTGGCCGAGGTCGAGCACCTTGCCCGACGATTTGATGAGGCCGGCGACCGAGGCCTCCTCGAAGCACCACCCACGCCCCGCATAGTCCGCGGTGTTTGCGACCATGCCGTCCGGGAAGTCGAAGCCGTTCGGATAGCCTTCGGGCAGCTTGGTGAGCTTGATCACCGTCGTCTCCTGGTGCGAGTACCAGTCGCCCATGCTGTGGAGCGCCCTTGTGAAGAGAGCTTGCTCCTGTGTCGTCCGCGCCTCACCACACTTGCCCTTCTGATGGGCCGAGCAGAAGTCAATCATCACCGCGTACGTCTGCAGCTCGTCCGGTGCATCGGCGCTGTCATGTCGATCGTCGACTATCATGCGCAGCGCGATGGCAAGGAGGCATAGGTTGTCACCGTGGGGGTCGGGATGCCACGGAGTGAGCCACGCGTGACTGACGACGATAATCCGAAGGGAGTTGCTGCTGCCAATCCTGAGCCGGCGCAACGTCTCCAACGAGACAAACGCCGAGTCCGGTAGGTCCTGCCTGCGCCCAAGGCGCCCGCCGTCCTGTGCGAGCGCGATCAGATAGCGCGCATCCACCAGCCGTATCGGTGCGGCACCCATCTCAGCGTCCACGAGCAGCTGCGGCTCGAGCTCCGCCCCGCCAAGATGAACCCACACGAGCTCCGAACCGTCCGCAAGGTTTGGCAGCACGCCAGCAGGCGTGCCGTGCGCAGGCGTGTGTTGCGCCTCGCCCTCCGCCTGGGCTGGTCTCGTCATGAGGGCCCGTAGGTTCATCAGTGCGACGACCCATGCGAAGAAGATATCGCCGGCGGGACCTCCTATTTGGCGCACCGCCTCTGGCGTCATGTCTGGCGAAGCAAGGATAGCGTCGACGCGCTTCGCCTCCCGCTCACTCACGTCCTGCCAGCCAATCGTGTGCAGCGACCGTATGAAGCCCGTGTCCGAAAGCATCTTCAGGATGCTCCCCCATTTGTCGGGCTGCGGCACAACCTTGAGCGTGGCGATGCACGTGAACACGTCTTGCATCATCTTCGGCGGCGTCTTCATAGCCTTCACCTCCATGATGTCCATCTTTCTCACCTTATTGAGGCCGGCGAGCGCCTCGCTCAACGCTGCCTGAGCTTGCGCCATATCGTCTGGATTTGGAGTGGGCGTGGGCGCGCTTGCCTCAGCCTCCGTCTCACCGCCCGTCTCGCCCTGCGTCGTCGTGTAGACCTTGAACTTGATCCATACACCGACCAACGCAATCACCCACGTGAGCATGATTGGTGCGGCCGTCGAGAACTTGCTCACCGCCTGCGGGGTCATATCTGGCGTGGCGAGAATGTCTTGCACGCGCTTGATGTCTGCCTCATCCAGACACTCAGGGGCAATGCATTGCAGCTGATCAAGGAAGTAAGCGGTGTTGCTCATCGACTGTTTGATGGATTTCCAGATATGAGGCCCGGGCTGTGGCCTGTCACCCTTGAGTATGGAGACACAGGTGAGGATGTCGAGCAGAGGCTTCGGCAGTGCCTGCATACTCTTAAGTTCCATCAACTGCCCCTTACTAATACCATCCAGGTTTATGGCTGCCTCTTTGAAATCTGCAAACGCATGCTCCAAGTCGACCCTCGCAGCCGCGGCTGCAATGAAGGCATCACGCGAGACGGTTTCAGGTTCAGGCACTGGCGCCTCGGCCTCAGCTTCAGCTGCCGGCGGATCTGGCTCAGCCTCGGCGGGTGCATCAGCCGCAGGCTCCGCCTCCGGCGCGGGTGTGGGCGGCTCCTCCGGTGCCGGCGCCGGTGCAGCTGGCTCAGCCCGCGCCTCGTCCTTTTCGGCGGTTGCTGGCGCAGGGGCAGGCTTCTTCACGGGGGCGTCGTCTGCCTTGGCCCCACCATCAGTCGAGGCACCGCACCCCATGTGCTGCTGCTGCTGCTGCTGCTGCTGCTGCTGCTGCTGCTGCTGCTGCTGCTGCTGCTGCTGGTCTCTCTTCGACTTTTGCGAGGCCGCCAACACGCGGAATTTGTAACCGCGAAGCCACAAATTCACCATGTGTCGTCGGAGCTGCTGGCCGGACGCCATATGCCGTCGGAAGCACGGCAGGACGTCACAGACGGCTTGAGGAGAAAGGGCGACTGAGTGGGAACAGACCCCCTACCCGGGTAGGAGCCGAACCCTCGATCGCAAAAGGCTGCCATGATGGCGATACTCAGCGTCGCGCTGCCCACGACGCGGCCACCATTTACGCTGGTACCCACCATGCGGACACCAGCATCACCGCTGGCGACGCTTCCGTCAGGTTCCACGCCAGCGTCACCGCTGGCGACGACACCGGCGGCTTCCACCTCCGCCCTCCTTCTCTCCGCCGCACTCGTCGCCGCGGCCTCACGCTCTGCCACATGGCCGCCTGCCGCAGTTCGACTCGGACTGGCAACGCTCACGCTCGCTGACATCCGGCCTACAGCATCGCGTCAGCTGTCCGACGCGGAGGCGGCTCTGGCGGCCAGCCGAGAGATGGCGGTCGAGAGATGGGCGCGGCTTGTGCGTGGCAAGGTGCTCGGCGAGCTACTCGGCCTGGCAATCGCCGTGCGTGCGCCCTGCTCCGGCGCGAGCCTCGTTCTCCTCTCTCACCTGGGCTTCTGGGGCCTGGGCGCGGCAAACGCGCGCGTTGACGCCGCCGCCGGGCCTGCGCCGCTGCCACCGCCTCTCGCAAAGGTGATCGCCACCGCGGACGCCGTCGTGCTGAGCTTCGCAGCGCTCGGTGTGCTCGGGCCCACCTCCAGACTCCGCGCGGCAGGATCGGTTCTCTTCGCAGTGGCAGCGGCGGCCGTCTCGGCGGAGGCTGTGAAGAAGGCGGCGGTGGCTCGGCGAGGCGCAAGCACCCTGCGCACGGGTGCGGTGGCCACCGCTCAAGACGGAGCACGCCGCACGGCTGCTCCGCAGATGACTGCCACCACAAGCACGACGGTGCAGACGGAAGCCGACGCGGCGGCGACGAAGATCTGGGCGGAGCAGTGGTGGCCTCTCGGCTTCACGGCACACACGAGCAGAGCTGCGCCGGTCGCGGTGACGCTCCTCGGGGCGCCTCTTGTGGTGTGGTGGGACGACAGCGCCGGCGCATGGCGGTGCACGCTCGACCGCTGCTCGCACCGCCTCGCCCCTCTCAGCGAGGGCCGCGTCACTAGCGACGGCTGCATCGAGTGCCCCTATCACGGCTGGGCCTTTGACGGGCAAGGGCAGTGCGTGCGTGTGCCGCAGCAGGAGGAGGGGTCCGCGCCGTGCCGGTCGAGGCGTGCGGCGGTGCTGGCGCTGCCCATCATGGAGGCGCAGGGTATCATCTGGGTGTGGGGCGGAGGGCTCTTCGAGAGCGCGGCGGTGACCCCGCCGGAGGAGAGCGGCCCTGCGCTGGTCGATGTGCTCGAGCGGCCCGGGGTCGAGCACTCAGACTATAGCCGCGACCTGCACATGGACTGGTCGACGCTGTGCGAGAACGTGATGGACCCGGCGCACCTGCCGTTCACGCACCACAAGACCATCTCCCGTCGCTCCAAGGCCGCGCCGATCTCCTTTGGCGCTCTCGAGAACTTCTCACACACCGGCTTCACCGCGGTGCGCCAGACGGCGGGAGGACCGGGACGGCTCACGTTTCGCGCGCCGCTCCTCGTCCTCGCCGAGACGCACCGCGGCCCAGATTCGTACTCGGACTGGAACGTCGTCTACGCCGTCCCTACCGAGCCCGACCGCTGCCGCCTCCTCGTGCGCGTGGTCTTCGAAGTGAGCAAGCTCCCGATCCCGCTGAAGTGGGTCCTCTCCTTCGCCTTCACCAAGCAGCCGACCTGGTGGACGCACCTCGGCACCCATCAAATCCTCGAGGACGACAACCCCTTCCTCCACGCGCAGGGCCACGCCTACCGCGCCGGCCATGCCACGAAGCTCGCGCCCGACTGGAAGCGGCGCCTCTACATGCCAACCGCCTCCGACGGCATGGTCGTCGCCTTTCGCCGTTGGCTGGACGCGTACAGCGATGGCGAGGGCGCTCTCTGGTCGCGCGTCGCGCCGACGACAGAGACGCCGCTGCGGCGGGCCAGCAAGGAGGAGGTGCTCGAGAGGTATCTCAGCCACGTGGCGCACTGCAGTGCATGCTCCGGCGCGCTGCGCAACATACGCACGACCATGCGCCTCGCCGAGGGAGGCGTGGTGCTAGGCCTGCTGCTCGCTGCACTTTTGCGAGCGCGCCCCGCCGCCCTGGCCCTCGCGGCGCTGAGCTTCGGCGTGGCGCGATTGTGCGCGGTTCTCGACGCCAGGATGCGGGTGGGACGGTACCCGCCGCCGCGCAACGTGTCGTGAACTCTCGTGTGCACATGATAAAAAAGCGAAGCCGGAGACGCAGACGGCAAACACAAGCGGCCGCGAGCACTGCTTCACGCGTCACCACAAGTGTGTAGCATATGGATTCTCCTCCCGTGCCTCCACGAGAGTTCAAGTATCAAGACACAAGACTCAAGTGGTCAAAAGAGCGAGCAGACCGCAACCGAGAACAAAACGTACTCCACCCCCCACCATCTCCCAAGACAGTCGTAAGCGAGAGAGGCGCCCAGTACGGGAGCGCCTCACGCGCGCGCCTTGCCCTTCCCCTTGCCCTTGCCGCCGCCGGCCGGTCCGTGGACGAGCATGCGGACGGCCTCGCACGGGAAGACGCCGTCGGTGAGGCGGATCGGGTTGCGCGCCGCGCGCATCGCCGCATGGAGCTTGACGATGTTCTCCTCGAGCGAGTCGCGGAACGCGTAGCGCTTGACGAGCACGTCCTTGGTCTGGCCGAGGCGGTGGATGCGGCCGGCGGCCTGCACCTCCATCGCGGGGTCGAGGCAAGGCTCCATCAGGTAGACGCGCGTCGCGGCGGTGAGCGTGATTCCGACCGACCCCGTCTTCATCGTGATAACAAAGACCTTGGCCGCCGCCTGCCGGCCGCCCTGCGAGGACTGGAAGTCGCGGATCGCCGCGTGGCGCTTCGGAATGGTCGTCGAGCCCGTGAACTCGAGCACCGCGAAACCGGCCTTCTTGAGCATCGCGCAGATGGAGACGTGCGCGGCGAGGACGTGCGTGAAGACGACTGCGTGCAGCGACGGCTCCGTCTTCCGCAGCGCGAGCAGGTCCGCGCGCAGAGCGCCGAGCTTGGTGCACTTGGCCGGGTCGCTGTGGTACTCGCGGTGCGAGCGCTCGGTCCAAAAGTTGGGCTGGGTAACGCCGCGGGAAGTGGGTGGGTGATCGATGTATGTGCACAGCGCCAGGAGGTCGGCTTGCGAGTAGGGTAGCTTGTCGTCCCACTGGCAGCGCGAGGGCCACGTCCCGCCAGCAGACGCGCTGGCCTATTCATGCCGGAGCGTGTGAAGAGACGCTGTTCGCACCTCGCTATGGCACCGACCGCTCGAGCAGCAACCTTGCCGTAGGCATTGGCGCACGTCGCGCGCAGCCTGCTGAGCTTCATGTCGATCGACACCGCCTGCGAGGCCTCCAGCCGAAACTGCTTCACGACAGCCGCCTTGGCCTTGTCGTAGACGCGTCGCTCGGTTGCGTTCATGGTCAGCCAGACAGTCGACACATCGCTCTCGGGCAGCGCGAGCGCAAGCTCGCCGCCGATGCGCATCGACTTTGTGTGACGGATCATGAGCTGCTTGAGCTTGGCGACGAGGGCGGGGCCGACGCCGTTTTCGCAGAGGCGCAAGCCTGCCTCGTACTGGCCGAGCAGCGCCGCTCCCGTCCGGAGCTCTTGGACCGAGGTGGTAAGCGGGGTGCCTGTGAGCAGCCACACGTGCCGCGCGCCGATGCGAAAGAGCTGCCCCGCCGCGGCGTGGCTGAAGCCGCGGCTGAGCGTGTGCGCCTCGTCGATGATCATCCGATGGATGGGCCGGCGAGAAGCGGGCGACCCGTTGAGCGCACCTTGCCCGCTGGTCGCGGCGCACAGCAGCACATCTGCGCCGGCGATGGCATCCACCCGCGCCTTGCCCGAGCCGTGGACGTTGGCGACCTTGAGCTGCGGCGCGAACTGCTTGAGCTCGTCCATCCACTGGCCGAGGAGCGAGACGGGCGCGAGGATGAGCGTCACGCCCCACGTGCCCGGCGCCAGCTTCTTGACCGCCGGTCCCTCGTCGTCCGACTCGTCCATCGGCTTGCGGCACTCGGCAGCCGTCGGCTTGTCGCCGCCGGCGAGTGGGTTTGCGAGGATCAGCGAGATTGACACCATCGTCTTGCCCATCCCCACCTCCGACGTGAGCCAGCCGCCGCGCACACGAAAGTTGTCGGTGCGGCCGGCGATGGTTTCTGCCATAGATGGCTTGCGCACGCCCTCGAGGTTCGGGTCGCTCGACCGCTCGACGCCGAGCATGAAGGCGAGGCACTGCTTCTGGTAAGGCTTTAGCCGCACGGAGGAGAGCAGCCCTGCTGGCTCGGCCGCCTCGACCGGCCAGACCTGCTGCACCTCCTGCATGACGCGCTCGCACGACCAGCCCGCCACCGGCGCTCGCGCGGCGGCGGAGGAGGAAGCGGCAGCGGAGGAGGAAGCGGCGGCGGAGGAGGAAGCGGCGCCGGGTGCCGGCGGGGCACTCGCCGCCGCCACGGCGGCGGCTGCGCGCTGCGCACGGCGCGCTCGCCACGCCGGGTCCGAGTGAACCGCCTTGCAGTGCACCGCCCACGAGCCGCACGTGCTGGCCGGGGCATCACAGACGAAGCAGTAGCAGTTGCTGCAGTGCATCGCCTCGGTGCCGCTCCCCAAGACGAAGGGCTTGGTTGCGCAGTTCTCGCGAGAGTGCGGGAAATCGCTCAGCGCGAAGGCGCCCGTGGTGCCAACGATGGAGAGATCCTCGTCCTCGGCGGTGCCCGCTGCCGCCTCTGCTGCGGGCGGCGCCGGCGCGGGCTGGACAACCTCGCACTCGTCGGAGTCACTGTCCAGATGTGACGTGCCCGCGTCGCTCGGCTGCGGCTGGGAGGTGCCTGCATCGCGTGCCGGCCCGTCGAGCAGCTCGCAATCACTCGAGTCGCTGTCGGGCGGCGCCGACGCCTTGCGCTTGCGCGGTGATGAGGGCGGGGTGATGAGGTTGATGCAGTCCATGTCGCTCTTGGGATCGAGGACTAACGACTAACGTCGGGGCGCGGCCAGGGCGAAAAAGAAATCGCGCGCGCCCGAGCTCAAAAAGTAGCAGGAAGGGCTTAGAAGGCTCTAAAAGGGGCTCCCAGGCACTAAATTTGTCCGCCCGGCCGATGCAAATGTCGTTTTGGGTGTCCGTCCACTGAAAACGGACTCCGGCAAGCACTTTTTTGGCGCCGTGGCCGTGAGTATGTGTGTGTGTGTGTGCTCGGCGCGCGCAGCGCGCGGAAAATCGTAAATCTGTGCCATTTTAAGCGTTTTCCACGGCCTCTCGGTCTCGCTTGCTGCGCGTGCGTGGAGCATGCGTGTGTGCGGGTGGGGGGGGTATGGTCGCGGTGCCAGGGCCCTGACCCTACCATACCCTACCCCCTAAAAACCTCGAATCCTAGGACCGACCGACCGACCCGCAGGCTGCAGGAAGAAATCAGCATATGTGTCTCTAGATTTCTTGTGCCACCACTTGAGACTAGAGTGAGGCCCTTGACGGGCCCCGCCCCCAATGGGGCGGGGTTGAATGGGCTAGCACTGGCGTGGCGTTGACATGAGCACAAAGTTGCTAATGTGCGTAGACAAACACAGAGTAGGGTTGAAATCGTCCACGTAAGGCTTAGGGAGTGCTTGGGGTGGCCTCAGGCATCCCCAAGGGAGTCGCAGCGGTGCCCCATAAGCAGCTTAGCGATTGTCGAACCTCGAAGCGCGTTCGTTTGAAGAAAAAGGCACACGGTACTATCGGGCCACCGGAGAGTCACCGGTAAACTTCGACACTTTGAGGGGTGAGAGCGTGCATTATTGTGGCATATCATGTCACATAAGGTCGAGCTTGACCGCAGAAGCATCAAGAAGCGGATACTCCAGCTCGACTGTGCCGGCAAACTGCCTCCTCACGCCGGCCGGCTGCCAGCAGCCGTCGCGGCCCGTGGCGTGCTCCAGAGAGGGAGAGAGGTCGAGTCCGCATGGCTCAGGCCGGCCAGAAGGTGTGTGGCGACGGCACCGTGGCAGGAGTGCGGAGAAGAGCTCGCCGAACGCGAGCAGCGGAAGGCCGAAGTGTGCCAGCGCGAGAGCCTCGCGAACGGGTGCAGAAGGAGCTCGCCGTGACACGATGCCGGGCGGTGGTGGTGCTCTGGCGGCTGTGCACAGTGGGAAAGGTCAGGCTGCAACAGCGTAGCACGATGGTAGTGCCCCGCTGCAGCCTGGCCTGACATGCACAGGGCGAACAGAGACCTTGCTATCGCCTGGCGCTCGTCTGGGCAAACTTTGACCGCCGCCCGGCTCGCCACGAGCACGCAGCGACAAAATGATGACCGTGTCGAAGTTGAGGCTGGTCGAGAGGAAGAGGCTGCCGTGCGAGCCGGCATGTGGCTGGCTCGGCGTGGACAGCCGGCGGCGACTTTTTGCCGAAGAGCGTGCCTGCCGAAGAGCGAGTCTGACTCAAAGTGCACGGAGTGGGCGCCGCCGACCGTCGGGAAGAGTCCGATGGGTGCCAGGAGGATCCATAGAGCGATGAAGGCGCAAATTGCGCCGCCGAAAGCGGCGGTAGAGGCCAGGACGTGCGCGTGGGCCGGTCGGGCCACGACCCGGGGCCAGCGATCGAGGGCCGCGGGGCTCGCCCCGCCGGCCGAGCGGTGCGAACGGCCGGTCGCCCGCTTCGGGTTGGACCCGCCGGGCGGTCCGGCGGCGGATTGCATGGCCGGGCGGGCCTCCGGGAGGCAGGCGGGGCCGCGACAGCGGCAGGGCAGAAAATCCCATTCGGAGAGCGTGTGGTCCGACCCCTCTGCTACTTTCAATGATAGGGAAATCGCTAGAGAGCATGGCCGACGATCAGGCTGAGGCCTTCACCGACGCGCTGTGCGAGAGCGCCTCGATCGACACGAGTGCCGCCGCTGCCGATGCCGAGGAGGGCAACGCCGCGATCGCCGCCTTTGCCATGGCGTCCGAGGCCGCCGTGAAGGCGGCCAGTGGCCGCGGCCGAGGGCAGAAGTGGATTTGCCGCAGGTGCGGGGCGGAGAAGACCTACTGCGCTGCCAAGTGCTTATCGTGCGAGCGTCTGCAGCTCCTCCGGCCGGAACCGTCGGCCAGCTCGTATGAGACGCGGCGGTCGCTCGAGACGGCGCCGGATGCCGCGAATCGCGTGCGCACGCGCGGCGGCAAGGACGACCGCGTCGGGCGCCGGTTCGTCGCGTCGGGCCCTTCGCGGCGCTGGGAGAAGCGGTGGACGGACCACGGGCACCTGCGCGTATGCAAGTGGCAGCGAGTTGAGGAGAATTAGTTTAGTACTCGTGTGGAGGCGCGCGCACACGCGCATAATAAAAAGGGCGCGCTCGGGCCCACAGGCGCTGCGGTGCCCCGATTCTTAGTCTAGTTACTGTCAAGGTCCCGACCCAGGGAGGTCACAAATGGCGCACAGTGTGGCCACGAGCGACCCACACACGCACACGAGATGACGGGACGCACGGTTCTCACGGTAGGGGTAGCTCTCTCCCTCATAGACAGAGTGTCTCTCTACGCCGTCAGATCTCCTGACTCGCCCTGCGCAGCGACGCACACCGCGGCCGCGGCGCGCGGGGCCGCGCCGCGTGCATTCCCGACTGTCAGCGGTTCGCCGCCGACTCGATCGCGGCGCGCGTCTGGTGCGGCAGGTAGGTGCGCCCCTCGAGCGCAGACCACTCGCATCTGTGCAGCATCTCCTGCAGCTGCTCCGAGCCGACGCTGGCGAGGTTCTTCTCGTTTGTGTCGTATACGGAGCCGGTAGGGATCCCCTTCTGCGCCGCGCGGACCTGAAGGGCGGTTGGGGGAGGGGCAGGGGGGAGGGTGGCGAGGTGGCGCCAGTGCTGCGCCCACCCTCCCAAGGGTGGCTAGAGGTGCTGGGTGAAGGAGGGGGGGGGGGGTCGCCTGCGGCGTGCGCAGCAAGTTGATCATCGGGACGGGCGATCGGCGCGCAAAGTTGGCTGCGGCGCCCTCGCCGCCCATCCTCTCCTTTCCGTCCCGGAAGGCGAAGCCCGGGTGGAAGAAGACGAGCTGCAGCTTCTCCTCGAGCTTGAGCGAGGTGAGCGCCTAGTCAGCACCCGTTCGCCACTCACACACACTCATTCATCAGAGTTGGCCCGAGAGCTGCAGCCGCGAGCAATTAGCTGCACATGGTGACCAGTCGCTAGTGGTGCTAGTGGGGCGGCGCCTCGTTCAGCGAGTCTGCAAAGGCGTCGAAGCCTTCCGCCGATCCGGAGGTGAACTCTGGCGCGAGCAGGAGGACGGTGGCGACCTAGTGAAAGCATCGAGGGCAAATCCGACCGCTGATCCAACTCGTGACGGCGAGCCCGAGGGCGGCGGAGGGCGGCGGCCACCTCGCGCTCGTCGACGCGGTCGAGCTCGCCGACCTGCCCCAAAGAAGAAGAACAAGGTGGGCAGGACACGACAACGGGGGGTGTTGAGGAGGGGCGGTGGGGCGAGAGCGACAAGGGGAGTGCGAGCTCGCCGCCGCCTGCTCCCAGAAGGCCTGGTAGAGCTGCTCGACGCTGGAGGCTCGCGTGATGGGGTAGGTGACGCCTCCCTGCGGCAGCCCCGCCTTGTCGACCGAGTGCGAGAAGGGGCAGACCTGCCGCACGCACACACACGAAACTGCGTCACAGACCTGGCGTGAGGCGAGAGGAGAGAGGCGCCTAGGCAGCGCGGCTGCGTGAGAGGAGGGGAAGCGCCGCCTTCATGTCGACGATGACCGCCTTGACCCACGCGTGAGTCGTGGCGAGCACCTGCGGGAAGGTTCCGAGAAGGTTCCGAGTCAAGAGCAGGCCTCGCTCGTCGAGTCGTGGCGAGCACGCCTGCTCGTCTGAGGCGGGAGGCGGAGGAGGAGGCGCGTCCGAGGCGAGGCGCGCCTCGAGCTCCGCGAACGGGTCGACCCCGCCAAAGTACTCGTCCTCCTCGGACGAGAGGCTCGAGAAGCCGCTCTGCGCGTGCCGCCGCAGCAGCATCGTCGGGTGCGGCGGCGGAGAGTCGGAGGCGGTGGGGTGGCGAGCGAGGCAGAGGACGTCGTCGCCGAGGTAGTCCGACAGCTGCGAGCACGAGCCAACATGCTGGAAGACGCGCTCAAACAGGGAGCCGTCCGCCGCGGCCGACCAGGCTGGGAATGCGAGCGCCGTGAGCGGTGCGGCGTCGTCGGTCGTGCCGATGGAGTGGGTAACGTACCAGAAATCGCGCATCGCCTCGGCAAGCCCGGTGGCGCCGCTCACGACCACGGCCGCATCGCTCTGTCCGTTGGCGACACACCACCGCGCGACCTCGGTCGCGGGATCGCTGGAACTGCAGCGCGGCGCGGCCCGCAGCGGCCGCTGTCGCGCCAGAAAGACGCGAGGCGCCGGTGAGAGCGCGGGAGAGACTGCGATGGCCGGATCAGTGAGGAGCAAAACGAGGGCTGCGGCTGCTCGCATCGATCAGCAGCGGATCGCGCGAGCGGTGGCACAGACAGACAGACAGACAGACAGACAGACAGACCGACAACCGCAGATTGCGCGAGCAAGTGGCAGCGGCCAGGCCAAAAGAATTTTGCGAGCGGGACTCGATAGCTTTTTTCACTTTGAGGCAGACGACCAAGGGTTAGGGTGGGCGACGGCTAGCACCACACTCCTCTCCTTAAAATCCCTGTGTGGTGGCGGCGTGCCGACTGCCGTCCTCCCATCCCTCCCTTGCGCCTTGGGTTGGCCTGTTTGCTTGCTTTCTGTCTTTTTTCACTATTGCGTATTGGCCAACTCTGGCTCTGACCCCTATCTCTCATTTCCCAATTTTTTGCATGTGGCGTATTCGGCAAAAGCACGAGCCGTCCCGATGCCCTGGGCGCTTCTTGAGATCCTGGGCAGTCGACGACCTTGAGCGCGCCCTCTCTCGCCATGCGGTTGTACGCCTGCGTCGCACCAAAATGGCCAGGGCAAGCCTCCTCAGGCACGCTGCCGCGCACACAATCGAGAGTTGTGGCCTCGTCATAAAAGACGGGCGCGCCCTGGGAGCTGAGACGCCGAAAATTGCGCAAGTCCTCCAGCCGCGGCTCCAGGTGTTTGGCCTGTCGGAAGGGCGTGCAGGGTGTCGGTGCTTGCTGCTGAAAGTGCACGAACACAAATGATCGTGCAGGCTCAAGGAGGGGACTAGGCGGGGGTGCTGCTGGGACCAAAGGATGGATGGGACGCACTCCATCGATGAACATGGCGTCGCAGCGCTTCCTCGGGTGCTGACGCTCCCAGTCCGGCACAGTCTCGTTCGACAGCCCCACCACGAGCTTGAAGCGTTGGACGTACGTGTGTTCCATGAGCTTACCCTGCGGCAATGACCAAGGGTTGTCGTACATATCGAATGAGAAGACCTGAGCGCTTCGGACTGTCTCCAGGAAGAGCATCGAGCTGTGACCGGCCATGAAGCCGAGCTCACAGATCGTATTGATCTTCGAGCGCGTCGCGTAACGGCAGAGCCAAGAGTTCAGGAATCGAGTCTTCGTCTGGTTGTAGCCTTTGTCGAAGATGCCCCACTGGCCGTGCGCGCCATAGCCGACGCGTAGCGCCTTTGCCGCCGCTGAGAGCCTCTCGCCGAGCAGTTCTATCCGATCGCAGCCCTCAGCCGAGCACGCCTCGGGTTGTGGCAGCAGCGTTTGTGCTTCGATGAATGCACGGCCAGATGCGCGCTTCTCCCACAACGCCGAGACTCTTCCGGACCCTTGCATGCGCTCCATGGCGTGCGCATTGCGTTGCGCGCGTGGCAGAGTCTGCGCCAGCGAGTCGGCATAGCTGTGCTCGCCACATGCAAATGCCTGCTCAAAGCAAGCAAGAAGACAAGGCGCATACGGTAGACTGCCTGGACCGATCCCCACAGACATCGCGTGCGTGAAGACACGTGTAGCCTATTACAGTTCACGGCCTGTGGGCGGCTCTGTGTGCGTGTGTTCGTTCGCATCGTCGTTGTGACACGTGCCGCGACGGCCGCGTTCTAATTTCACGTTCACAGTTTGCATACGAATCTCTCATGCTAGGTTTAGCAACAAAGGCCAGAAATAGTATATTACCAAAAATATAGTGCCCTCTGAGAACCCTTACCTAGTGATTGAAGATCCCTCACACCATCATGGGGCGGCCCCACACGCGCCTCGGTGCAGTTCTGTCTGGTGTCACTGTATAGCGTTTGCGGGATCTCCAGCACCCCGGCTGTCCGCACACCGCAGGGAGTGTAGCGGTTGCAGCCAGGCCTGGGTTCACATGGCACCTTGTGGCCGGGTGGCAGCGGCATTCTCAGAGGGCGAAACGCGGGTGAATCCGGCGTCGCCGCAACTTCGTGTGTATTGCAATGGGAGGTGGCGCTTTTAGGCGGGCTGCGATCGAACTGCATGCACATGAGACAGAGACACATGCACAACAACACAACATGCACATGCACATGTATGTGCATGTGCATGTGCATGTGCATGTGCATGTGCATGTTGTGTTGTTGTGCATGCACAACAATCGCCAGAGGACGCGGGCACTCGCGCGCGCTTGTTCGAGTACCATCATCGGATGGACGCTGTCTTCTCCGTCCATGTTGGCACCCTTGTCGGCGCGCTGCCGTACGAAAAGGTGGCGCCCGGCGAATGCGTCACGCTTCATGGCTCGAGCGTGTGCGGCCTGCGCGTGGCGGAAGACCCGCTGGGAAATCTCGTCGCCGACGCGATGCGCTGGTCGGCACAGACGGAATGCGCGCTCGCGAATGGAGGGATGATTCGCGCAGCGCTACCAGCGGGCGCCGTCTCTCAGAAGGAGCTTGTCGAGATGTTGCCCTTCCAGAATGAGGTGACAATCGTGCGGCTGAGTGCGGCCGACCTGTTTGCGGTGCTCGAGGTCAGCATCTCCGGGCTCGCCGCAGTGACGGCCGTCTCAGCACCTCTTGGCCGCTTCCTCCAGGTCGCCGGCCTCCGTTTCGAGTGGTGGTATGAGTCGGGTGGCATCCCACTTGTGCATGCCGTGCAGCTCGAGGGTTCAGACGGCACACTGAGGCCGCTATCGCGCACAAACACCTCCGAGGTCACTTGTGCCGTGCCGTCGTTCCTTGCCAGCGGCGGCGATGGCTACTCGGTGCTCGGCACAAAATCCTCCACAGGGACCGGGTTGCAGACCGCGGTGGCGCTGGCCGACTACTTCGCGGCCGCCGCGGGCGTGCTTGACCCGCGGGTTGAGGGACGTATCAGCCGGATCGCAAAGCCGCGCTACCGCCCGGCGACGGTAAACATTGGGCTGCTTGCGCCGATGTTCTATCCCGACGGCACCATCGACCTTTCCACTACGTCGTGCCGCGCCGCCTTCCTCCTCGCTCTCAACGAGATCAACGACAAGCAAGACGGCGTCGCCGACACGCTGCTCCCCTTTACCCAGCTGCGCTTCGCCTACCGCGATTCGAAGTGTGACCCCATCTACGGCTTGCGCGGCGCCGTTGAGCTCTCGCAGAATGCGTTTGGCGATGGCGTCAGCGCCATCATCGGCGCGGCCTGCTCCTCCGCGTCCACCTGGGCTGCCACCGCTGTTGCCGACATGCCGATTCTCTCGAGCTCCGCAACGGCTGCCACGCTGAGCGACTCGACGCAGTACCCGTCGTTTGCGCGTGTTGTGCCGTCAGACAACTTTCAGACGCAGGCGATGGTCGACCTCCTCGTCAACCTGTGGGGTTACACGAGGGTTGCCCTCGTGAGCAGCACAGACGCGTACGGCACGGCGGGCGCGAAATCGTTCACCCGGTCTGCGCGCGCGGAGAGTCTCGAGATTCTCGCTGACGTGCGTTGCACGGATGGCGAGGCGGACCTTTCGCTGCAGTTGTCGACGCTTCGCAACTCGGGCGCGCGCGTCATCGTCATCATATGTCCCGACCCCCCCAGCGCCAGCCGCTTCCTCGCCGAAGCGTACGCCGCCGGCATTGGCGGCCCTGGCTACTTGTGGCTCGGAGCCGATGCTGTGACACAGCCGCAGACGTTCGACAGCGTTGAGCTCGCGCCCAGTGCGACGCAGCGCGAGCGCATTGCACAGGGCTTCTTTGGGACGACCGCCGCAGAACCGAGTGGCACGAGGTACGACAATTTTCTTACGCGGCTGCGCGCAATGCCGTCGACGAGCGACACCACATCCCCCGGCAGCTGCAATTTGCAGTTGGATGACGAAGGAGGTTCGTATGTGTGGGCGGGGGATCACGACGGCAATGCGAGCACGCAGCTCTTATGCGCCGGGTTCAACGCGACAAGCATCTCGGAGTGGGCCGCATATGAATACGACGCCGTGTATGCGCTCGCGCACGCGATCCACGATCTGCTCGAGGTTCAGCAGAAGAGCGCCATCGTCGGCGCCGAGCTGATCGCCGCCCTAATGGAGCGCGTCAGCTTCGAGGGCGTGACGGGGCTCATCGATCTCCACACCGGAGACTCGAACGGTGTGTATGGAGCCCACTCATACCGTGGCGACCGGCAGGTAGGCGTCGTCTACGATGTCAAGAATGTTGACGCCTCGGGGCAGCTCGTGACCATCGGCAGGTGGGCGCCGTGCGCCACCTGCTCGTTCGCGCAGCGATGGGAACAGGTTGCCCCTCTGGTGTACTCCACGGGTGGAGCGACGTCGCCACGACCGGAGGTGCTTGTTGCTGATCCATCGTCCAACTCCGCCGGGCCGATCATCGCCATCGCGGTATCAGCCACTTTTGGGCTGACGCTAGCCGTGCTATTATCATGGCGGCGCATCGTCAACATCAGCGTCAAGAAGATCGAGCAGTGGTGGGGGCTCCCCGCAGTAAAGAAGAGCAATGAAGCCGAGAAGGAACGCAAATGTTGCTCCTTCTGGTTCGTGCCCGCCGACTTTGTCGTTGAACTCGCAGGGGCTATCGGCGAGGCAGCGGGCGCAGAAGAAGAAAAGTCGAGCTCTGGTTCGAATAGCGGTGGCAACAGGCGCTCAAAGTTCCTCGCCCAGTATCTCGACGCGAGCACGCCCACGACGACCTTAAGCAGGTGTTTTGCCCGCTTGCAGCAAGTCAGAGAGGCGACGAGCTCGCTCCCAACGGCGAAGGTGCACCCGGCAGCAGACGGCGCGGCGCCAAAGCTTCACAGGCAACGTTCACTTGAGAGATGGGTTTCCAGCCCTCAAGAGAGCGAGAGGGAAAAGCTGATGCGGCTGTTGACCGACGTGCGCAAGTCGGAGGGCCCTGCATTCGCGCGTGCCATCGCCGCGTCCAACCTCACTTTCCGTGCTCTCAAGAAGGCGGGCGTGCTGGTGCGGCGCGAAATCTACGTCGAAGATGCTTTCCGTGGCAAGTATGCGCAAGAATACCTCGCGGTGAGCCACCGCTGGATGATTGCCGAAGCACCCGACGCGGCGACGGGGGCCGAATGCGCGCAACTCGACGCTATCGCGAAGCACTTGCTTAGTCAGCCCGAGTTAACTCGCCCGAGGTTCGTGTGGTTCGACTTTTGGTGCATGCCACAACACTCCCGGGTCGACCACACGGCGTACCTGTTTGTGCTTCGATCGATGCTGTACCCTAGCAGACGGTTGGCCTGCTTGTACGATGCGATCGCTTCTGTCTTCTCCCTGCTGAGGACGTATGCCACAGCACCCGCTGCGGAGGGCGAGGGGAAACGCAAACGCAAGTGCCGGCGCACGCCGCTCGAGGACGAATCGTTCTACTGGATGCTGGAGAATATGTCAATGCTATACGTTGGTTGCGCCGTCCTCATCCTCCTCGATCGCGCCTACCAATCCCGCTTCTGGACAAGCTTTGAGGCGTGGCTCGCCTTGCGCACCGCCACCGCCGAGGGTCTCGTGAATACGCCTTGCCCAACCGACACTGGGGCCACGGAAGGTGGGCTGGCGCAACTATCGCCGCGCGCGAGCGTCGCGACCGTGTACGGCGCGCCTGGCGCGCTAATTCAGTCGCTGCAGGAGGAATGGGCAATGTGCACTCGTGAGGAGGCGCGCGAGAAGCTCAGGTCGCCCGACGTGAGCGTGTCCAACGGAAAGGATAAGGAAATGCAGTTGGGCAGGTGGGAGGGCGACAAAGTGATTGAGTGCAAAATCTTTGAGCTTGACGACCTCGCACAAGAGGTCTTGGCTCCTGACAGCAGCACACGGGAAAGCGAGAAGCTTCGGCGAATACGGACCGCCAAGCAGAGGCGCCTTTTGGCGCGAGCCAAGGAAGTTTCCCGGCTCAGCCAGAGCTTTGTTAGGCGGAGTCGTGAGGACTGACTTGATACATCATAATGGCGCACAGGAGCCAAGCAAATGATTCGGCTCAGTCAGAGCGTACGTAGAATGTGTGCAAGGCTCTCTAAAGTGTCGGAGAGGGCGGATCCGGCCCAAAAGACGGGGGGTCTCCCATTCCCCACCTTCCCCCCTCCACCCGCCTAGCCTCCCACGACCCCCCTCCCCTACCGCCGCGGTCATTTCCAAAGAATTTTATTGGCGCGACTCCTGCTGTCGGCGCTCACACTGCCTCGGCCACCTCCGCTTGCGCTCCATCCGTCCATGGCGTCGTCGGCGCATGGCCTCGCCGTTGCCTCGCAGGGCGACACCCACCCGGCGGCCGTGGTGATGATAATCTCCACAACCGAGGCGGACGCCGTGCTGAGCCGGAGCGGGCTCACTGCCGCGCAGCTGCTGGCGCCGTTTGCGCGGGCGGACCCCGGCCTGACGGTGCAGACGAGCGGCGAGCCGTACCGGCTGCGGCGCTTCTGCATGCGCTTCGAGGCGGCCGGCGACATCCGCGCGGCGTCGCCCGAGGAGTCTGAGCGGCGGCTGCTCGCCCTCGTGGCGGCGCACGACACGTCGCAGCCGCTGCAAGAGCAGCGCACGGCCGCGCTGGCGCCGTGGCTCGCGCCGGTGCACGAGGCGCTCTCGGCGGAGCTGCGCTACGCCGAGCACGCGGGGCACGAGTACCCTGTCGCCTGCCTCTTCCTCGGCTCCGCCTCTCAGCCGCAGCTCGCGACCACCTTCAACGAGCTGTACGGCGCCCGCATGCCGAGCTGCCTCCGCGAGGGGCTGTGCGACCCGACGATCGCGCGGCGGTTCCTGCTGCTCGACGACATGGCCGACCGCTCGCGCGACCCCGCCCGCGCGCAGCAGGCGCTCCGCGAGCTCACCAGCCGCTCAGCCCCTCCCCGAACCTTCTCGGAACCTTCTCGGAACCTTCTCGGAACCTTCTCGGAGCCTTCCTGCAGGCGCTGCACGAGCTCGGCCGCGCGCTCGGCCCGGCCGCCTGCCACATGCTGCCCGTCAACTCGGCACCCGGCCCGTCGCCGACGCCGCACGCAGAGTGGGCCTCGGTCACCGCACCGCCGGGCGCGCCTGCCGCCGGAGCGCTGATGAGCGAGTCTGACGTCGCCGGCATCGCGGGCTTCGCGCGAACGCAGCTCTGCCGCGCCGTGATCCACCAGCTGCAAGGTCCGCCGCCCCGACCCCGCCTCCTCCGCCTCCTCCGCCTCTACTCCTCGCAGAGCCGCACGCTACCCTCTCACTGCAGCCGCCTCACCCCGCCTCCCGTGGCGCGCGCCAGGCCGGCTGCAGGCCCTCGAGACGCTCGTCAAGGAGAAGCGGCAGGGCCTCAAGAACACCTTCCGCTCGTGGATCGGCGCCAAGCGCCTCTCCTCGCCCGGCGGCGCCTCGGCTGGCGGCGGCCCCTCGGCTGGTGCTCTCGTCTACCCGAGCACCTGCATCGAGGAGAATAGCGGCTCCCCACCGCACGCACCACCCCTTCCTCCTTCCCCCCTCGCCGTGGCGCCGCACACACACACACGCACACGCACGCACGCACGCACGCACGCACGCACGCACGCACGCACACACACACACACACACACACACACACACACACACACACACACACACACACACACACACACACACACACACACACACACACACACACACACTTCCCTGCCCCGTCCCACCCCTCGCCCGGCCCGGCCGAGAGCCCCGTCTCCCCGGCGCCGCGTCGCGCAGGCGCACCTGCGGCAGGTTGCCGATTACGCCCTCCTGCTGCGCGACTACTCGCTCGCGCTGCAGTACTACCGCGCCGCTGCGGCAGAGTTCAAGGCGGACAAGGCGTGGACCCACTTTGCCCTCGCGCAGGAGATGGCCGCCATGTGCCTCCACCAGGCGCACCGACGGCCTGCCGGCAGCCAGCTCAGCGAGCCCCAGTCTTGAGCGACTCGTGTGCCTCCTCCAGGCCGAGGACCCGCGCGGCGCCGCCGAGGCAGCGGAGAAGGCGGCCAAGGCGTACCTGCTAGGCAAGGCCAAAGACGGCGACCGCGCGGTCCGGCGGGCCACGCGCGTCGCGCTGCAGCAGCTGCAGCTCTCGCAGCACTCCGCCTCGCGCGCTCGCACGAGAGAGGCGCCACCCCGCGCCGCTGCCGCCGCCGCCGCCCTAGCAGCCCGCGCGCCGCACGCCGCCCACCCTCACCCACTCTCGCTAACACTCACCCTCACCCACACCCGCCCACACCTGCCGCCCCCCTCCGCCCCCCTTCGCAGGTCGCTCGCTCGCTCGTCAACCAGTCGACGCAGGAGTCGCCCCTCTTCTCCGCCATGCTGCTCGAGCAGGCCGCCCGTTGCTTCGTCTCCTTCCACGCCGCGCCGATGCACAGGCAGCAGCAGCCGCGCGACATGCCCCTCGCCGGCCCGCTGCAGCCCCCTCCGCCAGACCTTCTCACACCTTCCCGCAGGCAGCACGCGCTCTACATGGTCCTCGCCGGCTTCCGCTTCCTGTCGTGCGGCCAGCGCCGGCTGGCGGCGCGCGCCTACTCGTCGGCGCTCCGCGTGTATGAGGGGCGCGGCTGGACGCACATCGAGGGCCACGTCTGCTCCGCCCTCGCGCGCAACTACGCCGCTCTCGGGCTCGTCGACCTGTCGGAGCGCGCCGCCGCCGCCCGCGCGCCCGCACGCCCGTTTCCCGGGAGCGCTGCCCTCACCCCCGCCCTCTCTCCGCGGCAGGTTGCCTTCTTCCTGCGCCTGCTGCGCAACGGCGCCCAGCCCTCCGAGCGGCTCGCCGGCTGCCTGCGCGAGCTCCGCTCTCTCGTCGCGAAGCAGCCGCGTGCCGAGCGGTTCGAGGCGCTGCCGCTGCCGCGCTTCCGCAACGAGAGCATCGCGGTCCTCCTCAACGACAATGGCGCGGTGGGCGGCGTCGCCGAGGCGGCTGACGACGAGACGACCACGCTGTCCGCCTCGCACCCGCTCTGGAAGCCGCTGATCGAGCCGCTGCTGCCGCCGTCCGAAGTTGCCCTCGGCAACTGGCTGACCGGGCCGCGTGCGGCGGCGGCGTCGGCGGCGGCGCTCCCGTGCGCCGTGGTTGGCGAGTGGGTGCAGCTCGCCATCAGCGTCGAGAACCCGACGCAGCTCTCTCTCGAGCTGAGCGAGGTGCGGCTCGTCTGCACCTTCTCGGGCACGGAGGGGGCGGAGGGCGGGGCGGGGGGCGGGGCGGGGGGCGGGGCGGACGGGCCGCTCGAGCTCGAGAGCGTCGGCCTCGTCCTCGAGCCGGGCCAGACCGCGAGGCTGCGGCTCGGCGTGCGCCCAAACACCGAGGGCGAGCCTCCCCTCTCCGCAGAGCAGCCGGACACGTCCGCGACACGTCCGCGACACGTCCGCGACGCGTCCCACAGGTGAGCTCCGCCTCGCCGGAGTGCACTGGACGCTGCAGTCGGCGCTGCACGGCGCCCACACGCTGGCGCTCAAGGGGCAGCGCCTCAACGCCACAAAGGCGCGGCGGGCCCGGCCGCGAGTACGGCCTGGACTCGTTGTGGAGTGCTCACTTCTTGTTCACTTCTTGTTCACAGGCGCAGCGGACCGGCCGCGAGTACTCCTTCTCGCAGAGCCTCTCCCTCTCCGTGACGCGCCGGATGCCGCTGCTGCGCGCGTCGCTCGAGGGGGCGCCTGCCGAGCTCCTGCTGGGCGAGACGGTGCACGCGACGCTCCGCCTCTGCAACGAGGGCTCGATGCCGCTCAGCTCGCTGCGCGTCCGCCTCTCGCACCCCGCGTTTTGCGTGCTCGGCGAGCCGCTGCCCGGCGGCGCCTCCGCTCCCGCCGCGGCGCCGGCGCCCACCGGAGCGGGCGAGACGCTGCTTCACACCAGGAGGCCCGCCCGCCCGCCCGGCGCCGGGTCCGACCCGACGATGGCGACGGTGGCGCTGCCCGGCGGGCAGCTGGTGCCGGGCCAGAGCCTGGCGATGCCGCTCTGGGTGCGCGCCGCCGAGGCGGGCCGCCACTCGCTCCACTTTGCCCTCGTCTACGAGCCGCTCGAGCCGCGGCCGCAGCTCAAGCGGCGCGTCTGCCCGCTCTCGGTGCATGTGCGCGTCCGCCCGTCGCTCGCCGTCGAGCATGCGCTGCGGCCGGCGCACGCGTGCGCTCAGGCGCGCCCGCCGAGGGGGTTACACTGGTGGTGGTTACACTGGTGGTGGTAGTCGTCGTGAGAGGAAGGGGTGTGAGCGCAGGCGTGCCGCCACGTGCTCGGCTTGCACGTGCGCCGCGACTCGTCCGAGGGGCCGCCCGAGGGGCCGCGGCTGCGGCTCGCGCAAGTCTCGAGCGTCTCGCAGGGGTGGGAGCTCGCCCCGCTCAGCGGCCGGTCCGCCCCGCCGCCCGCCCTCGCCGCGGGGGAGGAGTGCGTCGTCCACCTTCGGCTGGGTCAGGCGGCGCAGCACGGGCCGGGCGGCGGCGCGCCCCTCCCCTTTGTCCACTCCGAGCTGCGCTTCGGCGGCGGCGGCGGCGGCGCGCCGGTCGACTCGCGCGCGGTGCCGCAGCTGCGCTTCCTCGAGCAGGACGCCGCCGCCGCGGTGAGCCCCGGTAGCGCCGACGACGACAAGTACGGCCGCGCCTCTCCCACTCCCTCGCCCGAGCCGCGCGACGACCTCTCCGCCGCGGCGCTCCTCCTCCACTGGCAGACGGAGGACGGCGGACGGCGCGGGCAGCTCCAGGTGACGTGCGTGCGCGTCGGGGTGGACCTGGCGCTCGCTGCGCCGGCGAGGAGGCGCGCCGAGATCGGACCGGGGATGGGGGCGGAGAGGGGACCGGAGATAGGGCCGGAGATGCCGAGATGCGGACGAGATGCGGCCAAGATGCACACAACCGCCCCGAGGAGAAGGCGCAAAACGGCAGGCAGGCGCCCACCGCTGGCGCCTGCCGGGCGCCTCCCTCACTCCGCCTCCGGACCGGACGCAGGCTCGCGGGCCGGTCGCCAGCGCCCGGGGCGGGCAGCTCCCCGCTGCCCTCGGCCGCGGCGCTCGCGGCGGCGCTGCACCTCGCCGTGGTGTGCGAGTCGTGCGCCGTCTGCCGCCCGCCCGAGCCGTGCCTCCTGCCCGTCACGCTGCACGTCCGCAACTCCTCCGACGCGCCCCTCGCCTTCAACTTCGCGGCCGGCGCCGCCGCAGAGCCGGAGGGCGGCCAGTCGGCGGCGGCCGAGGGCGGCGGGCAGTACGCGTGGCTGGGCACCACGCGGCTGACGCGGCACTGGCTCGGGCCAGGCCAGACCGCCGAGCTGAAGCTGCACGCGGCCTTCGCCGGAGTCGGGGCCGCGGTGCTCGAGGGGCTGTCGGTGGCGGTGTGCGGGTGGCGGGACGCAGGCGGCGAGCCCACCTGGCTCGACGAGCCAGCCCTGTGCGACGGGCCCCCGCCGTGCACCGTGCGCGTCAAGCCCGGGCTTTAGAGTAGAGCGTACTGCGCGGCGCGGCGCCAGATTTTTGGGCTAAAATATTTCTTCCTCGTTTGACCATCCGCCTCTCTCAACGTCATAGCTCATACAATACATACGGCTTTTCTTAAAGGCTTTAACGTCCGCACTCTCTGGTCTCTGCACTCACTCAGCTTTATACCGAGTCCCGTCTAGTTGTCTAGCTAGTTGTGTAGACAGCGTACCGAGAGCCGTAGAGTCTAGACACTAGACTTGAGACAGAGTTACGCAGAGACTACGTACCGTATAGAGTGTTAGAGTCATTATAAATGTAATCGAGCGGGTCTGTTTTGAATAAATAAGTATAAGTGAAGAAAACGGACACCTCTCCTAGGAGATGGGTAAAAGGAGCAGGTGTCACATTTTGTTCGGAGATGCGCACGGAGTCCTTGAAGTATGAAGAGTAGCTAATGAATCGCATCGCTCCGCCTCCACCTGCCATCCTGCACCGTGTACGAGCGCACTTCGCAGTTGTCCATGTACTCATCCTTGGTGAGATACATGAGGAAGCCGCCATGCGAGACGAGGAGGAGGGTTTGCTCCGGCCGCGCCTCGATGTAGGACGTCAGCCGGCGAGCACGCTCGTAGATGCGCTCCTCGCACTCGCCTTCAGCTTCGTAGTCGTAGTCGTCCGCAATCGCTGCGGCCTCCCACGCCTCGACGCTTCCGGCCTGCGCCATCGCGCTGTCGTGTCCCGTCCAATCGAACTCTGCGAACGACAACCGAGGGGAGCGGAGTCGCGTGCGGTCCATGGGCAGCTCGCACAGCGCCTCCGGATTCGCCACCCGCTCTCGCGCATCGGTTACGACAACCCTTGGCACCATTTCTGGCGCCACACCATTGGTCGTCTGCAATGCCCGGAGCACAGGGGAGGACAGCACAACCTCGGGCCGTGGAACGAAGGTGCGAATGTGCGCTCTGGCAGCTACGAGCTGCATCCGGCCTGTAGCTGTCAAGGACGTGTTTCGCCTGAGCTCGGCGACATGGGACACATTGTGCTCAGCCTGTGCATGACGGACGACGTGCACGACCTTTGGCATCCGGCGCTTCGGCAGACCTGACTTTTGTGGTGGAAACGGCGTCGCGCCTTGGCCTCGGCGTCGCGCCTCGACCGAAGGACGTCCTCCCAAGTGTGACGTTTCATCATGGGTCGCCGTAGGAACCTTGTGCGCCGCTAGTAGGAGCGCCGCCGTCGCCGTTCAACACCAGGCGCACAAGCCTCGCGGCAACCGCCCTTTATCCACACACTGACTGCCTCGTACACGTCTCCACTCAGGGCATGCCCAAGGCCGGAATGAAGCCGAAGAAGCAGGCCATCCGTGGCGCAATCGCAAAGAAGCCGATCGCAAAGAAGCCGGCCGCAAACAAGGCGGGCAAGAAGCAGAAGAATGTCTGGCTCAACCTGAAGGTTGGTCCAGGAGATGGACGACTTGGAGTCGATCACTTCCTCGCTATTGCAGGCGTGAAAGCGATGGGCTCTAGGAAGGCGAAGGTGATCCTTTTGCACAAGGCCGTAAAGACGAACAAGTTCAAGACACAGGACCTGAAGAACCTCGGCGAGGAGCTCGGCATGCCCCGGGAAACATGGGACGTCCCAGCCATGTACACGAAATACTACTACAAATCCAAGGAGTGGGATTCGTTCGAGACCTCGTGCTGAACGGGGCTGAGGCGTGATATGACGATCGGCCGTCGATCCCGAGGTACGAGGGTCGTCGGTTGAGCTAGGGAGCCTGACGATGGACGCAACCGCGACCCCTCGTGGCATATCTCTCGCCGCCGGCGAGCTTGGGGCCTCGCGGACGGCAAATTAACAGTGTCAGGCCGGCTCGCTTTCTGCCCTTGTGAGCGCTCATGCCCGCACCTGCGGCTTGTCTTGTTCCGTCCGGGCGCGGCTGGCCATCGGCTCTAGCGCCTAGGTAAGGTGAGGTCATGCAGGTGAATCGGGAAGGTATCTCTCTCTCTCTCTCTCGCTGCGGCCTGCGGGTCGCTGCCGGCCGACGATTGTGCCACAAGCAATTCAACTTAAATTCCCCCCCCCCCCCCCTCTGCCTCTCTCCCCGATTGAGAGGGAGATGTTTAGCAATACTAGCGTCAGTGCAACCCGGCGTGGGGGAAACTGCGAGCACAAGCGCAGATGTCGGCATTGCCCACGCTCGCGAGAGCTCGCGAGAGCAGATCAGCGGTAAGCCGCGTCCACATCGGCGCCGGAGGTTGCTCCGTGTAGGTGCGTGGGCGGCTAGTGCGATGATCGACCGCTGCCGCCGCCTCAGAGTCGGTGTAGGTATATTGTCGGTGGTACGCTGTGCGGGTGGGATAGTTCAATTTCTTTTTCGTTCTTTGTGCCACGCGCCACCTACGATAATAAGCGAGAAGCGTTGCGCAAAAAAGAAATCTTCGTGGCCCCCTCGCGAGGCTTGGCCGCTCGCTCAAGCCACCACCCGACCTCACGCGACGACGAGCCGCTGGCCACACCGCACGAGCTCACGGTCGCGCACCTCACAGTGGCGCTCTCGTGCATCTCCTCGCTGACAGTCGCGCATGCAGGTCTGCGTACACAATGCCAGCGGATTGCCTCTGATGGACGCGGCCCTGAAAGGCAGCCTGTCGACGACGGCACCAGACCCGTTCGTCGTCATGACCCTCCCCGGCGTCAGCGTCGCCGCCGACGACTGCCGAAGGGTAGGCCTCTTGAAGGGCGAGCTGATGCGGAGCACGGCGAGCGACGGCTCCGGCTGCTGCCGCTCGACAAAGCTTCAAAACACGCAGGAGCCGCTGTGGCCGTCGCTCTGCTGCGACTTCCCGACCGACCGCGGCCCGATCCAGATCACGGTCTGGGACGACGACATCCTCACCGACGAGCTCATCGGCGAGGCGCAGCTCGAGCCGCCCTCCGAGTTTGCCTTCTCTGGCCACTCGTCTGCCGGCCTCGCCTCGGCCGACGTCTCCTCCTCCGCCAGCGTGCAGCTCTCGGGAGGTCCGTGCTCCGGCTCGCCCTGCTCTCTGCACGCCTCGCTGCACCGCGTCCTGCCAGTCACGCCGGCCTCGCCCGCCGACACGCCCGCGCCCTTTGTGCCTCTGGGCGCGGTCGAGGCGTGCGTGCTGAACGTGCACGGCAGCGGCCCGCAGCAGGTTGGACGCCCTCCCCGAACCTTCCCTGAATCTTGTCGAAACCTTCCCATAGGCAGCGGCCTGCCGCGGATGGACCAGTTCAGCGCGAGCGATTGGGTGGTGCAGACGCGGTTCGGGCATGAGCCGTCCACCTACCGTGCGCGCTCTTTCCGCTGCGACGCCTCCCTCGTCGACGCGGCGATCAGCAGCGTGGACGAGTCGATCAGCAACTTAGAGGGCGCCGTCACGCAGCTGGCTCAGCTCTCCGACGGCGCCGCCTCCTCCTACTGGCCCCACTGCTGCCGCACCTTTTACGGCGTCTTCGCCGCGCCGCACTCGCTCCTCTCCTTCGAGGTCTACGACAGCGACCCCTTCTCGGACCAGCTCTGCTGCAGCGGCACCGTCCCCTTCCTCGAGGCGCTCGGCTCGGGCCCCTTCACCGTCCGCCTCTCCGGTGGCGACTCGCGCTACCTCGACGCCGTGCTGCGCTTCGCCAACCCGCCCTCCCCGCCGCCGCCCGCGCTGCCGCCCAGCCCGCCCAGCCCGCCGCCTCTCCCGCCGGCGCGCCCAGGCTCCGGCGCGTGCGCCGAGTGGCGCCGCCCCGCGACCGGCGGAGGCGAGTCCTCCCCGCGCGCCCCTCCGCGCGGCTGCTTCCTCGCCGGCCCGCCCGAGTGGGGCAGCCGGCCCGAGTGCCTCGTCGGCCCCTTCTTCGAGCTGGTCGGCGGCAGGGACGTCCTCTCGCTCCCGGACGTGCACATGCTCCCCGCGCAGCCGGGCGGCTGGCTGTACGAGATCGCGGCGCCCCTCTCGGGCTCCGTGCGCGTGCAGGGGCTCAACGTGATCCGGGTCCAGTCGCTGACGCTGACGCGGATCCGGTGCGCCTACCTCGAGCGAGAGCCGCTCGACTTGTCCACCTCGCTCCACTGGGCAGACTGGCTGACCGGCGCGGGCGCACGCGAGGCAGCGGGGGAGGCGCGGGGCTGGGGCGCCGACTCGCTGCGCGTCGGCCTCCACGTGCGCGAGATGACCTGCACCGCCTCGCTCTCGGTGCGGCAGCCAGAGGGTCAGTTCACCGACCTGCTGAGCGACGCTGCGGTCAGCCTCAGCCTCACCGACTTGCGGGTCGCGTCCGAGGTCTCGGCCGGCTTCGAGGCGAAGAACGGGACGGTGCTCCTGCGGCAAGGGTTCGGCGACCCGGGCTGCAAGCCGCGCACGGCGTGCAGCTGCGGGCTGCTCGACGCCGCCTGCCCGTTTGCTGCCGTGTCGATCGGCGGGCTCGAGGCGCGCATCTACGACTCTGCGAAGCCTGACGTTCAGGACACGCCATGACATGTCCGAGACATGTCCCGTAGGCGCGCATCTACGACTCTGCGAAGCCTTCGCGCGTGCTCAACGAGCTCGTGCGGGTGATGGCGCCGCTGCTGCAGCGGCAGCTCGTCGCGTCCGCCGTCTCCTTGCCGCTGCCCCGCCGCGTGCCCCTCTCGCGGCCGCCGCCGCGCCACGCCGCAGGCGGCGCCACGCCTCTCTGCGTGTCGCGGCGAGGCCCTCTCTCGCCCCGTCCCACTCCCTCGCCCCGCCGCGCAGGCCACTCCTCCAGCCCCTGCATGCTCTCGGACCACTGCCGCCTCTTCAACTCGCTCTCGCAGAGCCTGCTCGCCGACGGAGGTCTCCTCCACAGCCTCCTCCTCCGGCTCCCGGCGGGACGCCCTGCCAACCCCGCAGCCCTGCTTGCGCAGGCCCGTTCCGCCTCTTCAACCTGCTGCGCAGGATCGGCGCGTCCGCCCCCGCAACCGCCTCGCGACCGGCCGCCGCAGTGCTGCGGTGCGACGGGCCGGCGCTCGCCGCGACGGTCGGGGCGTTCTTCGGCGACAGCCCGCTCTCCGCGTCGGGCGAGTTTCTCGCCGTGGACGGCGCGCCGCGCACCGAGGCGGGGGCGCTGCGCCTCGAGCTCTCCGCACTCGACGTGACTGTCGGCGCGCAGTCGCTGCTCTCCGTCGGGCTCGGCTCCGAGCTCTCCGCCTTTCTCCACTTTGACTACGTCGAGGTGCGCGCCGGCATCGACGTGGTCTGGCTCCCTGCCGCCACGCCGCTGCGCGGCATGCCTGGCACAGAGGGCATGCCTGGCACAGAGGGCGCGCTCGACGCGTCGCGGGCCGTGCGGGAGCGGCTCGAGCTGGTGATGGTCGGCCGTAGCGTCTCTCTGAGCGCGCAGACGTCGCACTTGAGCATGGAGGGCGGCGCCTCGGTGCTGGCGTGCGCCCTCTTCCGGCTCGGGCTGCAGCAGCTCGAGCTGGACGGGGATCTCGCCGTCGAGGCGCGCTCTCTCGGCGGCGGGTGGGCAGACGACGTGTCTCGCGCCTTCAACGAGCTGGCTGGCCTCTACCTGCGCGGCTTTAGCGGCGAGGCGGTGAGCGGCTCCGTGCTGCCGCAGCTCGTCCGCAGCGCGCTCCTCTCCACGGAGCGGTGCGCCTCCGCCCGGCCGTGCGCCGCGCCACCAGAGGCTGCCGAGGGAGGCGGCCAGGATGGGGCGGAGGAGGCGGAGGCGGCGCCGCCGCTTGGCTCGTGGATGCAGGGGTTTGGGATGGGGCGCATCTTCGGGTGGGTGGTGCGCGGCGCTGTGGCCGCAGCGGGCGTGAGCGGGGTGCCGCCCATCGTGCTCAGCAGCACAGACGGCTCCGCCTGCCGGCTTGAGCCGTCGGGCGCCTTACGCGACGGAGCAAGCTGGACCTTGGAGGAGGGCAGCACGGCGCGCTTCAGCCTCCTCCCGAACAATGCTTCGGCTCCGGCGCTGGTGCTGACTGCTGTGGCGATGGAGACGCGCTTGGGCGAGGCGCGCCTGGAGGCAGGGCGAGAGGACACGCTGCTGTTCGCGCTCGACCGCGCCGAAGCCAGCGCGACCGTCCAGCTCGAGCTACCTCGCCCCGGGCCTCGCAGCGGCGACCCGCGCGCCGAGCCGAACGCGTCCGCCTCAATCACGACCTCGGCGCGCCTGCGCCTTCGCGACGTGCGCGCCGCCGTGCCAGTCCGCTTCAAGGGCGCCTCGCGGACCCGCGCGGCTCGGCCGTGGATGTTTAGCCTCTCCGAGCTGATCGGCGGCGCCGCGTGCGTTCACGTGCGGGCCACGGGCGAGCCCACCTTCAGCGCGACCGTCGAGGCGCTCGTGGTGCGCGAGGGCAGCGCGGCGGAGGACGTCGCACTCGAGGAGCCCATCCCACTCGAGCTTCTGCCAGCGTGGCGGCCATGGCTGGCCGACACCATCAACGAGGCGGCAAAGGCGGCCGAGGCGACGGCCGGGAGCTGCCCGGACGCCTCCTTCCCCGCAGATCTCCTCATGGCGACCCCTCTGTGGGCAGTCGTCGTGCTGCTGCTTTTGACCGGCGGTGCCGCCGCCGCCGCGTGCGCGCTGAGGCTCCGGCGAGCCCTCTGTACTAGGCCACCGCCACGCGAAGGGTTTGTGCGCATGCTCGGCGAGTGAGGTTTAGGGGCGCGATCGCATGTTGTTGTACGTTAGCCGCACCCACCCCGCCGGCCCATCTGCTTGTACCTGTACCTGCACCGTACATATTCTTGTGGACCCAGGGCTCTCTCGCACCTCAACCTCTCATCATAGACAAACTAGCGCGCAGCGCCACATAGGAGGTATTTTCTTCTCAATATAGCAAGGACCAGGAAGTCAAGAGATTGTGAAATTCTATCCTCCGCTCTCGCCAGTCCACCGTTTGTATAGAGTATGGGCGTGCCACAAAAAACCCCATCGGGTGCCTTCCGCCGGCCGCTCGCCGCTTTCGCCTGACGCACAATCGCGCCACCATGTGTGTGTTGTGTGTGTGTGCACCATAAACATACATATGCGGAGGAACGACTCCGACGCAAGCGCTCTCTCAACCCACAATCTCTCGCACAATCTCTCGACCCCAAGAGTTGAGCGCGGCAAGTGATGACTGCCCCATCTCCTCTCCAGAAGATTCGTTCACCGGCTTCTCCGACTGCGCTGAGTGGTAGGGCCCCCAAGGGGCCTAGAAAGCGCGCCTCCCTCTCCCTTTTCTCCCAGTAAGCTAAAAAAGTAGATATGTAGGAAGGCGAAGAACAGTCAGGCTCGGACTGGACACTCCAGCGCGGTGTATGGGTGGACGCGAGACAGGAGTCGTGACGGCACGCTCGATCGAGCGACACACAGACACACAAACTCACAAGACACTCAGCCAACTGGGCTGCCACACATCACCGGCACTACGCTACTCGCGCGTGGTTTTCTTTTTTGCACTGAGGGAGTCCATGGAAAATTCTTGTTGAGCTAGCCTTCGATGTTATGAAACAAACGCAAGGCGGACATGTGGCACATCGCTCTCGGGCCCACAGACATCCCGCACACCCGCCGCCCGCGCGCCCCACCCCGGCCGGGAGAAAGGGGAGTGACAGTTTGGGACGGCGACAGACGAGATTTAGATACCTCGCACTCCATGTGCGAGAACGCAGGCGGTAAATGTAAGCCGGATGGCTCACAGGCCACCTCTTGCGCCCCGAGCTGACCATCTACCGCACTGCACACTTGCGCCCCCTCGCTCCCAACCCATCCACCTCGCCTCGGGCCGCGCCGCGCGATCTCGGGCGATCTCGCGCCATCTCGGGCGATCTCGGGGCCGCGCCGCGCTATCTCGGGCGATCTCGGAGCGTCGCTCGCGCGGCGGCACACCTGCTCAAAAAAGGAAGGAGGTTGGAGGCAGGAGGTCACGCCCCATCCAGAGCGCCATGTAGGAGTTTTTTCTTTTTTGGTAAAATTCGACGCGTTTTGTGGTCGATTCTTGCATCGAACTTGTGATGCGCGGCCGGCGCAAAGGGCCGCCTGAGCTGAGCTGCGAGCCGCCGCCGCCGTCGGCCGCCCTCGACGAGCGCAATGGCAGCTCCAGAAGCGCCCATTGACGCGTCTCGTCTCGCGACCCTGTCCTATGCTTCTCTCCTAGAGCTGGCATCTCTCGGCTGCATGGAGAGTAATGCGGTCTCGAGCCACGCCAAGCTGCTCATCGACCGAGAGATGGAGCAAGCGCACACAGCGAACCCGATGCCGATTGGCTCGCGGGCTGTCATCCACGGGATTCGGAGTCAGCCGCACTACAACGGTGAGGAGGTCACAGTAATCGCGTGGCTGCCAGCAAAGTCTCGCTACGCCGTGGGTTTTGTGAGCCTGAATGAGGCTGCGGTGCAGGTGCGATGCAGCCAACTCGATCGGTGCAGCAATCCCTTTGCGAAGCTCGAGGACGAGAACCTCCTGAGAGAAATTTTGAGCACGCTTTCGAGCTGGGATACTGCCGCGTGCGCAATGGCTGTGCAACGCTCGTGGCGGCAAGCGCTTCGCAATGGGTGCTGGCCAATAGCTGCACCGGTGCTCGCACCGGAGCCTGTTCTTTGGGCAGCACCGGGCGGAGAGCAGCCGAGCTGGACATTCGCACTGAGCAGCTTGCCTGGCGCGGAGCGGATAGCAGCTGTCCTCGACTTTGTTGACTCGATGGCGCGCCTCTGGCCAGGAGTGCTTCCAATACGATGGCCGGGTGTGCACCAACGCCTGAGCTGGCTGTGTGGCCGAACGGTCGACGAACCCCTCACGAACGCCGACGTGAAAGGCCATGTGTTCTCACGCTCGTTTTCGGGGGAGCGCGTCAGAACCTCCTGCAGATATCACGGCATGACCTATCCAACCGACGGGCTGCCTGCTCCGCCGTGCGCCTACACGCTCCCGGCGGACGCGGCTCTCTTCTTTGCGCTAGTGCCGGAAGGCTTTGGCTCAAAGAATGACCGGGACGCTGATGACTCCGGCAGCCTCCCCCTGACTGGCACGTACCAAGGGCTCGATGTGCAGACGGCATCGTTGCACATGCCGAAGCTGAGGTTGCGAAAAGGGGCCGGCTTTTCGCGAACGGCGCTCGATGCGGACGACGCGGCTGTCGGGTGTGCGTTTGCTGATCGGCTTCCCGTGGCGATGACGCGAGATGTCATTGACGGTCATCTCATTTGCCTTTATCTCTGCTGCGATTTACAAAATGCTCACTTTGGGAAGATACTGCTCCTCGAGACGCCACCGCCGGGCGATGCGCGCCGTTCTCGCCGGGTGACGTGGACGACAGCCTCACTCTCAAGGCTTCTGCAGCTCATCGCCGCCGCCGCTCAAGGTCAGGCCCGCCAGCCAGACTGGGACGTCGCATGGTCCGCGGAGCGAGGAGCGCTAGGCAGACTGATTGCGGCGCTCAAGAGCGGAGGGCAAGAGGTTGAGATGCCGCTGCAGCCTAAATTCCCGCCCCCAGTCGAGCAGCAGGCGCCGAGAACGCGCGAGTCCATCTTGGATGAGATGCTTGCGAGCTTCATGCTCGAGGGCTTGAGCAGAGAGGAAGCTGTTGTCCAGATGGGACGACCTGAAGTCGAAAACCTCGTGGATCACCTGTTCGCAACTGCGAACCCCTCCTTGCGGGCGTGACTGGCATCCTTCCCGTGTGCCTTGGGAAGTGGAGGGCCTGCGGGCTAGCCAGAGTAGGGTAGGGTGTAGAGACACACGAGAGGGCGAGGCTGCAGACATCGTGCGGTGTTTGGGTGCGTGTGCACCCCGTGTCGTGTGTCCGTATGTCGAGAGGGCAACAGGTCCGGGGGAATCGTGCCGAATGTCCAACGTCGCTCTCCGTTGTTTGTTCTGAGTGCCCTGTTTTTTGTGTATCATTTTGTGTATCAAACTGCTCCAGGAGTGAAAGAGTTGATTAAATTCAGGCTTTTCATCATCAAATAAACTAAAAATAAAAAAGGGTGGATCGATCTCATTGTGAGGCCCGGCGCAAGACGGGCGCGCTGCCGCCGCGCTCACGCGTCAGAACCGATCGGTGTCGCTCACGAGCTCGCACACCAGCTGCTCGGGCGGCAGCAGCGACGCCGGCTCCAGCACCCCGAGCCTGCCGAGCGTCTCCGCCACGGTGCGCAGCGTCGAGAAGGACGCGCTCGGCGAGCTCGCCCAGCTCACCTGCGGCCGGCGAGGGGAGGAGGGTGGGGCGGGCGTGCCGCGTCGCGCGGGGGGCACAGGAGCGCTCCGCCGCGCCGTCTGCAGCCACTCGGTCACGTCCTCCGGCTGCAGCTTGTACATGGCAGCGATGGTCTCGACGCCATCGGTTTTGGGGGGGGGCCCCCCCGGGGTCTGGGCTGTCCCAAAGGGGGCCCCCTTTTCGGGCCCAACGCCCCCCCTTCCGGGTTGGGCGGGCCAACGGACGGTTGCAATCGCGCCTGCGGAGGAATGGGAGGGAGCACTGGCGAGAGGCGCACTGCGCTCGGCCGCACCCCGTGCCGCGATGCGCCGAGGATCTCGCCCGAGAGGCCGCCGAGCGCCGCCGGCGTCGCGGCGAGCGCAAAGCAAGGCCACGGCGTCACGCACTCGCCCACCCGCCGCCACTCGCCCGAGTCGACGAGCGGCTTGGTCGTGAACTTCTCCCACATGAAGCCGTCGGCGCGCCCCTCGCGCAGCGCCTCCCGCGCGCCCTCGAGCGATCCAACGATCTCGAAGCGCAGCGAGGCGGCCGCAGCCTCGCCGGCCCGCTGCTGCGCGTCGACAAAGGCCATCAGGTGTGAGCCCGACGTCATGCGCGAGACGGCGAAGCGCGGCGACGCCCCGCCGTCTCCCGCGGGCTGCGAGTAGAGCTGCGCCGCGTCGGTGAGCGGCGAATCGGCCGCGACATGGATGCCCCACGTGAGCGGCGAGCTCACGTAGGTGCCGACCAGCCGCGCCGGGTTGCCGCGGTGGATGTCGGCGACGATGCCCTCGGTGAGCAGGATCGCCACGTCGAGCTCGCCGTCGCGGAGGGCTTTTGCCATCGCGCCCGTGCCTCCTGGAAAGTCTGTCCACCGCACGTCAATGCCGCGCTCCGCAAAGAGGCCCGCCTTTGCCGCCGTGTGCCACGGCGCGTTGAAGTGCTCCGGCACGCCGCCGACCCGCAGCACGCGCGCCGCAGTGCTGCTCATGCGTCGCATGGAGCGCCTCTTCGACTCGCCCAGCAAAGACGAGCCCGCGCCGAGGCCAGCACCGATGACCTGAGGGATGTCGTCTCGGATCAGCTGGCGCGACCAGCGATTTCTTTTTCTGCTGTGAACCTCGCGGGGCTCGGGTGTTGCGCCCGCACACGCTGTTCCTCCCTCTAGGTCTCGCACAAAGAAAGAAAGAAGACAGACAACCCAAACGAGGGGTAGGGGAGGAGGACAGGGTCCCCACCTGCACGAGCAGGATTTTGGAAGGACGATCAGGGGGACAGGCGGGGCTCTCCTGCTCCTGACAGGCGATCGCAGCGCAGCACAAAGTGGCGCATAAAAAATTCCTGAAGTCAGAGTGACACTCAATGTTCCGACACTTGCGCGTCGGCCACCGCCTCGGCGCGGGCCTTTCGCGCGCGGCGCGGAGAGGCGCCTCGTCCGGGGCGGAGCTGCAGTCCCGCCCGCCGCGGCCGCCCGCCGCGGGCAGCAGCAGCAGCTATCCGCAGCCTCCGGGATTCCGCCGCGATTCGGACGGCGGCCGCACGCTGACGACGCGCGACCTGATGGCGACGCGCGCCTTCCTCGGGTACGAGCAGCGGGTGACCCACCCGGCCAACTACCGCTACCTCCTCGGCTTCCTCTCGGGCCACGCCATCATCGACCCCGAGAAGACGCTCCTTTCGCTGCGGCGCGTGCTCTCGCTCCTCAAGAAGATCTCCTTCTCGGGCGGCAAGGTGCTGGTGGTGAGCACGCAGCCCAAGCTGGCGCGGCTGACGCGCGTCATCGGCGAGCAGAGCGGCCACTTCTACCTCGCGCGCAAGTGGACGCCCGGCCTCCTCTCCAACTGGGAGCTCTCGCGCCGGCAGGTCCGCAAGGCGATCGAGCTGTCGCCCATCGCGCAGCGGACGGGCCGCGTGCGGCAGAGCGACGTGCAGCGCGCGCTCAACTTCAAGGGGATCGAGCACATGGCGCGCCCGCCCGACGCCATCGTGTTGCTCGACTCGACTTCGCTTCACGGCGAACCAGCCGCCGCAAACATCCCCGTGATCGGCGTCGTCGACACGGACGGCCCCGCGCGCGACGTGGACTACCCGATCCCGGCCAACGCGAACTCGGTGCGCTTCTACCACACGCTCGCCAACCTGCTCGTGCGCGCGCTCAAGGAGGGCGAGGCGCTGCGGGCGACGCTGGGAGAGTACACCTCGCCGGCCGAGGGCGATCTCCCGGCGGCGGCGGGGCACCGGTGAGGCGGCGGGAGGAGGGCAGACTTGGTGAGCGCTGTCGAGATCGGTTAGCCGTGTTCTTTAAGGATAGTTCGACACACACACGCGCCGGCTGTCTCATGTGTACCGCAGCCGCTTCCCACAGCGAGCGCTGGGAATGTGAGGACAAGTTTACCCACAAGACTGAACCCCCGCAGGCGAGCCAGCCAGCGAGCGCACCGCTGGGATGACCTGCACGAACCCCTTTGAATTCTTGCCTATCGACACGGTGGGCCGCATCCTGGCTCACGTGCCGCTTTCGCTGCTGCCTCGCACAATCGCGGCCGTACGTGCATCGAGCAGCGGAGGTGCGGTGTGTATGGCAGGAGACACCGTCTGGCAGGCTCTAGTGCCGCGATTGGATCCTCGCGACGGTGCTCCAGCCTGTCTCTCGAGCCGTAAGTCGGCTCGGCTCGTCCGTGGCGGCGAGGCGTCCTTTGTGCGCGCGTGGGGCCTGCTGCTGACGCGCGCTGAGGCGCTGCACCACAGCGTCGCGGTCTGCGGCCAGGACAAGCGACACCTGACGCTCGCCAAGCTAAAGCACCTTCTCGCGCGCTTTTCGTGCGCCCTCGTCGATCACGCGTCGCCCGTCTACAACGCCACGCTGCTCATGGAGGCGCGAGGGTGTGTGTGGTTCGACGGCTCTGTGCAGCGAGGCGAGCAAGCCTCTCCCGAATGGTGTGGTAGGTGTGCAAGGCGCGAGGCACGCGCGAGGCGAACCTGGCGCTGTGCGCGGCCCACTTGCTGCGTGAGCGCGGCTGCGACGCCAATGCGCGGCCAAGCGGCGACCGGAGCTGCACGCCGCTCGTGATCGCCTCGTGCCGCGGCCTGCCGAGGCTCGTCGCCCTGCTCCTCGAGGCTGGCGCCGACCCGTCCATCGCAGGGGAGGGCCGCTTCCGGCTTGGAGTGCCGGGAGGCGCAAAGACGCTGCGCGGCTGCCACACCCCGCGAGGCTGGATCGAGGTGGTTGCTGCGCGCCGCTGGCGGCGAGCGCCGCAGGCCCTCCGGCCACGTCCGCTCACGCCCGTCTTCGTGTGCTCTCGCGTAGGCCTTGCTCACCGCAGAGGCGGCGCACGGCGTGGAGGCCGGGGACCAGCTGTCGCTCCAGCGGTGCCGCCGGCTGCTGCAGTCGGCGGAGAGTGGGTAGAGCACTTGGGGTTGGAGAGGAGCTCTGACAGGTCTCTCTCTTCTTGAGGTTGGAGCTTTGGTGTTCTGCTATGTTTTCCCCCTCCCTCCCTCCCTCCGTCCAAGTGTTGTGCGATAAATAAATAAAACGGACACACCAAACGAGCAAAAGTTTCTTCTCTCTCCAAAAAACGAGGGGTGGGTCGTGGGTCGTGGGAGAAGGACAGCGTGGACAGGGGGTTATTCCCCACCTGAACGAGCAGGATCTTGTAAGGACGATCAGGGACACAGGGTGAAAGAAAAAAGAAAGAAGTTTACAAACAAACTCCCTCGCAAAGAAAGAAAGAAAATAGACAACCCAAACGAGGGATAGGGGAGGAGGACAGGGTCCACACCTGCACGAGCAGAATTTTGGAAGGACGATGAGGGGGGACAGGTGGGCCCCCTCTGCTCCTGACAAGGGACACGACAGGCTCGCAGCGCGGTGTTTTGCGAGGATTGTAAATTTCCTCGCCTTCCTTTTCTTGCCTCTTTTGGTACCTGTGTCGAACCTGTGTAAAAGAAAGAAAGAAAACAGACAACCCAACCTGTGTGCTGTGCGGAATTCTGGAATTCTTTTTCTTCGGAAGAAAGTTCAGTGTCTTCAGAGCCCGACGAGTGCTCACGTAAACGCATAACCCCGCGCGTGTTCACACTGCGGCCAGCTGCGCCGCGGCAGCTGGTCGTGCGTATGCCAGACACCCACGCTCACGCAGAGGCCGCTCCAGCAACACAGGAAGAGGCGGAGGAGGTCGCCACGCTCACCGCGCTGCCACTGGAGGTGCTCGCAGAAATCGCCTCGGCGCTGCTGCCGCCGCGCCTCTTCGCAGCACCGCCTGCAGAGTGGCGGCACCTGATGAATCTGGTGTCGGCCTCGCACATCACGCACTTTGCGGCGCTCGAGGCGCTGCGAGAGCGCGTGCCGGTCGAGAGCGATCTTCGTCCAGCGGAGCTCTGCGCTCTGGCGGGATCGCTGCTGTCCGGCGGCGGCGCCTCCAGGTGGGCCCCTGTGCGTGCACTGCGGGCTGTGCGGGCAAAGACCAACTTCACCCTCGCCCTCCAAGCGGCGCCCAAGCTGTCGGGCGCGTCGCTCTGCGCGCTCGCGCCGCACCGCCTGTGCCTTTTCGGCGGTCGGGACTCCTCCTCCGGTGACACTCTTAAGGCCACGTACCTGGTCACGCTGCGATCCGGGGTGGCGATCTGGGACGAGCTCGTCGGCTGCGCTGCACCCCCGGCCCGCTGCTACCACACCGCCACACTCTGGGAGGAGGGCCACGGAGGAGGAGCAGCTCCGCCGATGGTAGTCTTCGGCGGCGCCGGTGACGGCGACGCCGGCAACGAGGCACTCTTCGACGACCTGTGGAGCGCCAGCCTCGCTGCTCCGACCGGCACGGCGAAGCACGCGGCGGCTCCTCCTCTCTGCTGGAGGCAGCTGCGGCCTCTCGGTGCCTCCTCGCCCGCCGCGCGCTCCTCGCACGTTTGCGCTTCGTGGCCTGCAGACCGCTCCCTCGTCCTTCACGGCGGCCTCTCGTCGGGCGGCGTGCTCGGCGACACGTGGCTGCTGCGGCCGCACGGCGGAGGCGGCGGAGGCGGCGGAGGCGGCGGAGGCGGCGGAGGCGGCGGAGGCGGCGGAGGCGGGGGCGGCGGGGGCGGCGGGGGAGGGGGCGGAGGCTGCGAGTGGGTTGAGCTGGCGACGAGCGGGCCCGCGGTCAAGCGGGCGCACCACTCGGGCGGTGTGGTGAGCGACGCGACGTTGCTCATCTTTTCTGGCCAAGACGAGACGCTCATCACGAGGCGCACCCTCTCCTCCCTCGACCTGCGGACGGCCACCTGGTCCTCCGTCCCCCTCCCCACCGACACGCCGCCGCACCCGAGCCCCCGCATCGACGGCGCCGCGGCGGCCGTCCGCGGCGTCGGCCTTGTCGTGTTCGGCGGCGTCGGGGAGGACTTCGGCTTCGTCCCTCCCGCCGACGCGTGGCTGCTGCGCGGCGGAGAGGACGTGCGGCCGCCGAGGCGCCTCCTGCCGAGCAAGGCGCAGGCCGCAGGCGGCGCGGGCGGCGCGCCGGACGGACCGTTTCCCGTCGGCCCTCCCGCGCGCGCGTGCCTCGGGCTGTGCGCGGACGGCCTGACGCTGCACTGCTTTGGCGGCTTCGACGGCGAGGCGGACCTGAACGACCTGTGGAGCCTGAACCTGCACCCTCCCCGCCCGGGCGGCGAGCAGCGGGGACGCTTCGACGCGAGCCTCTTCAAGGTGCGCCAGGCAGCGGCCTCGAAGGTGCTCCACGCGACGCCCTGCGCCTACGGCAACAACTCGATCACGCCTCACATCCACGTCCTCGTCGGGCTTGCCGCTCGCGACGCCGCTCGCGCCGATGGCACTCTCGAGGGCGACGCCGACCGGTGGGGGCCCGCCAGCAGAGTTGTGAAGTCTCTCTGCGGCGTCGGCGATGCGCCCGATGCCGACCGTGGCGCGTTGCCTGTGGTCAGCCCGACTCCGCCAACGACCTCCGACCTCGCCTCTGGCTCGGGCGATGGCCTTAGTTGCGATCAGCAGGCCGCTGTGATCGCCCTTTCGGGAACTGTGAGAGACATTTTGAAGAATCGTTAACTCTAATAACTGCCTGAAATGTTCGTGTCGGCTTGTAAAAGATTTACGCCATCGACGCGCGCGCGCGACCGCGAGCGAGGGGTGCAGAGAGCTGCAACTTTGGCTTGGGGGGAGGTTCCGGCGAGTTTTTCGCGATCGGCCGCCCACGAAGGGGCCTAGCGAAACACCGAGACCCGCGACCGCACCCCTACGCTCTAGATCGAGGAGGCTTATATAGGTATCCGCTGTGCACCCTCGTCCCTCGACACGACATCATGCGCCGAGAACCACAAGCTCTTACGCCTTGGTCGTCCGGGCGGGCGCCGCCGTGCTGAGCCACCCCGCGCTGCGCCACGCCCCCGGTCGAGCCATCGCCTCGAAGAGCGCTCGGACCGACGGGTTGTGGTCAGCGTAAAAGGACCGCAGCAGAGCCACCGCCTGCTTGCTCTGGCCGGGTGGCGCGCGAGCCGCCGCCTCGCGCGCCGCGATCCCTTCGACGAGCGTGTCGGTGAGCGGGGGCAGCTGCATGAAGTCGGCGAGCTGGGTGCGGGAGCGCGGAGGGGTGGAGACATGTGAGGCAATGTGCGCGAGAGGGCGAGGGAGCGCAGCGGGCCGGGCAGGGAGGGTTGGCGACCTGCGCAGCGACGGCGCGAGGCTCCGCTGTCAACTGCGTCGCCTCGAGCAGTAAAAACTGCCGCGGGCTGAAGAGGCCTAGCCAGCCGCGCAGCTGCGGTGCGTACATGCCCCAGGCGAGGAGGCACTCCATCCAGTTGCACTGCAGCGTGGTGCACGCCTTCCAATCGTCAAAGCTTACGCCGCCGACGGCGGCACCCCTGCCCCGCAAGCAACCGCGAATGGCCGTCGCCTCGTCGCGCACCTTGCGCGCGAGCGTGCTCCCGTTGAAGTACCTCTGGTACCCCAAGACGCTGGCTGAAGCGCTGCCAGCGCGGCTGGCGTTTGGGGCGGCGCCGCGTCGAACGGCACCGGGCAAACCGTCCGAGCCGCGGAGCAAGCGACTCGGCGCGAGCCGCGCCGCAACAGCGCCCCGCAACGCACGCCAGTGTCGGAGTGCGAGCTCCGCCGGATCCCGCAGCACGGCGATGAAGCGCAGCTGCTCAGCAGGCGGGAGCGCTGAGCGGATGCGCGTCGCAGCCCAACGGGTGTGCAAGTAGGCGGTGGTGTCAACGAGGTGAGCGCAGGGCCTGCCCAGCGCTGTCCCATTCGAGATGGTAGCCGAGGTGAGCAGGTCAGCTCGTCGCATCAGGCGGGAAGCGGCGCGGGCGAGGCCACCAAGGTAGCGTGTGTCGTCATCGAAAAGGCTGAGAGCCCCGACGCAAGTGCCATGCTCTTGCCCGCCGTGCAGTGTGGCAGTGAGCACCTCGGCGGCTGCTTCACGAGGCCCGAGCAAGAAGACCCGCGGTCTCGGCGCGCTTCCGAGCCACCGGCCGGCGCCGACAGCTGAGGCCTCTGGCGGCTCCCCACTGGCGACTAGCGCGGCTCTCAGCGAGGCCATTGACGCGAGAAGCGCGCGGCGACCCGTCGCGCCGATCGCCTGTTCCGCCTCATCGCCACGGGGCAGCCAAGCGGCGGCACGCCAGAGGGCCTGCGACTCTGGATCGACCTCGACCAGGAGCGGCGCAAGCCGGCCGTTGTATCGCGCGAAAAAGGCGCGCAGCATGTCCTCGGCGGCCTGTCTCGCGGCGGCAATGCTGGCCCCCGCCGCGGTTGCCGCGTGAATGGTGCGGTGCACTCTGCGGCCGTGTGCTGGAGCGACAGGCCCTTCTTCAGCCGCTGTGCTGTTTGGTGGGGCCGCAAGGCGGTCCGAGAGATCCTGTGCGACGCACTCGGGCCGCGCTAGGCCGAGGCGTTCGAGGGCGGCGTGCGCGGCGGTAGGCTCGGCAAGGGCCTCCGCAGGAAGCACGATCCACCGAAACGCTCGCGCCGCGGCGAACCACGCACGCAGCTGAGGCTCGTAGATTCCTCCGCCGACCACGGACGAGCGAAGTCCCGAGGCGATCAGTGCACATTTCTCCCAGCGCTCGCTGCTTAGCTCGCTCGCCGCGCCATCCCCCGTCGAGCGTGCCGCCACCTCGGACTGCGCCTCCTGGCGCTTCTGCCCGCCGCCACCGTCTCCCATGCCGCCGCTCAGCGCCGATGGCTCGATACAGCGCAGAAGCGCAGACGCCTCGGCGTACAGCTTGCCTGCGTAGGTTGCGCCGCGAGCGTAGTCCTGCCGACGGCGAAGCTCGCGCCATCGCACCGCGGCGCGTGAAGCAGGGTCGCGCAGCAACACAAGCAGTGTCGTGGAGGGCCGCAGCGTCGCCGGGAGTCGGAGCATCGCCTCGGAGGAGTGCAGGTACGAGCCGGAGCCGTCGATGCCGCGCGGCTCCCCGCCGTCGATGAGCGGCCAGCGGCGCAGGTACCACTCCTGGCCGAGGAGGAAGCGCGCCTCGACGTCAAAAAAGTTGACCTGCCGGTCCCGCCAGCTCGGCTCCGAAGCGTCGGCCCCCGCGGCCGCCATGCCGCCGACTCGAGAAAGCGTGCGGAACATCTCGACGACGCCGCATCCCTCGCAGCCGAGCATCACCACTGCGGGCCCAGGGTAACGCACTGGTGCCGGAGGCGGTGGCGGTGGAAGCGTGAAGGGGCGGCCGGGCGACACTGCCGCCTTAGCAGCCGGGTCGGCGGCGGCTGGGCGGAAGGTGGTTGTCGGAGGCACACAGTAGGGCGCAACACAGACGCGCTCAGCCTCTGCGACGCAGCTGGACAGCCGACGGTCGCTCATGGCATCGATGCTGGCCTGGTGGCACGTATAGTACGAGTAGTTGTACGCGGCGGCGACGCGGTCGCGAAAGGGCGGCCAGCAGCTCTCCCCGATGAGCCAGTCGGTCGGAAAGTGGCCGTACTTTGCCTTTGGCTTGGCCTCATCGTAGGTGTTGAAGTGGACCAGAAAGACGTCGGGCACCTGCGTGCACAAGGTCAGAGTCGGCTTATAGCGCTCGGCTGAGCGCAAGCACAGGCCGGAGAGGGGAGGCTAAGGATGGAGCCCACCACGTGCCACGCTGCTTGCTTGGCGGCCAGCTCGTAGTTCCAGGAGACCCGGTCCTTGCCATAGCCCACGAATGTCTCCTCGTAGGCGTGTGCGTCGGCGCGAGGTACGATGGTGTAGGGCTCGCACCCAAACCGATACTCAGTGGCAAAAGGCGTGTCTGCTGAGAGGAAGGTGTGCACCTGGAGCGAGGGTGGCGAGCGGAGCGGCTGTGAGATGAACGGGCGGTGCTGTTGGCCACCGCGACGGCGACTCGGGCGGAGCTGGTGGCGCTGGTGGCGGCATCGGTGCCAGCGGGGCAGGGGTAGCAGCAGTAGATCACGCTCGCCTGGTCGCACTCGTGTCCACGCTCGTAGACGGCCGAGGCAAAGGAGATCAGATCGCCCGAGCCGACGAGCTGGCGCAGTGCCGGCTTGTCCAGCGCCTCACCCTCCGCCTCGCTCGGCCGCGGCCCGACTTGCTCAAAGGCGGCGACGACGAGGACGTTCTTCGAGCCGGGCCGCACCTCGAGCTCTTCGAGGCGCGAGCGCAGCCGCGCCGACGGTCGCACCGGGTAGGGAACAAAGTCTACGTCGGCCGCGAACACGTGCGTCGCCTCGCACCCTCGCAGCGCCGCGTTGCGCAGTAGGTTGTAGGGGAAGCGGTTGGACGGGGCGCGGTAGCCGACGTCACTTACCAGGGCGAGCGCCACGCGCTCTGGCGCCGCGACGGACCTGCCACGGTAGCGCAGCGCCATGTCTGGGCCCGCACCGGCGAGCGAGGCGTACTCGTCCGCCTCGACGAGCATTGCGATGGAGACCCAGCCGTCCCACGAGAGCAACATGCGGTGCAGCGAGGCAAGCCGCTCCTGCGTCATGATGGTGAGCAGGCAGACGTTGGAGAGAGGGTCGAATGCGCCGGCGGCCGCCACTCCGCTCGCCATGCCCAGCACGGCGACGGCCACCGGCATCCTCATAGCGGTGAGGGAGGAGGCCCCTGGCGGGCGAGGCGCCCCCACCGCGCGTTCGAAATCGGCGGGCGCTTCGCCGCGAACCTGCGCGCAGGCGAGGAAAATTGAATTCTTTTAGCCGGGTTGGCATGCCCGCACCGCGTCCCGCACCACTTTCGAGGCGCTCCTCGTTGTTGTTGCTTCTCGCCGTAAACGAGGTGCACTGCTTTGCCATCGCCGCAGCACCAGCACCGAGACCACTGCTACTGGCGTCGAGGCAGTGGGCGCCCAGACTCGTCGAGCCGGACACGTGGTCAGAGTGGACTCTCCGCGATGTCGGCATCCTCGACGGCAGTGTGCTGGCAGTGGCAATGAGCGGGTTGTTTGTCCTGAGCTCTCGCAGCGGCAGCGGCGGCGGCGGCGGCAGCAGCGGCAGCAGCGGCGGCGACAGCAGCGGCAGCAGCACCCGCGATCCCAACGAGCTGCCATCCATCCTTGAGGCGCGCGAGTCTCGCAGCGGCGGACCGCCACAGATGGCGGCGCCGGCGGAGGCGCTGCCTGATATCGTCGTCCCGGCTATCAGCGACACGGACGACGAGCGCCTGTGGGTGCCGCAGACGGATTGCCTTTCCTTCCGGCCGCTTTGCCTGTGCGTGAGCCAAGGCTACTACGTCAATCTTCTGCGCTTCGTCGGCGGTGGCACGCTCGGCTGCCACCGACACTCGTCGCCGGTGCACGCCCACACGATCCGCGGGACGTGGGGCTACAAGGAGCACGCGTGGGAGGCGCAGGCTGGCACGTACGTCTTTGAGCCACCCGGCGAGACGCACACGCTCGTGGTCGGGGAGGAGGAGATGATTACGCTCTTCCACGTGACGGGCGCCCTCTTGTACTGCGACCCCGACGACCCCGCCACCGTGCTCGGCTTCGACGATGTCTTCACAAAGCTGGAGAAGGCGCGTGCGCACTACGAGCACGTTGGCTTGGGCGCAGATTACGTGGACCAATTCATTCGATGACGGCATGGCGGGCGGCCGGAACGATCTTCTTTCCGGCTGTGTTTCATTCATCATTCGAATACCGCATAGGAAAGAAGTCATGTAGCCGCTCGTGCCCTGTTAGCTGTTTCTTATTTGTCAAGAGACTACACTATGCGGAGATCAACTATGGGGGGGGGCAGATCAACTAGAAAGAAAGAAAAAAAGGGAGGGGGAGGACGGCACGCCGCCACCCCACAGGGATTTTAAAGGGCAGATCAACTAAGCGCCCGAACGAGAAATTTCTTTTCCTTGCACGGCTCCCTGCCCGTGGATGCTCCTCGCGCTGCTGACCCCGCTCGGCCTCAACGTCCCGGCTGCGTGCCCGCGGGCCGCCGTCGCTGCGTGCACGCCAGCGGCTCGCGCGGCGCCGGCGGCCGCGGCCGCGACGGCCGGCTCTGGCGGCCTCAGCGCAGCCGCCGCGATCGCAGCCTTCTGGTCCCAAGTGGTTGAGACACAGAAGACGCAGACGCGACGAGAGGCGACCCTGCCGATCGAGGCGACGGCGGACGCGGCGCTCGTCCTGGAGTACATGAACAGCTGCGCTGACCTTTGCAGATCAGACGCCTGCTCCGTCACGCTGCCGGCGACGGAGCAGGCGACAGCGGACGCGGCCATCCGGGTGGTCGTCGAGCCCACGGCCGCCTCGTCGCTCGAGCCGCCGCCGTCGCCCGCCAGAGAGGCCGCCGCCAGCACCACGCGCGAGGCGGCCCTCGAGCAGATGATGACGTGGTTCACGGGCGCGCTGATGGCTTGCGAGATCGGCGACATCGACGCCGACGCGGACGACGCCGCGACGGACGACGAGACGTTCGTCGCGCTGGGCCGCTCGCTGCTGCACACCAAGTCGTCGGAGGTCACCTTCGCCCCCACCGTCCAGGAGATGCACGCCGACCTCTGGAGGCTCGTGGCCGAGTCGGACTACCTGCTCGACGGCTCGGGCGGCGCGCGCACCCGCCGCTGCCGTCCGCCCAGCGCCGGCTGGCGTGCCTCCGTGATCAGACCGCCGCGCCACGCCGCGCCCGCAGGCGCCGCCCTCTTCGTCGCCCCCGCCTTCACCAACTTTGAGATATTTGACGACTTCAGCCTGCTTGTGCGCTCGGGGCTCCGCTACCTCGTCTCGCCCAAGATCGAGGTGCACGTGTACCACCCGCTCGCGCGGAGCGAGAGGCTGCGCGCGCCAATGCCGACCGTTCACATCTATCTCGACAACGAGGACCTGTTCGCTGACGGCGACGGCACACTCGCCTCCCTCCTAGGCTCGATGTGAGCGGCAGCGCACTTGGAGCACTTGGAGTGCAGTCATTACCAATTTCTTGGGCGTCCAATTTCTTTTTTCGTGCCAGTGCGCGCCAGTCCCGTGCCCAGTGTTGTGCGAGGGAGTTTTGTTGTAAGATTCTTTTTTCCACACAAGTGGGACGCCCAAATGGGACGCCCTCCGACCAACCCCCCAGTCCCGGACTTGCTTCGAAAAGAGCTGAAGAATCAAATGCCATGCCTAGCACCCCGCGCACTCCTCGGAACGGACTATCGCACAGTCGTTCCGATTCTGGCGGTGACTCGATTTGGTGTGGAATAAAGAGGCAGCTCTCCGCAGCGCAGCGTGTCTGGTCGGTCGGGGCAACTGACGGGGCAACGGGCGCACTGCCGGAGTATCTGGCCGCACTATTGGCGCAGCGAGAGCCAGTTACGCTTGAGCGGCGCATGGAGGAGAGCCACGACACTCCGCCGGGCACCTCTATCTGGCTGCCAGCCGGCGAAACGCTTCTTCGCGAGCTCCAGCTGCCGTTGACAGAGGTGAGCCATAGCGTGGATGCCATGTTGACGACATTGGTGCTTTACCCGTACCGCTGACCTGCCAGGCGTCCGTCCTCGACCTCGTCGCTGAACTGAGCGCCGGCGCGCTGCCGACACTGCAGTACGTGGCCCGCTTGCTGCGAGAGATTACGACCCTGCTGGCTCAGGCAAGGACGTCATCTTGCCCGCGACAATTGCCCGCCACACTAAAACGCGGCTCTCGCATTTTAGTTCCCAAACGTGCGGCGCTACCACGTGCCGACCGGCTGCGCCGTCACTGTCGTCGGCGACCTGCACGGCCAGTTCGGAGACCTGCTGCACATCTTTCGCAGCCAAGGCTTCCCGTCCGCCACGCGGCCGTACGTCTTCAATGGCGACTTTGTCGACCGCGGCCCGGCGAGCGTCGAGGTCGCCCTCACGCTGTTTGCCTTCCAGCTGCTGCTCCCGAACAGCGTCTTCCTCAACCGAGGCGCGTGTGGGGCGGGGTCCTCTTCCTTGCCACACTCGTGACGCGTCACGATACCTCCGCAGGCAACCACGAGGAGCGGTCCGTCCACTCGCAGTGCGGCTTCCAGGCCGAGTGCAACGCAAAGTACGGCCCGGATGACGGCGCCGCCGCGATCTCCGAGCCGCCTTCCCCGGGGAGTCTTCCTTGGAGGCTGCCTGGAACGGTCCTAGGCGCGACCGCCTACGAGCTCTTCTCCGAGGCCTTCGACCATCTTCCCCTCGCCACGATCCTCAACGACAAGGCGCGCGCTCGTCAGCCGCCGCCATTGTCACCCAATGACTTCCTCCCAACTCTCTCCTCCCACCGCCACGCCGGGCCAGCCGCCCTCCCCTCCCTGGCAGGTGCTCGTCCTGCACGGCGGCGTGGACGACGAGATGACGCTCGAGCAGCTCGAGCGGCTGCCGCGCAAGGAGTACACCGTCAACCAGGCCCGACGCTTTCCCCTCACGCTTCGCTCGGATCGTGCCCCGCCACTCCCCCCAACCCCCTCTCCCCTCTCGCAGGCCAGTCTGCTCGGGTTTGGCCGTCCGGGCGGCCTAGTGCACCCTCACATGCGCGCGAAACTCGTCGCGATGGCGGCGCGGGAGAAGGAGTTGCGCCCGATCCACTCGGCCCTCTGGAATGACCCGGGCACCGAGCCCGGCGTCAAGCCGAACCCATACCGTGGCGGCGGGTGCCTCTTCGGCGCCGACGTGGCCGCCGGCTTCCTCGAGCGGAGCGGGCTCGGGCTCATCCTCCGGTCGCACGAGGAGGTAGTTAATCCCTGCCGCTAGCTCTAGTCTTGCCGCCGCTTGCCACCCTCACACCACCTACCCGCCGCCCGCCCCAACCGCAGGTGCCGGAAGGCTTCCACTGGCCGTACGGGCCGGGGAGGCACCTCGCGACTGTCTTCTCCGCATCAAACTACGCGGGCAAGACGCTCAATAAAGGCGCGTATGCGCTGCTCGGCGCGGCGGGCTCGTGCCCCTCCGACCCGGCCTTGAACCCCCCGCCGATCGACGCCACGCCCGCCGCCGCGGCACTGCCAAGCGCCGACGAGGAGGAGGAGGAGGGAGCGACGGCGGAGCACCCGTTCGGAGGGTTGCGGTTCGTGTCCTTCGACGCGGATGAGCTGCCGCGGTTGCGCGTGGCGCAGCGGCAAGAATACCTCCTTGCCTCCACCATCTTGGTGCAGCGCGACGAGCTGCTAGCCGCTTACCAAGCGACCGCCTCTGTGCGTTGGCGGGCGGGACGGCGTCTAGATGTCTTGAGCGGCGTGCTCTGCCGTGAATAGGCGGCCGACCGGGGGGCGACGGGCGAGCTGCCCGTCGATGTGTGGGAGGAGGAGACGCGGTGCGTGCTGCGCGCGCCGCCGATGCTGCTCCCGCCGATGCGCGGCTTCCTTCTCGGCCGGGACTGGGGTGGGTCGCCGACGGTTCGCTACCAGGCTTTCCTCCTCGGCCGCTTCCGCCTGGCGGTACCGCAGCTGGCGCCGCTGCTTCCGTATCGCGACTACCTCGTGCTGATGCTCGCCAACCTCGACACCAAGCGGAGCGGCGCCGTCTCGTCGCGCCAGTTCGCTGCTGCGTGCCGCGCGCTGCACTTGCACTTTGGCGACGCCGCGGCGCTGTGCGCCAAGCCGGGCGAGGTGCTGGCTGCCATGGGGATTGGGTCTGGGCGGTCGAAGGAGGGGAGCGTCGCCATCCGGGGCGTGGCGGCGCAGCTGTGCGTGCTGGTGGCCGACTGCCCCGCGGGGGTAGGCGGCACCTCGCTGAGCGGCTTCCTCTCGCGGCTCTCGACGGACGAGGTCCTGCTCTCTCTGCTCGCGGCGCAGCCGCCGCCGCCAGAGACGCCGCGGGACGGCGAGCCGATGGAAGAGGAGGATGTTCACTAGTCTCATTTCATCTTTGCAGACAGATACGAGATACTGCGCGGTCGTGCTTGGAAATCCTGCATGCACATGTGTAAGTGTTGTGACTTCTCGTGTTAAAAGAAAGAAAGAAGAAAAGCAGAGCGCCCCGCCCCCACCCCCACCCCACCCCACCCCACCCCGTGAGAGTGACGCTTCCCCGACAGCGGGATGTGGGAGAACGGCACCACGGGCCGTGAAAAAAGGCACATCGGCGGTTCGTAACGTATCGGGTGTTACTAATCTAGTGTAATTGCTCTCTCAAAGCGACAAATTTGATAAGCGGGTCAACAGTCCCGGTTCTGCAGGCATCTTCAAGCGCATCTCTTCGAGCGCCCCCTGCGGTTCTGAAAAGACCGAGAAAATTTTGCATTCGAAGGCAAGTGATTGCAGCTCTCGCCGGCTCGAGCCACGTTCATTGGTCACCGCCTAGCTCCGGAGCAACATCATGTCGGCTCCTCTCGGGCGGCGCAGCTCTGACACAAACGTTTCAACCTATTCATATTCAGGCGACTACGCTCGGCCCCAGCGCGAGGCTGGTGCTTGCCACCGCTTGAGGCGGCGCTTGCAGCACCACGCGCAGGCAATTTGTCTCCTGCTAGCCGCCGTCGCCGTGGCAGAGCGAATCTTTGCGGTCTCAGCTCACTTTGAACCCGTGTGAACCTTCATGAGCTTCTCGGGAAGCACGGCATGCGTGTTCGCCGGCAGCCAGGCGTCGGCCAGTGCATCACGGACGCACCTTCGCCGCCTCCTCTTCGGCAGCCTAGCTTTCCCTCCGCTGTGCAGCGGGTGCGTCTTTTTCGTTCGCTGGCGAGCCGACGGCGGTGCCGATGACCTCTTGCGTTTAGTGACCGCCCTCGGGTATGGTGCTGCAACGCTCCGCATCCAAGCCACAAATCGCATCTGGGGCGTCAAGGAGGTTGATAGCGTCCGATTGTGGCGTGTGATGCGACGGGTGATTCTCGCACGATGCATTGCTTTTGCGTGGGGGACCGTCGCCCTCTACCTCTTGCAGACTATTGCGCCGGAAGCGTGCAGATCACTTGACACGTATGTTCCAAGAGATTTGTCGCTTCCCGCCGCGCTCAGTGCTCTCCTCGGCACTGCCACTGCCTATGCCGCTGCGACTGAGGGCACCCGGCGGCGCGTGTTGCGGCTGTGGCAGGTGCCGCTCTCCTCCCTCCTCCCACAGGACCTCGGCGAGCTTGCGCCGCTCCTCGAGCTCGACCGGAGGCGCCGGCAGTTTTCGAAAGCCTTCGTGGGCGGCGGGTCCGCTGTGGCCGGCGCAGACGCCACGACTCCCGCAGGGTTGCGGCGTACCACGGCAACGCGCGCACCGTTGCGCCGGCGCGGCGAGGGTTCGCTTCGCGATCCCCTCAACACATCTGTTTAGATGATTTGGGAGTGACCAATCTGTTAGGTAGGGGAGACCGCGCAGCGCGGTATTTAGTTGGGCGACCCAGCATCTAGAGAGAGCATGAAGAGAGAGGCGGCTAGGGCGATCCAGAATATAGAGAGAGAGGAGCAGAGCTGAGAGGACCTGCCCACACCGTGAGAGGATCAGGAACAGGATGTGAAAAAATCTAAATTAAATATTCTTATCTTCTCCCTTGCCTCCGCGACGCTTCACGCCGCTCCTGAGGGACAGTCAGAGTCTCACCACGGATACGCATACGTCCGTGGGAGTGCCCCCCTCCCCCACCTGCCCTGCTTAAAAAAGGAATAGCATGCCCCGAGAACGGCGACATCTGGCGGGGGAACCAGGGAAGGAGGTTTGGCCTTTGTCTTTCTTTGTCCTCTCGGAGGAACATGTTCTCTCGGCGCCCATGGCCTTTCTTTCCGACTTAGCTCTTATGGGACCCCTAGGGTTCTGAGGGCCGGATTTTTTAAGACCTTTTAAGAAACGAGGAGATTTGGGGGCTGAAATTGCCATTTAAGAGATTGCAGGCACGGGGGGTCCCTCTTTTAAGACCGTTTAAGAATTTTGAAAATCGGCCTCACCGGCCATGCGTCGCTGGGTTCCGCGCCGTTTTCTCCAATACTGCCGTTATTAGGCACAAAACCGCCTCTGAAGACACATCTGTAAGTCTGGTGCACTGGCAGGAGCCATACTCGCATAGGGGGCGCGTGCTAGCTGACTGTAGCCAGCTTCCCGGCCTCCGGCGTCTACCGGGAGCCTCCCGCGCGGACCATCGACCTCGGGAGCTCTCCCGCACCGTTTAAGCCCGTTTAAGACCGCGTTTAAGGATTCGGCGGCCCAGCAGCTCTTAAAACCTGCCTAGGCAGGTTTTAAGCCGTTTAAGCTGCAGGCGCCCCAGGGCCCACCCTTTTAAGCCTAGGGGTACCCTAAGCTTTCCGAGGTTTCGTACGCTAATGACGTCCTCTCTTCTTTGTGTGCACCGTCTTTGGAGGAACAGAGGATATGAGGTGAGTCTGAGAGACTTTTCTTCTCAGACTCAGTTGTAGAGTATGTACATGCACACAGAGAGAGAGGGCGGGGGGCCATACTGCTTGACTGTACACGACTTTGGGGTATCCAAGTCCAAACTCACGTACTGTATTGACATGCTGTCACACTGACGCCGTGAGTCTAAAGTCTGAAATTCCGGGTCGTTTGCTCAGTCCCCGCCGTCGCCCAAGCACACTCCCGTCTCCTGAGCCGCGATGGTGCGTCCCTCCGCCGCCTCTTCGTCCAATGCCCAAGGGCCCAGCACGCGAGTGGCCTTGTGAAGGCTGGCGGCACGGGCGAGGAGCGGTCCGAGCGAGTCGCGTGGCACGGTCACCATCCAGCCGCTCGCCTGCAGAGTCAAACCGCGCGACGCTTTGTGTCGGTCTAGTCGCAGACACGGTCGCGATGCGGCCCTCGCCTCTCTCGAGCGCGTGAGCCACACGAGAGCCCCTACAGATGCGAGACAAGGCGGAGTGACGACACCGACGCGGGCTGCAAAAGTCGCGTGGCGCGCTCCTGCCGCCGCACGCTGCACTGCCGGCAACCGCGCACACCTCCAGCGCTCGGCTACAACGCTGGGCTGGAGCAAAACGCAATTGGCTGGTCGGCGGCACGCGAGAGCCTCGACTAGGGCGAGGGCCGCCACCGCCGCCTCCGAGCAGCCGCCGTCGCGAGTCAGCGCCTCGAGCAGCGAGGGCGGCTGCGCCGGCGCGGCGAGCTCGCTCGCATCGCCGCCCTCGCCTGCCCAGCCGCCATCGTCTGCGGGCGCGGCGAGCGCGACGATGAGGGCGGCTTCGGCCGCATCCGCCGCCGGGCACGCACAGAGCCACGCCGCTAGGCGCAGCAACGCCGCGGCGCCGCCGCCGTCGCCGCCGTCGGCCAAAGGAAGCGACGCAGCGGCCAGCGAGCCCGCGCCGGCGACGAGCAGAGGACGCGTGCTGACGGCAGCTCTCGCCTCCGACTCCGCTGACTCTCCGCCGTGCGCCCACTCGCGACTGCGGCCGTCCGCGTGCAGGGCGCGACAGAGAGCGAGCGACACCACGCCCGCCGCCTCCGCACTCGCCGACGCACTGCGGCCCGCCTTTGCGCCGCCATCGCCGTTGTCGCCCTCTCCGACGTCGCCATCACAGCCAACCCCTCCCTCGCCGCCACCCTCGCCGCGGCCGCGGCTCCCGTCCACGGCGAGTGCCCCGTGGACAAACGCGGCGGCGCGCGGCGCACGGCCCGCCCACGCACGCACGAGGGAGGCGACGGCGGTGCTCTTCGCCGCCGCGCTGCCTGCGCTGCGCACCGCTGCCCAGAGGTCGTCGCACGCGCTGCGGTGGCAGCCCAACCGGCCGGAGGCTTCGGCGCGGCGCACACGCAGCTTGACGTGCGACGGGGCGAACCGCAGGCCCGCGGACGCGCTCGCGCGCGCAGCCTCCCACGCCCCTAGCCGCAAGTGGACTGCGGCGGCGTTGGCGTGGAGAGTGGCCAGCAGGGAGGGCGAGCAGCGGGCGGCGGGCGGGTGCCGCAGCTCCGCGATCCCAGCCTCATACTGCTCCAGCGCCTCGCAAAGCATCGCGCGCGCGTCGGCGCTGCCTTGAACGCGGCCAGCCTCGACGAAGCTCTCGTTGCCTCTGAAGCGGCAAACCTCGGCCCGCGCCACCCGCCGCTTCGCCTCTGCTGCAGCCTCCTCCGCCACACCCGCCTCCGCCCACCTGGCCTCCTCTGCCACACCCGCCTCCGCCCGCGTAGCGTCCCGCCCGCCCATGGCCTCGCGCATCATGTCGGCCGTCGGCGCGGCGGGCGGAAGCTCATCGACTGTCGCCTGGTCGAGCGCATCGCCGCAGCCAGCGGCGAGACGCTCCGCGGCGCGCCGCACCTCGTCCTGGTGCGCACGCACCGCCTCCTCCTCCTTCTCGACCTTGGCGCCCAGAGCCGACAGGTCCTCAGCGCGCAGCGCCATCATCCCTTGCCGCCGCACCTGCGCCGCCGCGTCCGCCACCGCCGCAGCCCGCCCCGCTGCCTCCTCCTGCTCTCGGATCGCCGCCGCGGTCTCCTGCCCCGCCGCCGCCGCCTCCGCCTCGGCCGCGAGCCGCGCCGCCTCGTCCGCCGCCGCCGCCGCCTCCGCGTGCGTCTTGCCCGAGCAGATCGCGGCGGCAGCCGCCTCCTCGGCCGCCCCAATCGCCGCCTGAGGCGCCCCGGCTCGCCGCGCCGCCCCCGCCGCCATCCGCCCTGCGTGCCCCGACGCGGCCTTGCGCACTGCCGCCGCCGCCGCCGCGGCCGCCTCTTCCGGGGTGGGCGCGCCCTGCGAGGCGCGCAGTGCCTCGGCCGACGCCACCGCCATGGCTGCGTCCATCTTTGCGCCGAGCGAGACTGCCGCCTCTGCGGCGGCTGCAGCTGCCGCAACCGCCGCCGGAGGAGCGCCGCTCTCCTCGGCGAGACGCCGCGCGGTCGCGCCGGCCTCCGCGCCGGCCGAAGTAAGCGACGCCTATGGTATGCGACGCGGACGCGTGATGGGAACGTTCCGCGGTGCGGGAGCCGCGCCGCCCGCCACGGCAGAGAGCGCGCGCCTGCACAGCCTGCGCAGTATGCGCAGCGTCGGCTGGAGCGGCACCCGGCCCACCGCCCGCACTGACGCCGTGCTCCTCGCCGGCAGCGTCGGGCAGGCCTTGAGCGGCCAAAGCGCCGCCATCGCCGCCGCCGCCGCCGGCGGCGGCAGGGCCAAGCGATGCTGCAGCGGAGGGCGACGAGGGAGAGGCCGCGCCGGTGTCGTGAGCCGCGGCCTCCCCGCCCGCCGCTGCCGCGAGCACGCGCGCGAGCGCCGCGGAGGCGGCGCGGGTGGCGGGAGTCGGAGGCGAGCCGCTCTTGACGCCGAGCGGCGACTCGACGAGGAGTGAGCGGCGGGCGGACGCCACGAGCGGAGGCGTGATGTCGACCCAACGACCAGTCGCATCGGCATTCCACCAGTGGCGGACGCCGACGAAGATGCGCTCCGCGCCCGACGGCTCGTCCCGCAGCCGCTCGAAGACGCAAAAGCCCCGCACGACGCTGGTCCCGACGGACGCCTCGGCGAGACGAGTCGCGTTCGCAAACGATCTCAGCGGAAGCGGCACGACTCCCGCGGCGGCAGCCGCAGTTAGCTCGGCGGCGGACGGCGGCTCCACCGCCCGGCAGCGGGAGCCGCGCAGGTGGGAGCCACCCAGCAGGCGCTTGAGTGGCGGGCATGAGCGGAACGAGTCGGGCCAGCCGTCTGGGAAGCCGAGCCGGAGAGGCGGCTGCGTGGGTGGACGCCAGAGCGACTCGCGCGTGGCAGCGTCGGCGCACTCGACGTCGGAGTCATCGCCGAGAAGCAGGCCGTCGGCGAGGCTGGCCGCCATGTCTGTCGCGCGTCGCGTGCGTCGCCGCGGCACCAGCGAGCCAGGTCGGTCCGCAAGTCGGCGTGTTCTTTCTTTTTCAGTGTATGTAGCTCCTCGTTCATTCCCGTAGGAGGCTCTGCTGACAGGGTTTGCGATGAGGAGCGACCCGTTTTTGAAAACAAAAAACAAATTCTCGAGGGGAAAATTTGTTTAAGGTCATTCACGGGTGTCCGCGGCCCACTGTGCCCGCTGGTAGGACAGTGATCGCCGCAAACCCTGAGAACGGGTCCTTCAGCCACCAAAGCGGGATCACCCGAGAGCAGCTGAGCCTGCCTCTGGCCTCGCCTCCCTCTCCTTCAGGCATTCGTGGCATCCTATGGGTCGTCCAGAGTATCGACCTCTGGCTTGTCAGCCGCCCCACCGAGGGCACCATGAAGTACAGCGATCGCCATCTCGCTGGCCTCTTCGCAGGCCCCCCCGACCGCGTCGAACTCATCGGCGCGGGCTCTCTCGGCTACGGGACCGGCCCCAGCTTCGGCTGAGGGCTAACAAGCTGCCGAGCCCAAATCACTGTGAGAGTCGTGATTTCTTGTTGGTCTTTAAAAATCTCTCTCTCAAACCCTGTGGTCAGCTCCATATGATATATTTTTTGTAGGCATTCTCTCTCCCGTCTTAGGTATATTGTTGGTAGACAAGACTCAGAGCTCACACAGAATCACAGCGGGAGGAAAGCGGCGAGTCGCAATTCCAGGGGTCGTTGTGGCGGGCCACCCTGTCCAGAGAGGCATTCTCTCTCCCCGTAACACCAAAAAACTACTATGTCTTGGAGTGAAAAGTAATCCGAGCAAGCACGCGGCCGCAGTGAATTAAAAGGGGCGGTTTTCCTCCTCTTGTCGTGTGTGAGAGAGGTACTCGAGTAACAGATTTGGCAGGGGTCGAGGGAGACTGACCGCCGTCGAGACTGACCGCCGCCGAGCCGCTTTCTACACACCGGAACCCGATGCTGCCTGACCTTCTCGACGATCTCATACGCGTCAGCATCGCCGCTCGGTTGCCGGATCTCGCTGATCTGTCGAGTCTGGCCGCGGCGAGCCGCCGCATGCGCGCCCTCCTTCTCACGCGCGTTCAGCGCGGCCACGCAGTTCACCGCACGTCGCTCGAGCGTCTCGCCGAGAACCTCAGGGCACTCGTGACAAGAGAGAACTTAACGACATCACAATCACAGCTCGCCCATGCAGAGATCGCCGCGATCGCCGAGGCGCTGCGCGGCAACGGGGTGCTGACCAAGCTTAACCTCGCCCGCAAGAACATCCGTGACGAGGGCGCCACCGCGATCGCCGAGGCGCTGCGCGGCAACGGGGTGCTGAAAACCCTCTACCTACGCGAGAACCGCATCGGCCCCAAGGGCGGCGTCGCGATTGGCGAGGCGCGTTGCTCTCTCCTCCTCCTCTTGTGTCTCCGTTGCTCTCTTCTTCTTCTCTTCTAAATCCCTTGGGCTCCTCCCTGCCCTGGGGCTCTTTCTTCTGGAGCTCAAGAGATTCTGCAAGTGCTGCGGGTTATCGATAACAAAAAGCTCCTGGTGCTCTTTCTTCTGGCGCTCAAGAGATTCTGCAAGTGCTGCGGGATCGAGAAGGCCACGTTGCGTTGCCGCGTCGAACTCCCTACTGCGCGGCAACGCGGTGCTGAGAAACCTCAACCTCTACTACAACAACATCGGCGACACGGGCGCCATCGCGATCGCTGAGGCTCTGCGAGGCAACGGGGTGCTGACCAACCTCGACCTCTTTCGCAACGTTATCGGCCCCGAGGGCGCCGTCGCGATCGCCGACGCCCTGAGCGCGAGGCAGCGTTGGAAGCGCATAACCGACAGGTGGGAGAAGGTATCTGGGAAGCTGCGAGGGGTAAGCCGTGCCGCTACCCGCACGGGAGAGTGCCGCAGTCACGGATAACTCGGCGATGGTCAGGCTGACACCAGGCAGGCCGACGAAGCGGAGCTCATCGAAGCGTCGTGAGCCACCGAGGAGCATTGATGCCGGGACGTGCACCTCATTCCAGGGCGCGAGGGAGCTCTCGAAACGGGTGCACAATGGCACTTGAGGCGCCGGCAACTGAGTGGCGGCATCGAGCGCCGCCAGGCAAACATGCGCTTTGCATGGCCTCTCCCTGCTTTGAGACGGACCATGTATCGCGGACGTCGCCGCTGTACACGAGTACTTGACCGAGAATCTCGCAGCGGACGGCAGCAGCACCAAGCGGCGGCTGCGTAGGATGAGCTCATCTCCATCGGACCGAAAAGATGTGCGCAACATGCGTGAGCACGCAGATGGCCGATCACTCGCGAGCAGCGAGTCGCGCTCGGTCGCGTTCCAATCCCATCCGTGGTGCAGGCTGCCGTCAAAGATTGCGAGGACAGCGATGCAGGCATCGGCCTTGACGGTAGCCATATACAAATACACACGTGCTGGGGCGAGGTGGCCGAGACAGTGCGAGCGGCGGCACCATCTGAGGTGCCTGCGATGCGCCCGCCGGCTGCCCCCTGTTTCCCGCATCCTTCTTTTTCGGCTGCGGTTGGCCGGCGGATTCACGCCGGCCAAGAGCGGGAGCGCCAGAGAGAAGACAAAAGGCAACATGTAGCAAAGCTCTCTCTAACGCCGCGGCCAAAAGAGACCGCGGACCTTGAATTTCGGCGGCGCCGAAATTCACACAAGACTGTGAACACACCCACAGGACGCCGAGTACAAGACAATAGGAAGGGAGTGTACTCAGGCAGTCAGGGACGGGTGAGTTCAAGAACATACAAAGAGCACCTAAAGGAGCAAGGCCATACAGCTGTGAAGTGGTTTTCCACTCACTGACACCAGGCTATCAACGCCGGCGGTCGACATGCCTTCGGAGCGGCGCCAGGTCTGGCTCACCTTGCTCTCCATTGCTCTCGCAGCCGGCCTTGAGGACGGGTCCGCCCCCTTCTATGCCGCTCTCACAGCCGCTGTGGACGTCGCCAACAGCACCGGCGTCCTGGTCAAGCTCAAAGCGGCCGCGGAGACAGTTGGCGCCCGCTGCTTGGATGGCACGCCCGGAGCCTACTACATTCGCAAGGGCGCGGGCACAGGCGCCAACAAGTGGTACATCCACCACCAGGGAGGCGGTTGGTGCGAGTCGCTCGACGACTGTCTGCGCCGTTCCAAGGGAGGCCTCGGCTCATCCACCGGGTACGCGTCAACCACCTCGGGAATGGGAGGCGGCTACTTCAGCCCTCTGCCGAGCGTGAATCCGATGATGTACAACTGGAACTCGGTCTACCTCCAGTACTGCGACGGTGGTTCCTTCTCCGGCAACAACGACACCGTCACCGTCCACAAAAACACCAGCCTCTACTTCAGGGGCAAGCGCATCCGTGAGGCGTCTTACGCCTCGCTGCTCGCCAGCGGGCTGACCAATGCCACCGATGTCGTCATTTCTGGGTGCTCAGCCGGCGGCCTAGCCACCTTCCTGCACACCGACCAGTGGTGCGACGCCCTCGCCGCCGACGCGCCGTCGGCAAAGTGCGTGGGCCTGCCCGACTCTGGCTTCTTCCTAGACTATCAAAGCACCCAGGCGCCGGGGCGCGCGGAGGCCTCGTCGCGCCGCCGGCTCACCACTTTGCCGGGTGATTACCACGCCGGGCTCAAGTGGTGCTTCGAGGCGTTCAACGCCACAGCCGGGGTCAACCAGGACTGCATCGCCGCCCACGGCACCGGCGGTTTCGCGACCGACTCGCCGCCCTACCTCTGCATGTTTGCCGAGCACACGGCGGTCTTCACGCACACACCTATCTTTGCGCTGCAGTCCGAGTACGACTCATGGCAGTCGGGACACGTGCTGCACCCCGGGGACAGCGTGCAACTGCTGGGCGACAACCTGACAAAGCGCATCGGCGGGAACCTGGTTGGTCCGCACCCGAGCAGCGGGGCATTCCTCGACTCGTGCCACCACCACTGCGGGTCGTGGAACGACATCCGTATCGACGGCCAGCTGGTCAGCGAGGCGTTTGCGCAGTGGTACGACGCGGTCGGCACGAAGGGCAAGAAGCCAAAAAGGATCTGGAAACAGGGCCAGGCCTACCCGTGTGACCGATGCTGCAAGCCCTAAACTGCCAACCTCATGAAGGCACTCTCTGGGTCGAATGCTTGTGGGAGTCGGGACGCGGCGTCGTCCTCTCACTTCGTTCGATGTGTTTGGTTTAGGTTTGAACGAGACCGTGATCCGTGTGTGTGCTGCGCGGAGGTATCGCTGATTTTATCTATATAATTTAAATCCCCGCAAATCGGGCGCATTTGTTCTGGGCCTGTCCGCCCCCGCGACGGCGTCATCGCGCATACTGTATGGTAAACGCACGGAACAACGCGCGCGCACGAGCACGAGAAGTGTCGCCCGACGGAGAGCGGGACACAAAACGACACACACAAACACTGCTTCGATCACCTGCACGTAGAAATGCAAACCCGCAGGTGAGAGTCAAACTCCCGTCTTACACCTCATGGTGCCAGCTGGTCCGCGCCCGCCGGAAGGAGGCCTACGTGCAGAGAGAGTCATTCCTCAACGCCGAGGCTTAGGGAGGGGTGGGGCGAGGCTGCGCTTGGCCACCGTTCACAATCTCAGAGTAGAACCTCCGATCGCCGCCAACGCAATAGTCCCAGTGACGTCCCTCCGTAAAGTGCAAGCCGTCGCTGAACACGTATCCCTCGTCCCGGACGGCCCTTCCTCGCTCCCACGTTGCGTTGTACTTGCCGCCATTCGAGAAGGTCAGTGTTCCCCTTTGGGATCGGGCACAAGGCACAACGGAGCGTGAGTCGTCTACTGCGCCAGTTCGTGCGCTGATGCCTACTGCCTTGGCACAAGGGATGGAGAGAAAGGCTTCGTGAAAGGTCATTAGCGGTTCCGTATTCGCGTACCTGCCGTGGAACATGCCGTCGACAAAGGAGCCAGTATAGACGGTGCCTACGCCATCGAGCTCTGCAGTCAAAAATCTAGCCGGAGCTCGAAGCGCGGAAGCAGCCACGCCGTTTGGAAAGGAATAGCTGCCCTCGCCGTCGCGTTGCCACGGCCTGCCGCCCAAACCTCTTCCTCCATCAGGAGGCGGTGACGCCTCGACTGAGCCGCCGGCGGGCGGGACCTCGCCGGCGGAGCCGCTGGGTAGCGAGCCGTCCGCCGCTTCGAGGGCCGCGGGCACTGCAGCCTCCGCGCTTGCTTCTTCGCTCATGTGTGTCGTATTATCGGCGTAACGACGAGGGAGCGTAATTTCTTTTCCTTCCGCAAAAAAAAACAAAGTTTCTCCCGACAGGCCAGTCCGGCGCCCGGTGTGTTCTTTTTTTGCACCGGGCGCGTCCCACGATGTATTCTTTTTTTGCACAACACTGGGCGGCACTGTGCTTGGTAGAAATAAAGAAAACAGACGCGAGGGGAGGGATGGGAGGACGGCGAGAGTGCGAGGGGTGGAAAATTATTTCCCCTGTGTTAGTGCCAGTGCGCAAAAGAAAGAAAGAAAACAGACAACCCAAACGAGGGATGGGGGAGGAGGACCACAGCCCACAGCGCACAGGGTCCCCACCCACCTGCACAAGCAGGATTTTCAGTGACAGTGTATGTATTTTGGAAGGACGTTCAGGGGAAAAGAATGAAAGAAAACGCTCAGGCCAAGGGAGGGATGGGAGGACGGCACGCTGCCACCACACAGGGATTTTAAGGAGAGGGGTGTCTGAGGAGAACGGACGGAAACGGCCCCCCCTCTCATGGCTGACCCTGGGCATGGCCTCTCTGGGGGTGAGCTGGGTCGGCCTGCATTAGCTCCCGCTCCCATGTGTGGGGCATCTTATCGTGCCACACCCAGCTGTCGCTCTGCTCGCCTTCCCATTCGCAGAGGTACTCCCATCCGTGTTCGTCCTCCTCCGTGCCTCCCCCGTAGCAGGTCGGCGCCTTCCTTGCCGCCTTCACCTTGCGCACCCTATCGGGCGCCCTCCGTTCCGTCTTCTGTCCGTGTGCGCGCTCTTCTATGGCCGCCCACTTCCAGTATTGTCGCAGCTGCGCCCACTCTGGTCGCTCCAGCTGCTCCGCCAGCCTCTTGTATTCGCTATGTTCCGTCGTGTTGTCTTTGAGGCCATAGACTCGCTTCATTTGCGGCCACGTCAACACTTCCCCGGTGCCCCATTCTGACACGTCCGACCATGTCGCTATCCCGTGCTTGGCTAGGTTACGTGCAAAGTCACACGCGAGGCCTTGGTTATTCCAGCCATGACTCCTTGTCTCAAAGAGGAGCGGGCCCAGTACTCTCTTTCGGCTCTCGGTCGTTCTCCACGCCTCGGGTCTGAGCGGCCCCTTCTTGCTCTCTTCCCACCCTGCTGTCGTGACCGTATCCACCCCACACCTCCATTTTGCCTTTAGATATGCTTCGATCATTAGTTCGTCCGAGAGCTCCCTTTCCCAGTCCCAGCTCGGCTTCCATTCCAGCGGGTTGTCACTTCGGCATCCCAGCCTCCTCAACGTGTGCGCTAGGCTGCTCTCCACGGCCACCCTCGCTGGTTCCCCTTCCACCGCGCTGAGGGCCCGGTCCACTTGATCGATCAGCGCCGCCGCTGCGTACGTGTACGCGTGTTCCATTCCCATCCCTCCTCTCTCCTTCACATCGTATATTTGTAGTCGCGGGATTCCTACCGAGTACCCTTTTGCGTTTAGGGCGCTCGCCCTCACTTGTTCGATGCTCTGGCAGTCTTCCCATGTGATGACCCCGTGGACCGGCCGTAGTAGCCGATAATGCCGCTCAGTGCTAGCGCCATGTTGCGTCGGATCTGCTCTCCTGTCAAGTGCGGCAGGTTGCCTATGATCCAGATTACTCTCTTGCAGTCCGCTACGCACCGCTCCCTCATTTCCGTCTGGCCCTCGCCGTTTGCCCACCCGGTCCTTAGCTCCGTTCCGAGGTATTTGTAGCTCTCGTCTCCCTTCAGCTGTGGTATCGGCATGCCATCCGGCATCCTCATTTCGTAGCCCTCGACATCCCGCTCTTCGTTGTTCTCCCAGTACGTCGCTGACCATGCCGATTTCTTCTTCTTTTTGACCTGGAGGCTGTTGCCACAGATCTTTGTCACTAACCAGGCGCACTCTAGCGCTAGCTGCATCGTGGCTATATCGTTGCTGAGGAACAGGCCGTCGTCGGCGTACACTAGCTGCGGCACGCTCTCACCCGCCGCTGTGAAATCAAATCCTCTACACAGCTTACTGACTGTTCGCTGCATCACGGCCAGCATGAGCTTGCTGCGTGCGGGCGAAAGGAGGCACCCTTGGCCGAGGCCTTGCTCGATGGGAAATCGGTCGCTCAGTCCATAGCCCGTCTCGTATCTACCTTGGAGGGAGGGTAGCTCCTCCCCAAGTCCTTCTCTTAGCGCCTTCATCACAGCTGTCACGTCGGGCGGTACCCCTGCCCATTGTTCCACCTTCCATTGCACTTCGTGTACTACACTCATAAAGTAGGTCCCGAGATCGATGTATCCCCTCACGCACATCTTTCTCTCTATCATGCACTCTTCTGCGTGCAGGCGCGCGGTGAGTGTCTGCGCTGGCGCGTTCTTCCCGGCTGTGAAGCCGCATTGCGAGCCGGGGACTACTCTCGCGCACGCTCTATCGTATTCGGGTAGGAGCATACGCATGAGACCTTTTAACGACTGTGGCTGGACCCAGAGGTCGCGCCTTCGTTCGAGCTCCTTCGGGTCCTCCCCCGGCTTCATCGCTAGCATCGCAATCCAGTCATTCCATTCCCGCGGATACGCTTCTGTCTCGACAATCTCTACCAGCAGGCGCCAGTAGTCTCTTTGAATGTCCTCCGTTGCTATGCGCAGTAGGTATCCGTCGAGTAGGTCCGAGCCGACCGCCTTGCCCTTTTTGAATCGTCTTATGGCCTTCTCGCACGCCGCCCACGTGAGTACCTCCTCCTTCAGTCGTTCCGTCCCCTCGCTCGGTGTGGGTTGTCCCCCCGTCTCGGGTTGGGTCAGCTCTAGCAGCTTTTCTACCGCCTTCATGTCAACCTCTCGCCTCTTATTAATCTCCCTCCCCCTTTCCGCTGCCGCCTTTCGGATTGCCCCTCCTCGGACAACCTTTCGCTTCTTCACCTTCTGCTTGGTTCTCGGGCATGTCACCTCTTCTTCTCCCTCGACGTACATTGCTCTAAGCTCCCCCCCCCTCGCCTTCCTTCCTGACTCGGTGTGTACGATGTCGAATACTGCGATGTGTACGTTGCCGTGCAGTTCGACGACCACTTCTTCCATCTTCTCCGTCAATTTCTGCCCTCTCTCCACCTCACAGTCGAGGAACTCGGAGGTCGCCTTCCCGATCTGTGTCTCACACTCCTCTAGTAACGCCTTCCGTCTGTCGCTGTTGGAGAGGTCCGGTGTGTCAATCCTCTGTAAGAGGCTGCTGAGGCATTCCTGTGTCCAGAATCCCTTCCCCCCCCACTTCCTTGTGTATGCCGTTTTCAACGTTCCGCTCCATTTCCGGACCGCGTGCGTGATCCGTCTCCACTTTGCTATCTTCCATCGCAGTCTCTCCCTCTGCGACATGGGGGGTCGTCCCCGTCGTTGGGTGTCCCGCTGCCCGCCCCCCCCTTGGTCCTCCCCCTCCTCGTCCGCCTCGCCGGTCTGTCCGCCCTTATCCCCTTCCTTCTGGTGTAAGGATTCTCGTATTCTTTATTCTCGTATTCTTTATTTGCGTGAAAACTGGTTTTCATCGGTCGGCGTCATCATCACAGGTGAGTACTTCCTGCCGCGCGAATGTGGACAATCGGCGCCCTATCCGCCGCAGCCGTCCGCTTGCCAGCTTGCGGCTCGAAGCCCTCGAGCTCACGAGGCTCGCCGATCGTAATGGCTACGATGCAGGCGGAGCAGGTTGCGGTTGGCGACGATTTTCCAAACGTGCCGATCACGCTTGTGACGGACGGCTGCGCTGCCGAGGACAATTGCCCACTCCTCGACTCGTCCACCGACCTCTTCAGCAGCGGGCGCAACGTGCTGGTCGGCATGCCCGGCGCCTTCACTCCGACCTGTACCGACGAGCACCTTCCCGGCTACATCCGCGGCGCCGGCAAGTTCCGCTCTCTCGGCGTCTCGACCGTGGCGGTCGTGACGACCAACGACCGCTTCCTGCTGACGGCGTGGAAGCGTGCGATGAGCGCGTGCCTCCGTGCAGAGGGCAAGGCGTCCCTGGACGGCATGGTCTCGATGCTGGCGGACAAGGACGCGGACCTGATTAAGGCGCTCGGCGTGGCATACAACAGCAAGCTGGACACCAAGGCGAACAAGTTCTTCCAACTCAACGCGGGGATCCGCTCCAAGCGCTTCGCGCTCGTCGTCGAGGAGGGGCGAGTCGCGCACGTCGCCGTGGACGAGGGCGAGACGGACCTGGACGCAACTTCCGCAGAGTCTATCCTGGCCTGGCTGGAGGAGCGCGGCCGCGCCTCGCGGCCGAGCAAGACGCGGAGCGCGCTGCAGCCGACGCTGGAGGCGGAGGGGCCGGGCAAGGCCGCCTGGGGCGCCGCGCTCGTCGCCAGCCTCGTCGGCCTCGTCGCCAGCCAGGAGGGGGTGGTGGCGGGGGGCGGCGTGAGCTTCAGGGAGCTGGTCGAAGGCCTCTTTTGAGAGCCCCGCGTACCCCGGCGCCGCGCGCTCCTGCCGTCCACACGTGAGCGCGCGCCTCTCAAGCCCTAGTCTCTAAGCCCTGTCGCACAGACCCGCGAGCGTCGTGCGATCTGGCTCCGCATGTGAGAATGCTCTCTCGGCGGGCCACGGCGGGCCGCACTGTCTGCCGTGGACCGCACAACGGGGAGAGATCGGATTTCTCCCTGGCCCCGCGCTCACCGAGCCGCTCTGGTCTCCGCGCGCGAGTGCGCGCGCACGCATGTGCGCTACGTGTGAATTATTTAAAGGGACGTCTGAACCCTTATAAGTCTCCTGACTGTGGGCTGTGCGTGTCCGTGTGGCGGCAATTTTTAACAAATAAAACGGTCAAACTCTTAGACGAGATGTGCCCCCGCCTCTGGACGGACTACGTTCCGTTCCGTCTTCCGACCACCTCTTTTTATTGTGATTTGTGTGCCTCGTGCCTGCAAAAAATCTCTCGTTCTCTCGCACGAACGTGGCGGCCCCGCACCGGTCCGCGGCGCGCGGTTTCCCCGAACCACTTCGGAATAGACACCACCGGCACCGCAGCGTGGCCTGTACGGATGACCAACGCCCCAGAGACCGCCATTGTGGCTGTGGGCTGACCGGCTCTTATCTCCTAGCGTGCCAGGCGCGGGGGCAGCGCCGACGGCGCCAGCGGCACACCGCGCGGGAGCAGAAGCTGCGGGAGGAGCGGCGAGAGCGCGGGCGGGAGAGGCCGGGCCAACGCCCCGACGGCGGCCGCGAGGCCGAGTGTGAGGCCCGCGGCGAGAGCGGTGGCGGCGGAGAGGCGGAGGAGGCGGAGGGCGGGCAGCAGGCCGGCTCCGCGCGGCGGCGTCTCCCAGAGGCGGGTGAGCCAGAGCAGCGCGAGGGAGGAGCGGAGGGAGGCCTGTGCGAGCAGGGCCGCCAGGCGCGGAGGCAGCCTGCCGCCCCCGCCCTCGGGCAGGTTCGGGCAGGCGGAGCACTCGACTCGCTTCGGGTCGAGCAGCTGGTTGGTCCGCACCACGGCCTCCGCCGCGAGGGCCGCCCTCCGGAGGGCGAACCGTCTCACCCCCGACGGAGCCTGCCCGCCGGCCGACTCGTCCGACTCGGGAGGGAGAACGGGGCGACCCTGCTCGGGCCCTGCCAGGGATGTCGCCGCAGCCGCTGGCGCCGCCGCCGCTGTCGTCGCTGTCGTCGCTGCCGCCGACGTCGTGGCCGCCGTGTACCCCTCTTGAAGCGTGGCCCCCGCAGCCCCCGTCGACAGAGCCGCCGTCGCCCCTTTCCAGAGCCACTTGCTCTCGCTCCGCGCCGACCCTCGGCCCACAGTGACAGGCAGCGCTGCCTCCAGCTCCTCCGCAGCCCCCAGCTGCGTCGCCTCTGCCGCCGACGCCGCCAGCTCGGACGCCAGTGTCCCTGCCGGGATGGTCCGCTCCGCCCTGGTTGTCTCCGCAGCCGCGACTGCCGCCGGCGGCGGCAGCACCGCAACCTCGGCCACCGCGGACTCCGCGGCGGCACCCGCCTCCGCAGCGGCCGCCTCCGCCGCCTGCGACAGGAGGCGGCCCACCAGCAGAGAGCCCTCTGCCTCTGCCGCCGCCTCCGCCGCCTCCGCCTCCGCCTCCCTCAGCGCGCCCCCGCCCTCTGCCAACGGCCAGAGGGCCGCAGCCCGCTTCGCCTTGCCCTGCAGCTCCTCCGCGCGCTCCGCCGCCGTCGCCGCCTGCGCCTTGGCCAGCACCGCCGCCTCTGCCAGCTTGTTCGCCGCAACCTCCAGCTCGGTCGCCTGCGCCTCCGCCACGGCCGCTTCCGACTCAGCCTGCCGCACGTTGCGCCGCCACGCGACGAGGAGCGAGATGGGCGGGAGCAGTCCGAGGAGGGAGGCGAAGCGCGGCCCGACTGCCGTGGGAGCTGAGGGTGCCTCCGCCGCAGCCTCTCGCGGCGATGCGACGTCTCGCGGCGGAGCGACGATTGGTGGCTGCGGCTCCGAGACGGGGCTCGTGGGCTGCGGAAAGACGGCTTCGCCTTGTGTCGCCTCGCCTGGGGCCTCGGAGGGCGACGCCAGTCCTCTGAGGCGGGCGAGGAGTGCCTGGCGGCGCAGCGCCTCCTGTGCCGCCACTCCGGGTGATGAGCCTCTGCCTCGCCCGCCGTTTGCGATGCGGTCCTGGAGCCGGAGCGCGTTCCACGAAGGTGCCGGGGCCTTTTCGAGCGGCGTGAGTGCGCAGAGCTGGACAATCGCGAGCATGGCCACACAAATTGCCATTCATCGGCCGGCAAAAAAAAACCCGGGGGCGCTCTTGCCCGTAACCCGATCCCGATCATCCGGCCCGCTGGGTGCGCTTCTCAGCTCCCCGGCCCTGGATGTGAGGCTGCCAACTGCACTCCAAGTGCTCCAAGTGCTCCAAGGCGCAAATGCTCCAAAAACAATTGCGCGGCGGGGCCGAGGCGAGGCGAGGTGGATGGGCTGGGAGCGAGGGGGCGGAAGTGTGCAGTGCGGTAGATGGTCAGCTCGGGGCGCGTGAGCCGGACTTTGCCGTCCTCCCATCCCTCTTGGGTTGTCTGTTTAGTTGACAGCGCTCAACAGCTGCTTCGGCGGCGATGTCAGACCGTCCTCTCCGTCCTCTCGCCGCGGGCCCGCTTCTTCCCCTTCCGCTTCCCGGCCGAAGAGGGCGGCCTCTCCTCCTCGCCCCCTCCCTCGCTCCGCCCACCCTCCCCCCCGCCCTCCGCCGCGGCATCGGCCTGCGCGCGTCGCTGCAACAGCAGCGCGACCGCGTCGCCTCCGCCACGCCGCACGCGGTCCTGCGCGGCTTCCGCACTGGGCAGCGCGCCCGCAAACGCCGCGGAGAGCCGCGAGTAGAGCGCGGCGTCGACCGGCCACCTCTCGGCTGCGGCGGCGGTCTGCAGGACTCCGACCGTCGAGGCGAAGGACGAGACGCGGAGCCGGTCCCCCGCGGCCGCCTTGAGGTGCTGCGCGCCGTCGACGAAGCCGTGTGCCTCTGCGGCGAGGCGGAGAGGCGCGCCGCCACGCAGGAAGGCGGACCTGCAGAGCTGGTGGTGGAAGGGGACTCGCTCCCAGCTCGGGACGACGAAGGCGAACGAGAGCGCGCCGCCGCTCGCCTCGGCGGCGGAGAGGAGCGCCTCGGCGTGCTTGACCGCCGCGAGCAGCACCTGTCCACAGCTCGAGGTGTGAAGAGACGCCGCCCACACGCACACGCACCGGCGGCCGCACTGCCGCGAGCGGCGCCTCGGGCACAAAGGGAGGGTTGCACTCGAACGAGCCGTGGGTGGGCCGGAAGCCGAAGAAGGAGCCGATCGAGCCGAATGCCGCGTCCGTGTCGGCAAAGGCGGAGCAGTAGCGGTCGTACCGCGCGTTGAGCGGCGACGCAAAGCACTCGAACCGGATGCCGAGCCGCTGCCTCAGCACCTCGAATCCGGCGGGCGGAAGCGCGCACTGATTACCGTGCGCGCCGAGGCTCTGGTAGCGCAGCATCATGCACAGCACGCGCGTGCGCAGGTTGCCCGCCACCGACGGCGCGTGCTTGGCGTGCAGCGCCGCGAGCTTGGCATAGTGCTCGTGCGACACGTCTACGTGCGTCCCTCCCGGAGCACTCGACAGCGAGAGGCGGAGGAGCGGGCCATGAACGTGGACTTCTACTAGGCCGCCCTCCCCGCCTCCGCCGCCTCCCTTCAGCCGCTCGATTGCACGCCCCGCCGCCTCTGCAAGCTGCAGCGCGACCGCGGCAGCAGCCTCCGTGCGCCCCGCCCCGCCCGTCCGGCAGAGGTCCTTGACGAGGCCCTCGTCCGCGCCCACCGCAGCGGGCAGGAGCGGGTCGAGCGGGCTCGGCTCGGACAGCTTGCTCCGAGCCATCCACCGGTCAAACGCCATGAGCGGAGGCTCGATGCCAGCCTCGGCGCACAGCGACGAGAGATGCCGGCGCAGCCGGCGCGTGGCTTGCAGCCGGGCAATCTCCACCTCCGGCCGAGGCTCGCTGGAGGGTGCGCAGGGGATTAGCGCAGCCGGAAGATCGGAGGGAAGTACACACAGGCGGCCGCTGCTGCTGCTGCTGCAGAATTCGCTGCCCTCAGCCGTCGCGGATGTGTCGGCCGAGGAGCTGGCGACGCAGGCGAGGCAGCGTCGCGTGGCGTCGGTCTTCTGAACTTGCGTCCGCGAGAAGGCGGTCCGTGGCAGGGTCTGGCCGCAGGTGCTGCACGCAGCGGTGGCCGCTGTGCCGTCGGCCGTGGCCCGGACCTCTCGCGAGGCGGCGACGTGCTGCTCGGCAGTCTCGACGGCCTGCACGCACGCCTTGCACGCCTTTGGGCGTCGAGAGAGCTGGCGCTTGGAGAAGGCCGAGGCTGGCAGCGAGCGGCCACAGGGCTCACAGCGGTGCGTGCTCTCCGGCATGCGACGGGGGGCAGCTTGGTGCCCGACACAGCGTTTATCTTCTTTGCACACGCCCTCTAACACATGTAGGAAGGGTACATGTAGGTCTGGCCCTCCGGTGGGGTTTCCCTTTTTACGAAATTTTATACCAGAAAAATAAACTTTCCGGTGTCTCGATGAAATTGTGTTTTTCAGTGTAGATGTGCTTTTAGCTTACTGGGAGAAAAGAGAGAGGGGGGGGGGGGTTCTCTAGGCCCCCTAAGGGCCCTACGCGCGGCGCGGTTCACCCCCTTCACCGAAGCGATGGAGATGCGTTCCGCGTGGTGTGACACAAATGAGAGGCGGGAGTGGGGAGGGTACTCGAGTACGCAGTGCGGTCAACGCCCGAGCGTTGAGCCTTGCGCGCAAGGCGGTTGATCCTTGCAACTGCTGGCGGCGAGAAGCCACCGCCGAATGTCTCGTGAAGAAGCAGGTTGAACTTGTTTCGTTTGCCGAAGATCCCGTCATGGTAGTGGCCACGCTGTGACTTGACGTAGTCTCTCTCTCAGTGTATGAGCTCTTACGTACATTCCCGGAGGTGCGGAGGAGGACTGCTGACAGACAGGGTTTGTAGGACTATGAGCAGCTCCGCTCACAATCAATGTGACTGGTGATGCCCACGACTACTACCAGCGCGCTCACAATCCGAGCAAACTCTTGGGTTGCGAGCAGCTTAGCTCACAATTTAGCTCACAATTTAGTGCATTCTTTTTTGCGTGGCCGGGGACCATTGACGGGTAGGTAGTGTAGATCTGGGCCCTCTCCCCTCGCGGCGGCTCGCGGGCCGCGTTTCGTCCCCTCTCCCCTCGCGGGGTTTCCCCTCTGTTGCACTGTTCTCTGTTGCGCACTGGGATAGGGTCGATTCCGCATGGTACGGGACCCCTCGATCGGTAACGATCGTCTCGCCCTCCCTCATTGCACATTGGGAGAGAGATTTTTAGCAATACCAAACAACTCTAACACTCACACGTCATTTGGGGCCTGGAGCCCTGTTCACGCGCGCGCGAGACGTGCAGACAGGGCTGCCAGGACCCAGGTGAGAGCGAATGGCGCGGTTCACGCCTCGCACAACAGAGAGAGAGATGCGCTCTGCATGGTGGGACATAAAAGAGAGCGAGTACTTGGGCGAGTAGGCCGTGCGGTCAACGCTGCCGCGCGCGACTTTGCGCGCGAGGGGCGGCGCAGCTTGAGAACGGCGGGTGGGCGAGAAGCCGCCGCCGAACGTCTCGTGGAGCAGCAGGTTGAAGTTGTTGCGCTTGACAAGTTGTTTTGTGTCACATTGGTGTGTGTTCACTTGGGGGGGGTCAAAAAACAAGCGCTTGCGCTTCGGCGGTTAGTGGTGCACTAACCTACTAACCTCCGACCGAGAAAGAATCAAGTGTTTTGTCGAAACCCTTCGGCGCATTGCTCTCAATTGGTTCACCGCAACTGCACAACGCTGAACCCTGTCCAGCCACCGCTCTGAACTAAATTACTGCGTTAAAGTCAGCGCTCTGAACTAAATTACTGCTGTCAGGGAACCCTGTCCAGCAAAACTACTGCGTGGCTGGACTAAAGACGCACTAAACCTCGCTAAATCTGGATGTAAAGTCGCACTAAATTTGCGCTAAATTTGCGCTAAATTTGCACTAAAGTTGCACTAAATTCGCACTAAATTCGCGCTAAAGTGCACTAAAGATGCAGTACATAAACACTTCACACCGCACTAAATTTAGACCCAGGCGCCCTCCCTGACAGCGCTCACAGCTCCACGCCGAAGGCCGCCCAGAACTGTGCCTCCCACCAATCTAATGTGGTGGTACGTGGTAGCCATCGCCGGCTCGTTCCTTGCCACTCAGCTCCTCCTCTACTTTATGCAGCGGCTGCGGATCCGGCGCATTGAGGAGAAATCCCTTGAGCTCTGCGGCGGCGGCGGCGGCGGTGGCGGCGGCGGTGGCGCGCAGCAGCCGTCCCCGGCACGGATTCCGATCACAATCATCACCGGCTTCCTCGGCAGCGGCAAGACGACACTGGTCAACCGCATCCTGACGGGCGACCACGGCCACCGCGTCCTCGTCATCGAGAACGAGATCGGCGCCATCTCGATCGACCACCATCTCATCGACGAGGAGCGCTCGGCCGCCGCCTCGGCGAGCAGCGCGGGCGTCGTGGTGCTCAAGAACGGGTGCATGTGCTGCAGCGGCGAGACGCCCGGCTCCGAGCTCGAGCGCGTGCTCGACAAGCTCCTCGAGATGTCGAGGCTCGGCGAGGGCAGCGCCGACACGGCCGCCGACACCGCCGCCGCTGAGGGCAGCGCTGAGGGCAGCGCCGAGGGAAGCGTCGCGCTTGCCGCTGACGGCGACGCGGCGGGCGCTGACGCGGTGAGCGGAATGGCCGCCGGTGCGATCCTGCCGTTTGACTACGTGCTGATCGAGACGAGCGGGCTTGCCGACCCGGGTCCGCTCATGCAGGTGCTGTGGCGGCGCGAGATGGCGACGTCGGGCTTCTACCTCGACGGCGTGGTCAGCATCGTCGACGCCGCGCACGCGATGCGCCACCTGCGGCCGTCTGGGCCGCTCGGCCTGATGCGGCGGAGGGCCGAGGCGGAGAAGCAGGTCGCAGTCTCCGACCTCGTGATCCTCAACAAGGCGCACTCCTCTCCCGCACTCTCCCCGGACCCTCTCCCCGCCCCGCCTCTCCCCGGCCCGCCTCGCCCCGCCCCGCCTCTCTCCGCCTCGCCTCGCCTCTCGCCTCTCGCCTCCCTCCCCTGGCCTCTCCTCTCTCGCCAGCCCACCTCGCAGCGCGCGCCCTCCCGTCGCGCCGCCCCGCCCTCCACTCGCCGCCGCCCTGCCCCCGCGAGGTCGACCTCTCCGACAGCCCGGGCGCCTTGGAGGACGTCTCGCGCGCGGTCGAGGCCCTCAACGCCACCGCGCCGCAGCTGCGCACCTCGCACGCCCTCGTCGGCGCCGCCACGCTGCTGCACCTCCGCGCGTATGCGTCCGACTCGGCGCTGGAGCTGCGGCGAGCGGCGGCGGGCGGCGCCGCCTCGCACAGCCCGTACGTCTCGTGCGTCAGCCTCGAGTCGCGCGCGCCCCTCCGCCTCGACGCACTGCAGAGCTGGCTCCGCGCACTCGCCGAGGATCGGTCCGACGACGTGTACCGCATCAAGGGCGTGCTCGCGCTGCGCGGCGAGCCGCGCCGCTTCATCGTGCACGGCGTGCACGCGCAGATCCACGGCTTTGCCGGCTCCGAGTGGCGCGACGGCGAGCCGCGCGCCTCGAGCCTGGTCGTCATCGGGCACCGCCTCGAGGGGCTGCGGTTGGACGAGTCGTTTGCTGCGTGCGCTTCCGATGGCGAGTCGCAGTCGGCGCTGACGGACGCGGGGGAGTGCGCGCCGTGCGAGGAGGAGGAGGCGGCGGCGGAGGGAAAGAAGAGGTTATAGCGAAGCGTGAGCGGTAGCAGAAGGACGGAAATAAATACGTGGCAGTGGGGAAAGACACGGCAATGCGGCTGCGCGTAGCTCTCATCCTAATATATTGAATATTCCACACGTGCACTCTCCACGAGCACGACTCGCGATAGACCAGACGCGCTCACGCACGCAAGACACGAGGAGTTTGGGCACTAGACACTCTGAGAATATGAATACATCACCGTGACGTGGTGAAACATGGTGCAGGTCACTCTGCTATAGGGTCGAGACAGGAACAGGAACTTCTTCCGCTCCGCGAAAGCGATTTGGATTTCTCGGGCCACGCTGTCGGCTTCAGTGGGAAGGGCGGCTTGTTCCTGCCCCCGTTCGGGTCCTTCTGTTGCACGTCGTCAGCCCACGCTTCGAGCAAGGCGAGCGACAAGATGGTCTCCTTGTCTCTGATCCACTCTCGGAGCTCGACAGCGCGAACGCCATGCTCTTTTGCGGTGCGATTGATGCGGGTGAACAAACAGCGGCGCGACAAGGCCTTATGTATCGCCGTGCTCTTGAAGGTGTTCGAGTAGGTGGTGCCGTCTGGTGAGCCATCGTGCATGCACACACAAGGAAAGAGCTCTCAAAGGGTCTCAAGGTGTCGGTCCGGTGGGAGCGCCCGCTTTCGGCGATGGCGTGCCAAGATTGACCGACAAGAAAGAGATGGCTTTCGGCTTTTTTGGCTTCTCCCGCCCTCCAACCCCTCTCTTGGCTTTTTTTTCTGTGTGGAAGGCGGTGCGGCACCGTCGAGCGGCGGTGCATCAGGCATCGGGCGGCAGGGCATCGGACGGCGGACATCGGACGGCGGGCTAACGGCGGTGCGGCAGGCGGAAGGAGGAGGGAGGGAGGGAGGGAGGGAGGGAGAGGGAGGGAAAGAGAGAGCGGCGGCACGGCGGCTGCGAACGGCGGGGCATCGGAAGGCGGGTCAAACGAACGGTGGTCGGTGGAAGCGGAAGGTGGGTAGGTGGCAACAGGAGGAAGAGTGCAGCGGGGGCGGGGGGTGGCAGGGCGAGGTAGGTGATGGTGGGTGAGCACGAGGACAGCGCATGGGATCACGAGGGAGTAGAAAATGGTTGGTTTTTCATGTTAAACTTTAAAAAACTCCGCTCGCTTATAACGTCAATCGCCGAGATCATCGCCGACACTGGCGGCTCCAAAAAGACCATCTCCATTTGGACACCTTTCGGCGCGGCCAGCTGCCATGCTCTCGCTGCTACTGCCAGCGGTCGCCTCTACAAATGTGAGTCTCGCGATCCTCATCCGCCACTCGGCCGCACGCTCCACATCCCATGAGACCTGCGCTGGCGAGTGGATCAGTGGCGCGTGCTGGATGACAGACACGATGCAGACTGTTGTGGCGGCCTCCTTGACTGCAGTGACGGACTTCAACGCGAGAAACGCAAGCGCTCTGCCCGCGTTTGGAACGTTGGCCGGGTGCGACAAACAGCTCCGCTTTCGGCTACTCGACAGCGGCGGCACGGTTGCCAAGTCAGTCCGCGCGCTGGGGGACCTGACCTCGGGTACCGATGTGGTCATCGGCCCCGGCCGCAGCTCCGTCTCAACCACCACGGCGGCTATCACCGGCGCCCTCGACATCCCGCAGATCTCATACTGGTCGACTTCGACCGATCTTGACGACATCGCCCTGTACCCTCGCTTCATGAGGACGATTCCCACGGACCAGGCGGCCGCGTCGAGCGTCTGCTCCTTTTGGAAGCGTCAACTCGGACTCTCGACCGTGGCCGTTCTCTACGTCCAAGACCCGTTTGGCCGAGCCTACGAGGAAGCTACGAAGCTCGCTTGCCTGGCTCTCGGCTTGACGTTCGCGAGCGAAGGTTTCTCCGAAGATGAATCGCTCCGCGAGAAATCGATTAGGGACGCCGTGGAAAGCCTGAGCGACAGCGGCGCCAAGGCACTGCTAGTCCTGGGCTTCCCCAGCAGCCTCGGCCTTATTGTGGACTCTGCGCTGGCCACCGGCCTGCTCACTGCTGGCACCTCCTGGGTCTTCGCAGACAGTGTCGTGTCGGTAGACTTTGACGAGTTGAGCGAAGCAGCGCAGGACGCGCTGCACGGCAGCCTGCAGATCAAGGCAGTCGGCGCGACCGACGGCGATCCGCAGTGGACCAGGTTCGCAAGCGAGCGCTGGGCGGCGCTACAGCCCGGAGACTTCAACCCGCACCTTCCCGCCGACTGGCAGATCCGCGATGACTTCTTTACCGCTGTCGATCCACACACGAGTGCTATCTTGCGCGAGCCCGGTGCGTTTGCGTACGATGCCGTCGTGACGGCGGGGCTGCTGTCGTGCCAGGTGGCTCCAGCAGGCCCGCTGCCAGACTCGTTTGGCACGCAGTTCTGGAATTCGAAGCGGAGCCTGTCGTTTGATGGCCTTTCAGGACGTGTTGAGTTCGACGAGAAGGGCGACAGGAGCAGCGCCAACGTGCAGCTGTTCAACCTGCTCGGCCAAGGCGCGACCGCCTTCTCAGCTCAGCTCGTAGCTCAATTCACCGAAGACGAGTGGGTCTGGAAGGGCGGATCGCGCGAGCACAGCGGCGTGATCTACAACTTTGGGGAGCTCGAACCGCCTGTTGAAGCATTGCCTCCGACGCAGGACGAGGTCCCCCCCTATCTCATAGGGATCGTCTGCGCCTTAGCGGGGTGCGTCGCTCTGATGCTGTGCTTGCGTTGCCAAAGCGTCGGCTGGCTTGTACCACCGCTATCGCGCATCGCCGCGTCGCACGGCACGAGCCCGTGGACGCTGCTCCGCAGGCGGATCGCTCGGAGCGCTCCCGTTCGCGCCTGCGCCGACCGCGCACGAGCGGTGCGGCGGGCGTGCAGCAGGGCTCGGACGACGCCATTCTTGCGCCCTATCGCCACGCCTCAGGCCGTGTGGGAGCGGCTGTGCCGGAGGGCCAACAAGGAGCCGACCGAGGGCCCTCCCGACGTCGAGCGGCGCCCGTTTGTGGAGCAGCGCCTGTGGGCCTCGGTGCTGGAGCAGAAGCTGTGGGGCTCGGCCGCGCGCGAGGCAGCACAGCTTCGCGAGTGGCTCCACGCGACGCGAAATACGACGCCCTTCATCGAGGCGCTAGCCTCGAGGTCCGCGGCTTGCACGCATCGCCACGGCGGCTGCGGTGAAGGCCGCCAGACCGACTCTTCAGCTCACGCGGATCTCGAGGCGGGCCCGAGACTGACGAGGACAACCTCGTTTGGCACCGTGCCTATCGACGAGCGCGCCAACGCGTCGCTGAGCTTGGGAGACCTACTTCGCTTCTGTCTCAACGAGCAGGGCGCGGGGGGGCGTACTCTGTGGGAGGAGTGGACGGTTGCTCTCCGCGCCCTTCGGTCAAAGAAGAAGCTTCAGGTGGAGTCGTCGACGCACCGCGACTCGTCAAAGCACCGCGACTCTGCCTCGAGGCAGGCGCCGAGAAGTGGGTCGACCAGTGCGCTCGAGTCGGAGCCGATCTCGGTGCACGAGTTCGCCGCGCTGCTGCTCTCGCCGTCCAACAGCGCCATCGAGCCTAGGCGCTCCCCGACGGACGCGACTGAGCCGCTCACCAGCTATTGGATCAGTAGCTCTCACAACAGCTTCCTCGAGGGGGACCAGCTCACCTCCGCCGTGTCTGCCGACATGTACCGCCGCCTCCTGCTCTCGGGGACTCGCTGCCTCGAGATCGACTGCTGGGACCCCACCACCTTTGGGCGGTGGTGGGGCCAGGGCCCGCGCGTCACTCACCGCATGCCGGGAGGGGTCCCTCTCCTCTGCGGAAGCGTCGCCTTCGGCGAGGTGGTCGCCGCAATCGCCGAGCACGCCTTTACCAGCAGCCCTCTGCCCGTGATTCTGAGCCTCGAGATGCACTGCTCGGCGAAGCAACAGAGGAAGCTCGCCAAGGAGCTCATCAACACGCTGGGCGACCAGCTCTCCCGCAGCGAGCGCGTCGCGAGCACGCCCCTCCGGGAGCTGCACCGGAAGGTCCTCGTCAAGATGCGGCTGAGGGTGTCTCGGGCACACCTTGAGGCATATCTCGGGCACATCTCGACTGTAGGTCCTCGTCAAGATGCGGCTCGACAACGGAGTGACCACGGACCCGCTCCTCCGCACCCTCGTCACGCTGCCCACGAGGTCCATCGGCCAGGCGCCGGCGCCCAAGGAGGTCGACAACGGACTCGACGACGGCTGCAGGCTTCGCGAAGCGGTGTGCAGGCGGCTCGGCCGCGAGGCGAGCTGGAAGGAGCTCAGCGGCCGCTCCACCGGGAGGAGCCGCTACCAGATCGCAGACGAGTGGCGCCTGGCCGGCCGGTGCGTTTGGGGCTGGCTCCGCGGCGTCACTCTCGTGCCTCCCAAGGGCGAGAGCAACAGCGAGGCGACGCTAATATCTGAGTCGCCCTTCGGGTCTCCGAGCTCTCCCGTCTGGCAGAGTGGCTCATGGCCAGCGGAGGAGCCAGCGAGCGAGCTCTCGGTCGCCGAGGTGCCGCGCCGAGGTGTCGTGAGCGTGTCTGAGGAGCGGTTGGAGCGGTTGGCGAGCGAGCGGGGAGGATGGCTGCCCCTCGCCGCCTCGCAGCTCGTGAGAACCTTCCCCTCTCCGACTCGGTGGTGGTCGAGCAACAGCCACCCACTCGTGCGCGCCCGCCCTCGCCTCACCATTTTTTCTGAACGCTGCGCCCTTTCCGCTTACCGTTCCTTCCCACCCACGGCGCAGGCAGCGTGGCGCGCGGGTGTCCAGATGGTGGCTCTCAACCTGCAGACGAACGACGCTCCGGTGCAGCTCCACGACGCTCTCTTTCGCGGCAGCGGTGGCTACGTACTGAAGCCCGCGGCGCTCCGTGCGTCCGATCGGGCGCTCACCCCCTCCCCCCCACCCAAGAAGGCTCCCCCCTCGACCCCAAACAAAAGGGGATCTGTGACCCCGGGCCGCGGTGGTTCTGGCGGCGATCGGGCGTCGTGCGAGGGGAGCGCCTGCGGCCGCTTGTCTTCGGAGATGGGCTCCCTGCAGAGGGAGCCATCGCGACTCGGGAAGCCGTTGTGGCCGCCGCTGCGCGAGGAGGTGCATCGGACGGAGCTGAAGGCGCCGCGCTCTGCTGCCGCCCCGTTTGGCCCCCTCTATTGTCAGCTCACCGAGCGACCCACCGCCTTTAGGTGCTCTCCCTGCACCAGCTTCCGACGCGGGACGAGTGCCGGCCCCTCCTCACCGAACCCCACCACGCCTTCGTCTCGCACCTCAGTGACAGCCCCCGCCCGCCCAGTGGGTCGAGCGCGAGCGTCTCGAGCCCGCGCGTCGCCGTCGAGCTGCACGCTATTGGAGGCTTCTGCGCGGTCGCACGCGAGCCGCAGCCGCCGCCCGAGGCGCAGGGCGTGACCCGGCTCACCACCGCGGTCGCGGAGGGCAACGGCCTCAACCCGTCCGTCGACGAGACCTTCCACTGCCTCGCGGCCGAGCCTCACCAGACCATCCTTCGGGTGGTGGTGGAGGACGAGGGGCGGCTGGTGGCGTACGAGACGGTGATGCTCGGCTCCCTCCGCTGCGGCTACCGCTGCCTGCACCTGCGCTCGCCGAGCGGCACGCGGATAGACTCGTGCTGCCTCCTGCTCCACATCTCCGTCTCCACCGAGCCAAACACCTACGGCACTGTCGACGAGTTGCGCTCCATGATGCAGCTGCAGCGCTCGCTCATCAGCCAGCAGAGCCGCGACATCCACCAGCTGTCTGCAGAGCTCTCGCGGCTCGGAAGTCAGCCCTCGACGCCGATCGCCTCCGCCCCCGCGGCGGGACCCCACGCCGCTCGCTGGCCGTTGGAGCTAGCGCTGGATTCGGGGGTCAACGGGGCTCGCACAGGTCGGCCGTCGCCGATCGCGCTGCCTCCCGGCGCCACGCTGACGGTCGGTCGCCACCTGTCGAGCGGCGTGGCCTTGTTTCCGCACAAGGTGAAGCACATCTCGCGCCAGCACGCCGTGCTCCACGTCGCTGCAGACGGCCGCACCGTCCGGCTCGAAGACGTCTCGCGCAAGAACGGATGCCGCGTGCAGCAGCCGGGTGGCGAGCCGGTCGTCCTGCAGTCTACGGCCGAGGAGGTGGCGAGCGCTCAGCTACGCGAGGGCAGCGTGCTCACCTTTGGGCAGCCCAGCGAGGACGAGCATGAATTTCGCTACGTCATTCGCGCCGCTGGTACCGAGGACTCGCCAGCCTCTTCCTCCGAGCTCTCGTGGCGTGAAACGCCGCCTGCGATCGAGATCGCCCATTTCAAGTCGAACCCGCTCGCTTACTCCGCGTCTAGCCGGCACTCCCGGCACTCCCCGCTGCCCTCAGCGCCGAGAGACACTGCCATCCCCAGTTGGTCGTTATCCCCCTCCAACTCGAAGCCGTCCCAGCACGTTCGCTCTGCGCGCAACTGGCAGTCGCCGTTGTCGTCAGCGTCGGGCACACAGCGCGGGTCCGAGGCGCACGAACCGCGCCGGTCGGCGGCGGCAGCGGCTGCACCGAAGGCCGCTCTCGGGTGGACGGAGCGGTTGCCCGCCCCAAAGGATAGCGGTGGCGACAGCGGCGACAGCGAGAACGATTCCGCGCCCTCGCCGCCGCCACCGTGGTCGCTACCGCCGCCTTCTCTTCCGGCCTGCTCGCCGTTGCCCTCGGTGCCGCCCCAGCTCCGGACTAGGCCGCCGGCGATGCTCACCTTCTACGCCAGCGTCGGCGTCTGCCCCGCTTCGGAGCCGCAGAAGCGCCGCATCATGCACACCAAGCCACTGCACCGCCACCGGAAGGTGGTGGGCCACTCGCCATGACGGAGATGCGCCATCATGGCATGCTAGAGAACCCCATGTCTCGCCGGTCTAACTCTACAGTCATTCAAACGCACTCTATACACTCTGGTTCCCACCACATACCGTTGGGGAGGGCGTACATGATGTTGCATGTTGTCGCGTCGCACCACAGAGAGAGAGCGCGTCCGACGCCGCACGTGACGCGACGTGTGCCCCGCCCCCGTGGCCGTGCGCGTGCCCGCGTGCCGCGACCCCCCCTCCCCCCCTAAAACCGTACACGTGCGTGTTTTGAGAGAGGGTTGAGCGTTTTGTACACATACACACAACGACCTTGCATGCACTTGGAGCACTGCTGTACTGGTGTTCAACGTACTGCAAGACATGTGAAATCTGAAAATCAAAATGATGTTGATAAACGATTCACGCTCCTCTGTCGAGGAAGAGCAGGTGGCCACTAAACGGGTAGGTCAGCTCCTCCACGTCCCGCCTACAGCCACGCATGCATGGCCAGATCCAGCACTGAGGCGCCTGCCCCCCAACCAGGTGTCCCCACCGTGTGCTCAAGTCCCACGACGGCTCAACAGGGTCCCTGTCCCCGCCGTGCGAGAGCAGGATGGGCAGCGGAGGAGGTGGCAGCTTCGCCGCGAGCGCGTCTCCGCCGAGCCGAAGCGCCTCCGCCTCGCTCGCGCTCTTCGCCAGCAGCGCTTCACGGTACGGGACTGCGGTGAGCGCGTTCGCCTCTACGACGCACTGCTCGCCGTCCTCGAGCGCGCCGTCCTCCTCTGGCACGAGCTCGGCGTAGCCGCGGATGCGGCGCTGCTGCATCGCCCGCATGTCCGAGAGGGCGCCGTACGGGCTTGCCAGCGTGAGAGAGGCGAGGCGAGGCGCGGCGGCGGAAGAAGGCACCGCCTCGAACTCCGGCGCCGCCTCCTGCTGCTGCGCCGCGTCTCCCCGCGGCGGCGTGCGCATGTGCCTTGCCAGCTGCAGCGCGACCGCACCGCCGAGTCCGTGACCAAAGAGGTGAACAGCACCCAAACCACACGCATCGCATACCGCCACGAGCTGGCTCGCCGCCACCGCCACGGTGCGCATATCCAGCGGACCCGGAGGCTGGGCAGCGGGAAGCCATGGCCTGCCGTCGCGAGAAGTCGGGGCCTCGCAGGTGTTGACCACGACGACCTGCCGGACCGCTCACCACGAGGGCCTCCAAGTTTTCGAGGTAGTCGTAGGCAACAGCGGGGCAGCCGACGACGAGCACGGCTGGCAGACCGTCCACAAAGGTGCGCTGCCGGCTGACAGAGGAGGAGGGAAGGATGCGACGGACAAAGACGTCGGTCCGGTACGACCCTCTCTCGAAGGGCACGGTTTGCTCCATGGGATTGCCGGGATTCCTGCCCGGGAAAATTCCGCCGCACCCGGGCGTGCGATGGTGCAGACGCCGCAGAGGCCGCCGTGCAGCCGAATGCTGTCACAGCAGCACGCCGGCTGAGGGTGGGTGTAGCACATGCGAGCAGCATGCTGTGACGTCCGGTCGGATTAGGCACACAACAGCACCCGCCCAGTCGCCTGCGGCTGGGACGCCAGCCGAGACAAGGTCTACGCCCTTACCGAGACGGTGCGGCGGCGCCTATTCACGGAAGGGCTAAACGGGTATTTTTCGCTTCGCTGCGCGGCCCCGCAATAGGTAGGTAGGTGTGGGGCACGGAGCCTGGCGGTTGGCGCCCGCAATAGGTAGGTAGGTAGGGCGTTTTGGCGCGACTCAGTGTCAACAGACCCCCTATCAGCTATCTGGGTAGGAGCCGGAACTTCGGCCGGCGGAACCCTCTGCTCCCACACGGCACACCGCAGCCGCGACAAAAGAATTTCTTAGCCCGAAAAAGGGACACCTCGACTAGGAAATGGGTAAAAAAGAACAGCCCCCCCGCCCTCTCGTGAGAATTCTTAGATTGCAAGCCTCTCTCACAAAAGAATTCGCGGAATGAGAATTTTACAACACCACTCTCTCTCACAAGGTCAACACACTGGGGGCACGGGACTGGCGCGCACTGGCAACACAGGCATTAACACCAGGAATTTGGCACAATTGACAGCATGGCGTCCAATGTCGTCAAAAACTCGACGGTGCCGAACCTGTCGGAAACGGCAACGTCAAGACCGAGGATGCGGTCATTCCGGCTGCACGGCGGCAAGCTCATTGTCCATGGCAGCTTCCTATGACTGATATTAGAGACCCTTGGAGAGCACGAAGTGGCAAAAACTGGCTCTGAGGCACACGTTATCGCTGGCTCTCAAACGACAACAGCTTCCTTATCGAGGCCTCATTTTCAGTGTACTGAACCCCGCCCGGCAACTGGGAGACAGAGAGATCACACAAAATAATAGAAACGAGCGCCGAGTCGCAATTGTCGTTGTGGCGGCGGCCACCCTAAATCCAGAGCCCGGGAGAAGGCGCCTCGAAAGTGTGGAAACGTCCTCGTACCAAGGAGTCCGTAAAAGCGAACTCGCACGTCCCTTAGCTTACGACCAGCCGCTCCATCCACTCCCACAACAGAGATATGCAGATCTTCGTCAAGACGCTGACCGGCAAGACCATCACGCTCGAGGTCGAGCCCTCTGACTCGATCGACAACGTCAAGGCCAAGATCCAGGACAAGGAGGGCATCCCGCCCGACCAGCAGCGCCTGATCTTTGCGGGCAAGCAGCTCGAGGACGGCCGCACCCTCTCGGACTACAACATCCAGAAGGAGTCCACCCTCCACTTGGTGCTTCGCCTGCGCGGCGGCATGCAGATCTTCGTCAAGACGCTGACCGGCAAGACCATCACGCTCGAGGTCGAGCCCTCCGACTCGATCGACAACGTCAAGGCCAAGATCCAGGACAAGGAGGGCATCCCGCCCGACCAGCAGCGCCTGATCTTTGCGGGCAAGCAGCTCGAGGACGGCCGCACCCTCTCGGACTACAACATCCAGAAGGAGTCCACCCTCCACTTGGTGCTTCGCCTGCGCGGCGGCATGCAGATCTTCGTCAAGACGCTGACCGGCAAGACCATCACGCTCGAGGTCGAGCCCTCCGACTCGATCGACAACGTCAAGGCCAAGATCCAGGACAAGGAGGGCATCCCGCCCGACCAGCAGCGCCTGATCTTTGCGGGCAAGCAGCTCGAGGACGGCCGCACCCTGTCGGACTACAACATCCAGAAGGAGTCCACCCTCCACTTGGTGCTTCGCCTGCGCGGCGGCATGCAGATCTTCGTCAAGACGCTGACCGGCAAGACCATCACGCTCGAGGTCGAGCCCTCCGACTCGATCGACAACGTCAAGGCCAAGATCCAGGACAAGGAGGGCATCCCGCCCGACCAGCAGCGCCTGATCTTTGCGGGCAAGCAGCTCGAGGACGGCCGCACCCTGTCGGACTACAACATCCAGAAGGAGTCCACCCTCCACTTGGTGCTTCGCCTGCGCGGCGGCATGTGACCTGACCACACTTCGTCCCGCGCGTGCACGCGCCATGGCACATGGGCTCGCGCCCCGTCCCGCCGCGAACCCTCGAACGGGAACTGAGTCTTACAGTGACGGGTGGGGTCGGGTCGCAGGCACCTTTAAGCTTGTATTCCAGGCGGGGTCTCGTTGTCGGCATTCGGGGGTTTGCAAATTCCTGTCACACAGTCTGTGAGCACAGTTCATATAGACTGATAATACACTGACCTATACTTCAAAACCAAATAAAATAAAAACGGACTGTGAGATGGTAAAAGGAACCTCAAAGAGGACCCAAAGCGCAAAGGGATAAAATACTTAATACACCATTCATTGATTGTAAAAAATAAAAGTGTCGCACAAGCCATCAAGCTGGCCGGAGCGGGCGGAACTTGGCGCGGATGCTCGACGCTTTCGCGCGATACATACTCTAGGATCGCGTGCGCGCGCGGATCGCGCCGTGTGCCACGCATCCCCCCTACCTCCGATGAGCGCGATTCACATGCGATGGGAGATGCGACACAACGAGGCGCGTGATCAGTACGACGTACGGGAGAGCATGCGGATGACAACAAGTTGCCCTGGCGCAGCGGTCTGCGGCAAGCGTGAACGAGCTCACGAACCGTGGACGAGCGTGGCGGTGGCGACAGAGAGGTAGATCATCAGCCCTGCGCCACACCACCGCGCGGAACCGGCGGTCAGGGGGTGTGGCACACGCGCAAAGGGGGGGGGGGGGGGGCTGAAGCCTAACGTGTCGACAAGGGTCGTCATCAGGGGCCCGACGATCACGGCAGGGTCAAGGCCTGCGGGGGGGTGGAAAGGGGTGGGTGGCCCGGGGGGGGGGGGGTGGAGAGGGGCGGTGCGCCCACGGGTGCGCAAAGTGAGGGGTAGGTGCGATCGGGATCGAGAAGCAAAGAGAGGAGGAGCGGAAGCAAGCGAATCCCGGCGAATCTCGGCGGATCTCGGCGGATCTCGCGCCTGCCCAAGTGACGAGGAACGGGAGCATCGCCCCGGTGCAGTTCGAGAAGAGCCCGAGCAGAGGCAGCGTGGTTGCCATGACCGTCGAGACGGCGCGTGACGTGTCGAGGAAGAAGTGCAGCGCGGGGCCGACGAGGCAGCCGAGCAGCAGAGACTGGAGCGCGCCAGCGAGCGCCTCGGTCGCCACCGTCGAGATCGCCTCCGAGCCGGAGGGCGATCGCCGGCCGATGGAGCGGATGACAGTGGAGACTGCCTGGCCTCCCGAGTTGCCGCCGTGGCCGATGATGAGGGGCACGAAGAAGGCGAGCTCGATCTCGCGCTCGAGAAGCGCGCCTGCGTGAGTGCACCAGAGGCAGCGCGTGTGAGTAGGAGCATCCCGTGCACTCGGAGCACCGCGAAGACAGCTCGCAGCACAGCCGAACGGCAGCTGAATGCAGGTGGCGGACACGTCTTCTCGAGTGCGACTTGGACCACGGACGTCGGCATTACGCATCTAGAGCAGCGGGCCGAACGAGTGCATCACCCTCTCACACAGCAGCAGGCCGCAGAGGAAGAACGCGAGCCAGCCGGTCCGCTCGCACACGAGGCGGAGCGCGCCAGCCACGCCGCCGCCGCCGCCGCTGCTGGGCTCCTCGACCTCTTCTGGCGCCGCCGCCTCCGCCGCCGGAGACTCCTTCACCGCGCGGACGCCGCGCCGCCGCAGACCTCCGTCCTTCGCCGGCTCGCTGGCAGCCTCTGCCTCCGCCGCGAGCCGCGTCGAGATGAGGAGCAGCGCCTCGCGCCGCTCTGTCGCGCCGCCGGCCGCCGTGGCGCGCACGGCAGCGAAGAGATAGTCGTCGATGCCCGTCTTCTTGAGGTACTCGAGCTCCTCAGACGGTGCGCTGGAGAGCCGGCCCTCGCCGTCGACAAACATGCCGGCGTGACTCCACCGCGATTCCGGCGATACAACTGTCTCATGAAAAGAATTTTACATCCAACCCTGCCCAGCCCCCCTCCGTGTCGCGATGCGCTCCCCGCTCCCGTTCCCCTGTGTCCCTGATCGTCCTTACAAGATCCTGCTCGTGCAGGTGGGGACCCTGTCCTTCTCCCACCCCTCGTTTGGCGTGCCCGTTTTATTTATTTATTTATTTATACACTGGGCACGGGACTGGCGCGCACTGGCACTAACACAGGCATGAAAAGAATTTAAAGATGCTGAAGATTCCTTCTTCGATTGGCAAGCTCTCACCGCATCTGCGTACCCACCTGTTGCTGCGCCTGTTTGTGCCGTGTGCGGTGTAGCAGGGGGAACAGGAAGGTGCACTGTCTGTGTATCTCGTATCTGTATGGAGTATGCCTTGCGCCTCCGCCATCTCCGATCTCGGCAAGTCGGCATCGTGAACGTGATGTGCCTCACAATGCTCAATTGCGTCAATGGTGGTCCATGCCTGATGCCTCGTGCGTCGTGGTACGTTATAATGCCGGCACAAACGTTCTCGCAAAAACATATTCTACGTCAGCATATAATACTTAATAGCGCCGCGCAAGCCGTATATAATGACAGCGCACACACACGTCACACTGACTTCAGCTGAGAGCTGGCAGAGATTTGAGCTCCAGCAACTCAGTGTGAGGGGCTCACGGACGCGGCCGCCCCTTGCCGGCCGCCCCGCCGGCGCCGCGCGCCACGAGCGCAGCGGCGCCAAGGGCGGCGTCGAGGGCCCACGACGCGCCCACGCGCGCCGCCTGCGCCGGCGTGGGCATCCGCGCCGCGTAGACCGCCTTGCGCGACAACGACGCGAGCGGCCCTCGGAGCTGCACCAACCCGGCGAGCGCAGACACGGCGCCGTCTTCGCCGCCGAGCGAGAGCATCTCGCCTACCGAGATCACCCGAGATCACCCGAGATCACCTTTCATCGCTTCCGAGCGAGAGCATCTCGCCCAAGTTTGTGTAGCGGAACGGCAGCGGCGGCGAGCCCAACAGCGCGGCGCGCGTGTTCCACGCAGCGTAGTCCGCCTGCTGCATCGCCGCCTACACAACAGGACCACCCCGACCGCTCCCGAAGAAGAAGCCCCTCGCGGCCCGCGCCCTGGTGCACCGCCACCTGCGCCGTCGATGGCGGCGCCGGTCCCTTGCTGTCGGCGGAGCAGGCGGCGTCGCCGAGGCAGTGCACGTGCGGCAGCCCGTCCACGGAAAGGTACCTGAAGCATGAAGGCTCGGAATGCCGAAGAAGAGAGCGATGGACATGCAGACGAACCGCGGCGAGTTACCTGACAGAGAAGAGCTGCGCGTCCACACACAAGAAATCTTGCCCAACGGCAGTGCGTCCTCCGGCGAGGGCTGCCGGTCGGTGAGCAGCCTGCCTCTCTCGTCCACATCTCGGGCAATCTCGGGCAATCTCGGCTAGATCTCGCCGGTCGGTGAGCAGCCTGCCTCTCTCGTCCACCGGCAGCCCGAGCGAGGCGCAGAGCGGCGAAGGCTGCGAGCCGGCGCACCACACCACCAAGTCCGCCTGTACATGGACGTGTTTTGGGCGTCGGTGGGGCGTGTCCAGGACGTGGTAGTCGCGCCGCGGGAGGGTTGCCGGGAGGGAGGGTGGCGCGGTGCCGCCGCACAGTGTGAGCTCCCCCGGGGCAACCTGAGTCCAGCAGCCCTTGGTGAAGGTTGGATGAGCGAGTCAGACCAGAGTGCGCCTCTCTCCGATGCCGCCTCGTCCACTGCAGTCTCCAGGTGCACTGTCACGCCACGCTCCTCGAGCCTCGCCTATGGGACATGTCATAGAGGTGTCCTGGACATGTCCTGGACATGTCACGCCACGCTCCTCGAGCCTCGCCTGCGCGACGAGCCTACCCGCAGCAGCAGCAGAAGCAAGTGTGACGAGGCACTGTCGCCCTCCCTCCCGCCCGCCTGCGGGCGGCCTGCTGAAGTCGCTCGACGAGGAGAGGAGCGCCTCTGCCCTGTGAATCAGGGAGAGGTCGACCTAGCGGGGAGGGCACCAAGAACAGGCTCCGAACAGGTCCTTAGGACAGCGGTGGAGGAGGGGGAGGGTCGGCCTTGTCCCCGAGCCAGCTGCACAGGTTGGCGGCCAGCTCGACCTAGCTCGAAGCATTGGACCGCTCAGTCCTGGGCTGCTGCCAGCAGCACACGCGCTGGCTGCCGGCCCCCGCCCCGACGAAAGAGCCGCCGATGACTGCGACGGAGATCTTGGCGCCGGCAGGGGCGCGCGAGAGCGGGAGCAGCGTCTCGCGCAGCGCGAGCGCGTCGTCGAGCGAATAGAAGGGCAGCGCGTGCTCCGCCGCCCCCTTGACGCCGCCAAACGAGGGGACTGCGCCCGGCGCGAGGACGGCGGCGTCGTACGGAAGAGCGAGCGGACCGCCCGCCGTCGTGCCGGAGGAGTTGGCGGCGCCTCCCTCTCCGGCCGTTGCCTCCTCCGGCCGCCGCACAGAGAGCAGCTGCGCCTCGGCGTCGAGCGAGATCGCCTCGCCCTGCACGAACTCGACGCCGGAGCCTGCGAGCAGCTCCTCGAAACGCGGCGCCACCTCCCAGCAGGACGCCTGCCCGGTCGTCACCTCGTAGAGCATGGGGAGGAAGACGAAGCGGTCGCTCCGGTCGACCAGCGTCACACGCGGCGGCTCCGCCTCCTCCCACCCCAGGTTGGCCAGGCGGAGCGCGGTGTAGAGCCCGCCAAAGCCGCCGCCCACCACGACGACGTCAGGCCGGCCGAGCGACTCGACCGAGGCGCGCATGACGCCGCCGGCGCGAGCGGCGGCCGGGCCGACGCGAAGCGCTGGCTTGAGCGCCGCGGGGAGGATCCCGAGCCCGAAGTGCATCATGCCGTGAGCCCACATCGGTTCGCAGCTGCTGTTCGTAGGAAGTCGGCTGCTGGTGCCGCGAAATGGCCTGCCACGATTTGTTTTTTCTTTTTTGTCCAAAAAAAATGTATTATCCTAACGGTGTGGGGGCGCGGAGGGCTTGTTGGCGAGCCAAAATGGTGTTTCCTTCCGAGGCGCTGCGCTAGGCTCAGAGCGAGTTCGCGCTGCGCTAGGCTCAGACGGCGAGTTCGCGCTGCGCTAGGCTCACAGATGCGAGTGCGCTGCGATAGAAGAAAAAAACAGGGTCGAAACGACAACCGAAGGGAGGACTGTGTAGTGTAATCATGTGTCAAGAATCACGTGCTGCTGCTGAGCTGCTGCTACTGCTGCTGCTGCGCGGCGAGCGCCGTCGCCGAGGCGGGCCTCGGCGGAGAGCGCGATTATGCGGCCTTTTCCGCGACCCGCACAAAGAAGAGGCGCCCTCCGTCAGCCTCGACCTGCCACCGGCTCGCGTCGACCGACCCGGCCGCGTGCCACACCTCCACAGCCCAGTGCGCCAGCCCGCAGAAGTTGCCCTCCTCGATGCCCCATCCCGTGGGCCACGCGGCCAAGGCGGTGCCGAGAGGCGGCGGCGGCGCCGCGGTCGCCTCGAGACGCGCCGCGACGGCGTCAAAGGCGATCCGCCTCGCGCCCGTCGCGGCCGCCTCGGCCAGCAGCGCCTCCCCGGCCAGCCGCGGGAGGTCGCCCTCCGTCTCGAACCAGCACGACGAGCGGCCGTCGGCGCACGCCTCGTCCCACGCCTTGAGCTGGCGGACAAAGGCCGCCAAGCTCTTGAGGCCGGGCGAGGGCGCGGCGGGCGACGGGGCAAGGGAGCAGCCGGGCGAGGAGAGGTAGGAGGTGCTCGCCGGCGAGCGCTCCCGCGCCTGCGAAGGGGCAAGGCCTGAGGGCGGGCGGGCGGTCGGGCGGGCGGGCGCGGGTGGGGGGGATAAACGCTGCGCCGCCAAAGGAACCAGCGACACTGGCCGCGGCTCGTCGCCACGCGCCGGCTCGGAAGAGGGGCTGTCGGCGGCGAAGCAGAGTGGCACGCCTCGCCGCTCGAGCCGCCGACAGCCCCCCCTCCTGACGTGACGGCCGCTCCCGGAGCCGGCCGGTGCGCGCCTGACCCACGCCCCCTCTCGCACCCCTCCGACCCCCCCTGCGCGGCGCACCCGTCCGCTGTGCGCCGGCTCGAGCGCCTATTGCCAAATCGCGACGTTTGAGCGCAGCGCACGCATCCTCTGGGCGCCTGAGCGCGGCGGAATCTTGCCAGAATGTGGCCGCAGGAAGAGCCTCCGGCGGGCCTCCGGCGGACGCCTGGCGGCGTGGCGCTGCGCGCCGGCCTGCGGCCCAAAGCCCGAACGAGCGGTCAAGTTAACTTGACGCGCCGAATCCCTTGGTTGGCCCTCGCAGCTGTGATACAAAAGTGGGGACGCGCCTGGCGGCGCGCCCCCAAAAACAAAAGCCGGTCCTGACACAGTCATAATAGGGTGTTGTGTGCCGTCAGAGTGACTCTCTGTGTGTCAGGGATAGTCAAGGCCGTCCATCAGAGCTCCAGTAAGCTCGGAGACACCCCATTAGGTTAGGCTGTACCCATGTTTCCTCGCTCACCCCGTCTCGTTTCCTTTCCGTGTTTCTCTACAGCACCCTCTCGTTTCCTCTCTAGTTTCCCGAGGAAACTCCGCGAAAACCGTCAATTTCACGACTCGCGTGACCTCGTCCAGGAAAACCACCGAGTCGTAGCCAGGTATTCGAGATCGGGGAGGGGGTTCGCGGCAAATCCGGCTCGGCTCGGCCATCCCTTCGACACGCCCCGTCGGCCGTCCCTCCCTCGTCTCCGCTCCTCCCTCGTCTGAGGCCCGTGCGGCCCCCTCCCGCCGCTCTCCCGCCGGCAGCTGGTTCCGTCTTATGAGATCCCGCAGTTCTTCCGCCACGATCTCTCGGTGTCCAAGCTGGTCGCCCCATGTCCAGACCAAAATTCTCTTTCTTGGAAAATTCTATGCCTGCACAGCTTTCTGGCCACGTGCGAGACGTGAGTGCAGCTGCGAGGGCTGCACGGACAAGCAGAGAGAGGGCGAGGAGGAGTGGTCTACAACATATGAGACGAGCCAGCCTGGCCACCGCGCGCCGTGCCAGCCACGCGGCCCTGGCTCATCATGCCGCGCGCCGTCTCTGCACGGCTACACGCCTCGCCGACCCGTCCACCATGGTCGGAAGGCTCCAGCAGCTGCAGGCCTTGCAAAGGTGCCGCCGAGCCGAGCCGCCTGCAATTCCCACTCTCCTCTCCACTCGCAGGCTGGCCCGTGGTGGCGCACGGGGCTGATGCGGCTCGGTGGCATGTTCACGGATGCGCAGTACCAGGCGGCGGCCGGCGAGGACATCCACGGGATATGCCGGCGGCGCGGAGACCTCTCGGAGCTGTACGACCCGTCTTCCGGCGGCGTCGACGCGAGCCGGTTCTACACGCGCTTCCAGGTCAAAGGGCTTCACTGCTGGCTGGTGCACGTGCGGCTGCGTCCGCTGCCGCGCGAGCGGGTCGAGGCGCTCGTCTCGGAGGTGCTGGAGCGGCTGTGGGAGTACGACGGGATGCGCGACGCCGTGGAGGGGGAGGGGCTCGAGCTGATCCAGGCGCTCAAGTACCAGAAGGAGCTGCAGCTGTCGTGGCACGGCATGGCGCAGGCGCTCGACGAGGCGCTCAAGCAGCCGGCAGGCGGACCCCAAGCGGAGGCCCTCGCCGAGGTGCTGCTCCGCAACGTGTACGCAGACGAGGAGGGAGGCATCGCCGGCAGCGCGGAGCCGGCGGCCCTGTGGCTCGCCGAGTACCTGCTGGCGCAGATGTCGCACCTCGCGGCGCTGCCGGACGACGAGATCCTCCTCGGCCGCCTCACCTGGGCGCCGCCGCCGCCGCCGCACGCCAGCGGCGCCGAGCTGCGCGGCGACGAGGCGGAGGCGGAGCAGGCGGCCGGAGGAGGGCGCTGACGGGGGGCGCTGCTGACACCTGTTTGAGAGGGCGTGCGCGCTAGGCATCGTGCCGTTTCTTGTGTTTGGGGCGCGGGGAGGGGCGAGGACCGAGGTGAGTTGTACTCTGAGGGTTGGGGTCGGGGAGAGTTGCGACGAGCCGTCTCGCTGGGAGCTCATCTGCGAGTGCGAGGCGGTCAGTGTCTCTCTTTTTTACAAATCCAAACAGATGAGAAGGCGCCGTCGACATATTTAAAGTTTTTGGCATGACTGTGATTTAACACATTTATGTCCTCTGCATGTGCCACGGCGGGCTCCGGCGCGCTTCTTTTCCCGCGCGAGCAGTGCACCGCGCGCCGGGGGGGCGGGGCGGCGCGACCAACCCAAGAAGGTCGCGAGCGGGATGTACTGTGGTGGCAGGGTGGAGGGTGAGACCCGCTGAGACAGAGGATACGTGCCTCGCGGGGGGAGACGAAAAAGTCCCCGCACTCCGGTGCAATCAATCGGCCCTTTCTAGATTCACCACAGTCCTGCGCAATGCCTGCAGCGAGTCGGGCAATGCGCGCACATCCGGCCGAGGAGCCCGCCGTCCTTCGGCACGCGGGCGACCGAGACGCCGAGGAAGGCGAGCCAGACGGCGAGTGCTCCGGCGAGGAGCGCCGGCGTGAGGCGCTCTCGCTGCCTCGCTACGTCGGAGGCCATGGCGAGAGGGATGGAGAGGGAGAGGCCGACCACGACGACGAGGGGTGATGTGAGGAGGGCGGCGCGGGCGAGCAGCAGGTTGGCCACCACCGTCCCGAGCAGCGCGTTCCCGCAGATGGCGAGCAGGTTGTCGCGCGCCGGCAGCTCGAGCCGCTCGACACCGGTCGCGTGCAGCAGCAGCAGCGCCGGCGGGCCGGCCGCGAGGAGCGAGGCGCCCATGAGGCCGAAGAGGTAGGGCAGCGGCGCCTCCTTCTCGGACGGCACCTCCCGCTTCAGCCGCACCGTGTATGCGCCGTAGCACGCCGCCGAAGCAACCAGCCCCGCGGAGCCAAGGGCGTGCTTTAGCTCCGCGCGGTGCGCGACGGCGGCGGCGGAGTGGGAGATGCGCGCGAGCGCCCGCGCGGCGTGCGGGTGGTGGTGGTGCTCGTCGTCACCCCACGCGCCCTCGCCCGCCCCTCCGTACACCACGAGCAAGACGCCGGCCAAGCCGCAGGAGACAGACGCGACTCGAAGAAGAGACAGGGGCTCTCCGAGCAGCCACGCGCTGAAGAGGAGGGTCCACACGGCGGAGGAGGAGGCGATCACGGTGGCGGAGGAGACGCTCGTGTACTGCAGGCTCACGTTGAAGAGCAGGTTCGCGCAAAGGATCAGGCCGCCCAGCCGCCAGGCGACATACACGAGCCCAACCTCAGAGGGCACCTCGGAGGGACGGCCGGTGCCGGCGGCGCCAGCGTCCCCGCCCGCCCCTCCGCCGGACCCGATGGCGCGGCGCGGTGCGCAGGCCTGCGCCATCTCCAGGCCGGCCTCGTCGCCCACGTGCCGCACGGCAGCGTACCCACCCTGCGCCGCGCCCCAACCCTGCACCAGCCTCCCGACGGCTGCGGCGGCTCGCACGCGGTAGCCCAGCAGGTAGAGGGCTTGCATCGAGAAGGAGATGTATGTGATGAGGAAGGGCTTGCGGTGGTGCTCCGCCTCGAAGACCAGCTGCAGCACGATGGTCGAAGCCGTGAAGAGCACGACGACAACGAGCACGAGCACGATGCCACGCACGCGCCGCAGTAGACGCGCGCTGATCGTGAGTGCGCCAGAGCGCCACTGGGCGACAAACCATGAGGCCGGCAGCAGCAGGGTGACTGCGATAAGCACGAAGGCGACGGGCGCCGCGTAGGAGGAGGAGGAGACCATGTTCTGCTGTCGACTCTTGCTGTTGCCCTCGCCGTGTAGTACGCGCCACTTTCGACTTTCCACACACAGAAAAAGAAATTGCAGGCCAGTGGGATATGAAATTCGCTGATCGTCATTGAGAGCCCGTAGCACATGTGCATGTATGTGGAGCCCGGGGACGGGGGACTTCGCGCCGCCCTCCCCCTGCTGGGCCCCTCGGCAGCCTGGCGCATGCACCGCGGGGGCGCAGCACCGATGCCTACGATGCGGCCACAGCCTGCCGGAGGAAATGCGAGGCGAAGGGGCTGTCCAAGAACATCTCTGCCGCCCGCAGCGGAGCCGGCGAGTCCGCCTCTTGCAGCGCCTCCCGCGGCGAAACCTCCAGCAGCTGTGACGAAACCTCCAGCAGCTGTGAGCCGGCGTCGGGGTCGACCTCTGCCGTCGTCGGCGGCTCGGCGAGCGCCGGGGCGCCCTCCTCCTCCGGGGCGCCCCCCTCCTCCGCGGCCGCGGCCGCCGCCTGCACCTCGAGCACCACCTCCTGCACCGCCTTGCTCACGGGGGTGCTGCCCGGCGACGCCTCCTCCTCCTCGAAGTCGACCGCCGGCGCCGCCGGCGCCGACACCTCCGCCGCCTCCTCGGCCGGTGGCGGCGCCGGAAGCGGCTCTGGCGGCGGCTTCGGCGGCCAGTCGACCGCCACGATCGTCACAGGGGGGGAGCGAGGCCGCCTCTGCTGCCTCTGCCTCCGCGGCGGCCCGCCCTCGCCCGAGGCGGGCGGAGGCACCGTCCAAGCGGCGCTGCGCGGAGCAGCGGGCGGCGGCGGCGCGGCGTGCCGGGTGGCGGCGCACCGCACGACGGCGCCCTCGCCCGTCTGGCCGCCGCCTTCTGGCGGCGGCGGCGGCGGCGGCGAGCGGGGTCGCAAGGGCGGGGAGGGGAGCTCGCCAAAGTCGAGCGAGGCCGGTACGAGGCTCGCTGGCTCCGGGCCGAGGATCGCGTGGGCCGCCTCCCCCGCGCCGCCCTTCGCGCCGCCCTCGCCGCCCTCGCCGCCGCCATTGGCGCCACCCCCGTCGCCGTGCTGCGCAGACGGGCTGAGCGTCGACCGATCGCACGAGCAGTGGAGGAGGTTGGCGCGGTTCTGCCGGGCGAGGGCGAGGTTCTCGCGCCAGACGTGCGCCTGCTGCTCGAGGAGCGCGCGGTGCGCAGCCTCCCTCTCCGCCCGCCGCTTCTCGTGCATCGCCTTGCGCAGCACCTGAGGGGGCGCGCGGGGACGGCGCCGTCAAGCCGCTCGCTGTCTGCCTCGAGTGACGTGTCGAGTGACGTGTGTCAAACAGGAGGGGGAGGGGCGGGGGTGGGGTGGGGGGGGCACCTCGGAGCGGCGCTTCGAGGCCTCGAGCGCTCGCTCCTCGGCGGCGAGGGCTGCCTCCTTCGCCTCAGCCCTGCGGAGGAGAGGCGGCGGGGTGGGGGAGGCGCGCGCTCGGCTTCGGTGAGAGGCGGAGGAGGGCCGCAAGAGGGGTGGGTGGCGGTGGTGGCGGTGGCGGCGGCGGTGGTGGCGATGGTGGCGGTGAGAAGAGGCGAGGGCGGCCCGCGCCGTTCGCGCGTTCGCGCCGCGTGTTGGTGCACGGCCCGCTCCCACGCGTCGTTGGCGGCGGAGCCGGCGGCCGGCGCAGGCACAGTTCGGCTCTGCGGCGCGGCGTGGACAGGGAGGGTCTCCAGCTGGCCGAGGGAAGGGAAGGCGCCGGAGGCGGTGCCGGCGGGCGGTAGCGAGGCCGACATGAGGGTGTCTGCCGAGAGGGCGCCGCCCGGACCACCCCACGCTTGCGCGGGTGGCCTCGGGAGGGGCGCACCCCCGTGCGGCGGCGTGGCGCGGTGCTGCGGCGCGGGGACTGCAGCGGGATGCAGCCAGCCGGCGGTCAGTCGGTCGGTGGGCAGGCCCGCGGCAGGCAGTGCGGCTGCGGCGGCGAGGAGCGGGACGGACGCCGGAGAAGCGTGCGGGGGAGAAGGAGCATCGACTCGAGAGGCGCCGGCTGGCTCTGCCGCCGCCGCCGCCGCTTCCGCCGGCGCGGCGAGGGGGTGGTGAGCCGGCGGAGGCGGCAGGGGAGGTGGCGGTGGCGGCGGTGGCGGCGGCTTCCACGAGACTGTGCCTGTGCCGACCTCCCAGTAGTAGGCGGCCCCTTTGGCGCTGGTCAGCCGCGTCCAGCCCGTCGGCAGTGGCAGCGGCGCCGCCGGCGCGCCAACGACTGCCGTCTGCGCAGACCCGTCTGAGCTGCAGGTGGCGGAGGCGGAGGCGGGGGCTGGACGCGGCGCCGGCTCCTCAGCGGCCCGCGCCGCCCTCGGCGCGGCTGCACCCGCCTTCGCCGCCCCCGCCTCTGCCGGCTTGCTCGAGCGCTTGTCCTCGAGCCGCGCCTCGGCCCGCCTTGGCGCCGTGCCTCGCGCCTGCTTTGGCTCGAGCAGCGCGGGGCGCGGCGGGCGGGACGCGGTGCCAGGCCTCGAGGCGGCCGGCGTGGCCGGGGACGCTCCAGCGCGGGATCTGCGCTTGGAGGCCGCCGCACTTGGCGCCGTCTGCGGCCTCTGCTGCTGTGGCGTCGGCGCTCGAGGGTCGTCGTCACACCACGCCACGTACGGCCGCACCCGTCGGCCGGCGCCAGCTTGCTTCGCGGGCGGCTTCTTCGGCGCCGGCGCCCACGACTGTGTGCCGCGCCGCGTGCCGACGACTGGCGCCGCCCACGGGTCGGCGCGGTGCTTGGCGGTGGTCTGCCTTTGCCACTCGCCGGCGGGCTGCCACGCGCCGAGTGCCACCGGCCTGTGGCGCCGTCCGAGCGGCGCCGCCCGATCGCTGAGATCCCAGTCGGGCGTGCGCACCGTCTCTCTCGTCCGTCTCGGCCTGTTGTACAGGTCCTCATTGTGGCCCCACCAGCGCGGTGGCTCAGGCGCGTCCGCGGCCGCCGGCTCATCGTCCGTCCACGTGGCGAGCTGCGCCCTGGGACCCGGGCGGAAAGTGTAGTACCCCGGAGGGCCGGGTGGCGCGAAGGACATGGCGGTGGGTAGGTCGCGTGGGGGTCGCTGTGCCGGGCTGCTACCTGCCGCCCGCCTCAACGCCTGGGTCGGATTTATTTTTTATTTGCAGAAGGAGAGTCCGGCGTTCCACCGCTGAAGAACGAAGGACGCAGCAGCAAGGAGTCGAAAGGAGGGGGCTGGGGACCTGGGAATTCTCTCTTGTCTCCGTGGTGTGAGTGTGAGCACACATACACACACATTGCCGCTGGTGTCGAGGCGGCGTCGGGCAACGCCAGCGCTGGCACCGCACAGATAAGCAAGCGGGGTCAGTTCGTGTCCTCCTCCCTTCTTTATGATCTCATTGCGTCACGCGATCTCGTGCCTTCTCCTCGCCGCAGCGACACCCGCCTCCGCCCGATACCGCGTGCGACTGCGGACGCCTCTCGGCATCGCGTTTGAGGAGGTGGAGCCGGGCAAGGCTTGCGGTGTCGTCGTCGCGGACCTCGTGGATGGAGGCAACGCCGAACACGACGGTCGGATCTGGGTGGGCGACCGGCTGCTGAGCACGAGCGCGGTGGTGCTGGGCGGCGACAGCGCGTTGCTGACGGTCGGTGGTGGGCGGCAGTTCACAAACTGGAAGCGAGAGCTGATTCCCGCGACGGCGATGGGCTTCGAGGAGATAATGGCCGCCATCGGGTCCAACTCGGGCCGCTTCGGCTACGTCGACTGCCTGCTCGAGCTCGCGCGGACTGACTCGTCGGTGCCGCGGCCCGCTCAAAGCGGCGCCGCCCGCGCCGCGCGAGGCGAGTCTGGCGTCGACTGGGACGGCGGGCGCGGCACCAGGGTGGGCGGCGTCAGCACCCCAATCAGACCCGTGCCGGACGAGTTTGACTTTGACTAGCAGGAGGTACCAGGTAGATTCGCAGATGCGCTAGAGAGAGAGCGAGTGGCTGAGGCTAGTTCCTTCCATTTTGGCAAAAGTCAACCCCCGCCTAACCATTTTGTACCTCCCGCTCGCGCTCCGCCCTGAGCGCTGAGGCTTGAGCGCTGAGGCAACCTCCGCAGCCTCCCCGCTCCCAACCTGACCGCTGACGGTGGACGGCGCAAACTACCGCACGCAAACGGTCGCGCCGGGCGCCTCAGGGCGCGAAAAAGAAAAACTCGCCCGCGGTTTGGCAGACCCTCCATTACTCCATCATGACCAACGAGTTGAGCGCAATGCGTGTTGAGCACACGCTCACGACGAGTTAGCGCAGCCCACTACGGACCAAGCACACAGCGTCAATGTCGGACGAGCCACCGCCAACGCCGGTCGCGTTTGTGCGTTCGCCCTCGCTTGCGCCGGCCTCGCACGACAACCCGACTCCTCAGTCGTGGGGTCCGCCGACCTCGTACGCCACCAAGAGCGACAAGATTGTTTGCATCATGGTCGGCCTTCCTGCGCGCGGCAAATCATACATATCGCGCCGGCTCGCACCCTATGTCTCTTTCTTTTACGGCGCGCCGGCCAAGGTGTTCAACGTGGGAGATTACCGGCGGAAGATCGCGCGAACCACTTCGATGGCCGACTTCTTCGACAGCAGCAACCAGGCGGCGATGAAGGCGAGGGCGCAGGCGTGCGAGGAGGCGCTCACCGACCTGAAGAGGTGGATCGGAGAGACGCCGTCGCAACAGCAGCGGCTCGACCAAAAGCTTCATCAGAGCGGCGACTTTGGTTCGCTGGCCATCTTCGACGCGACCAACTCGACGCAGAGCCGTCGCGCCTGGCTCGTGGAGCAGCTGAAGGACACGGGCGCAAAGGTGATCTTCATCGAGTCGGTCTGCCGCGACGAGAGGCTCGTGCAGCAGACCATCCTGCACGCCAAGGAGAGCGTCCTAGCGCGGCTCGAGCCTCGGCGGACTGCCGGGTTGGTTGACCGCCCCGCCCCGCTGGTAGGTTGGGAATCACGACTACGAGGGTGTCGACCCGGCCGTCGCCATCGCCGACTTCGAGGCGCGGATACGGCACTACGAGCAGGTGAGGGCCCGAGAGGCTCGCGGCCTGCCCATGGGCCTGCCCCTCGAATCTCACTCAGCCTCGGGTCGTCTCGGTCGGTCTCCGACAGGTGTATCAGGAGCTCGGCCCGCCCGAGAAGCACCTCGCCTGGATCCAGATCGTCGATGGCGGCCGCCAGCTCTCGATGAACAACATCCGCGGCTTCCTCCCCTCGCGCATCTCGCAGGCGGAGGCACGAGACGACCCGAGATCACGCGTCGGCCAGCCCTCAGCCGCGTCGCTTCCCTCGCCTCCGCCGCCGCCCTCACCACCCTCGCCGCCCGCGCCCCTCTCGCAGTTCCTCGTCAACTTGCATGTCGACTGCCGCTCCTTCTACCTCTCCCGCCACGGCCAGTCCGAGTACAACCGCCTCGGAAAGATCGGAGGCGACTCGGACCTCACCGCGCACGGAGAGGCGTACGCAAAGGCGCCGCCCTCGCCGCCGCCATCCTCGCCGCCGCCGCCGCCGCCGCCGCCGCCGCCGCCGCCGCCGCCGCCGCCGCCGCCGCCGCCATCCTCGCCGCCGCCGCCGCCGCCGCCGCCGCCGCCGCCGCCGCCGCCACCCCCGCTGCCTCTCCCCTCCGCGCCGCCGCCCTCACCGCCGCCCCGCTGCCCGTGCCGCAAAGGCGCTCGGCGAGTGGGTCGACGCGAAGGTCTCTCTCGCCGCCGACGGCTCCCCCGTCCCGTGCCGTCTCTGGACCTCGTCGCTTCTGCGCACGCGCCGCACCGCGCGGCACATCTCCACGCCGGTCGTCTCGTACACCACTTCGGACGGCGCGCACCTCGACTGGGTGCAGATGCGGCCAAAGGCCTTCCGCAACCTCGACGAGCTCTACGCGGGCCTGTGCGACGGGATGACCTACGAGGAGATCGCAGACAACTACCCGGACGAGGCGGAGGCGCGCGGGGCAGACAAGTTCCAGTACCGGTACCCTCGCGGCGAGTCGTACACCGACCTAATCGCCCGCCTCGAGCCGCTTGCCCACGAGCTCGAGCGCTCCCGCGAGCCCGTTGTGATCGTGGCCCACCAGGCAATCCACCGCGTGCTCTTCGCCTATTTCATGGGGATGCCGCGCGAGGAGTGCATCCACGTCTCCATCCCGCTCAACACGGTCATCAAAATCACTCCGACGTCGAACGGCTGCGAGGAGGAGCGCACCGTCGTGCTGCAGCACCCCAAGGGCGAGCTGCTCGACCCAGCGAGCCACTGAGCTGGGACACGACGCGCGCGATCCCACACAGAGTACGGTATGCATGTCTCATGTCTGTGCGGTACGTGTGTTTTTGTACTTGTTTGTTATACTGCGCAGGAAGATAATTATGTACAAATGTAGGAAGTGTGAAAATGCAGAAAAGGGAGCTCCAGCCTCTTCGTCGAGCGGCAAAGCTCAAAAGCACACCTGAGCTCGCAACATCGAGCTCGAGGCGGCGGGACGGAAGCGGGAGCGGACGCACCTTGCTCACGAGATAATGTACTCCGCTGATGAGAGCCTCTCCCTCGCCGCGCGCAAAGAATGCCCGCACATCGTCGCGCGTCCAAAATCTGACAGACCCGTCAGTCGTGAGGGCGAGCCATCCGTCAAAAAGGCAAACACCAGACTCCACCATCGCCTCCAGCCGCTTCGACCCAGGCTGAAAGCTCGCAATCTGGGCAAGAACAGCGCTGGCGTAGCCGGCGCTGCCCGGCGTCTGCGCAACAGCCAGAGCGACAGGCTGCTCTCGTCCCTGCACACTCTTGAGTCTCCGACCATACGCGGTGCGCTGTGCGTTGGCTGAGAGGGCTGCGACCTCGGCTGGACTTGCATATGGCGTCATCTCCCTGACGCTCGACGCACATCTGCTGCAGGTAGTGGCCGAGTTGTGGTTGACAGCGTCTCTGCAATGCCGACACAGCCACCACTCCAGCCGCAGCTGCGGCATTGTGCGCCATTCGGCGGCCGACGGTCTCTGACCGCGCTGCGCTCGCAGCTGCAAAGACGCCGCTGCAAATGCCGCCGGACCCGCATCCGGAACAGCCAGGATTCCGGCTAACGTCGATGCTCCATCGCCCGCAACAGGCGTGCGATGCTGCAGCACTGCACCGAGAGGCGCAGCAACCTCGACCTGGGTGTTGCTCGAATCCGTAACGCCCGCCGGGCGAATACGATTGCCTGGTCCTATCGCCAAAAGGCCCTGCTCCTCCTCTTGTCTGGCAGCAAACGCAACCTGCGGCACAAGCCGCGTTGGCGCAGAGGAGGCGGCAAGCCTCAACGCGCCTACCCGTGGCATGCCGCCGGATCGGGCCAAGACTAAGGCTGCAGGATTCGGCCCCGCCTGCTGCGAGTGCCCTCCCGTTGAGGTGTCCATCTTATGTGCAGTGGGGCTACAACTGTAGCGCGTCGGCAGGATCCCCAAAACCGTCGTAAACCCCCCCCAAATTGAATTGTGCAGTGTGTGGAGTTTACTTCATTCAGCGGGTGTGTATGTATGTAGGAAGGTGAAGAACAGCTAGGTAGGTAGGTAGAAAGGTGAAGAACAGCCAGGCTCGGACTGGACACCAACGCGGTAAGGGTGAACGTTGAGCGCCTCCCTCTCTCTCCGGCTGCGCGCCTGACCGGTCGGTGCAGCCTCCGAGTCGGCGGCTAGCGCGCGCGATAAGGTTTTTGCTCGCCTTCCCTGGACCCCGTGTTGCGTGACTGTCTCTCTGCGATTTCGGGCCCGGGGTTGTGCGTTTATGTGAACGCGAACAGCTGAAACAGAGAAAAAAACCCAAAAGGGACGGCCGAAAACCCTCCTTTCGGTCGAGCACAAGAAGGCGGCTCGGGTCGGCCGGCGCCGCCATGGCGGCCATGATGACGAACGTCAAGTGCGTGATCGTGGGAGACGGTGCGGTCGGCAAGACGTGCCTACTCATATCGTACACCACGAATGCCTTCCCAGAGGACTACATCCCCACCGTCTTCGACAACTACAGCGCGAATGTGATGGTGGATGGGAAGCCGATCAACCTTGGGCTGTGGGACACAGCAGGGCAGGAAGACTACGATCGGTTGCGACCGCTCTCGTACCCGCAGACGGACGTCTTCCTCGTCGCCTTCTCCCTCATCTCGCGCCCCTCGTACGAGAACGTGAAACAGAAGTGGTTCCCCGAGCTGAAGCACCACTGCCCAAACTGCCCGTTCATCCTCGTCGGCACGAAGCTCGACCTGCGATCTGATGGGACCACGGTTGCGAAGCTGCGCCAGCAGAACCAGACACCGATCAGTCTGGAGGAGGGGCAGGAGATGGCAAAGACCATCGGCGCGACAAAGTACCTCGAGTGCTCCGCGCTGACGCAAAAGGTGCGCCCCCGACGCCCCTGCGAGCGGCTTGGTGGGCTCGGGCACGAAAAGACGGCCAGTCACGTCCCACCCGACACGTCTCCAGCATCCAGCCGCACCGCCCCCTCGCCCCCCTCGCCCGCCCGCGAGGGTCCTTGCTCGCTCCTGACCGCCAGCGCCGCCGCCGCTCTGCGCAGGGCCTCAAGAATGTGTTCGATGAGGCGATTCGCGTCGTGCTGTGCCCGCCGGCGCCCGCCAAGAAGCCGAAGAAAAAGGGCGGCTGCAGTGTCATGTAGCTTGGGCGGGGCCGCACGCCACCGCTCCCCCAGCCACCCACCCATCCGACCCTCGCGTCCCTCTCCCCCTCCACACTCCTGACCCATGCCACTTTGAACCCGGCCTTCGGCCCCGCCCACTTTGCCCCCCCGGGGGCTTGTTATGTATCGGTTCGGCGCCGCTCTCCAGCGGCCGGACCAGCCACGAGGGCCGGGCTTCCATTGGCGAGAGCGCTGGAGGGCCATGGGCACGCCAATACGCCGCGGCGCGGCGGCGGTCGACTGTCTGCGCCCGGTCGTGAGAGGGCTACTTCTTTCACCATGTACAAAAACACACGTACCGCACAGACATGCAGAAGTGTGCACACACAGGGGGAGCCAATCGGCTGTCCGACACTCATCGGCACGCTTGGTCGAGCCTGCCGGCACGGACAGACCAAGAGAGCCCCCTGTGCCCTGACCCTGGCAGGGAAAATAAATAAAACGGACACCTCTACTAGGAGATGGGTAAAAAGGAACAGGCAGGGAAGAGGGGGCGGAGCTCTTGTTTTTATTTACTTATTTGCACACCATCGAGCCACCACAAGCCACGGCCAGGAGGCATCATGTGGAGGGGTAACGTGGAAGTCGAAAGGGAGACCGGGGGCGGCGAGAGGCACCACACTGAAACCGACAGAGTTGTCAATCTGCATTGGACACGCACGCCCTGCACGCTCTCCGGGACTACAAAGCAAACCGACGCGGCCCAGTCACAACACGACCACGTTTCCGCTCAACGAGTCCGCTCAATCTGCCTCGGCGTGATCTTCTTCGGTATCTTCGGGCGGCGCCAAGTGCCTCCAAATGTCGTCGTCATCGTCATGGTCTTCGCCGCGCTCATCGTCACCAATGGTGCCGGCCGACACCCTCCACGAGGGCGTGCCGACTCCGGCGTCGCCGGAGAGTCGGACGAGGCGGTGCGTCCCCGCCAGCTTTGAAACATCTCGCACGGGCGCCTCGGCGACAGCGAAGCGCGAGTACTTGAAATCGGTGCCGAAAAAGTCGGCCATCTTGTAGTCAGCGCCCATGCCCTCAATGGCACCTTCCGCTTGAGCCTCAGTCGCAATCTCGTGCCCGCCGCCCTGCGCCTTCCAGAGGTCAGTATACTTGTCCTGCTTGCCGTCGACCGCCATGCCGTCCCCGTCATATGATTGGCCAATCAGCCCGTGCGGCGCCACTATCTTGCCCGTCCCGAGCTGCGGCGCGAGCGGGTCGCGCAGCGGAGCGAAGGAGAGGTCAATCTGCTTCTTGCCCGGCACGGTGGATCGCCAGATGAGGCGGGCCGACGCCTCCAGTTTCCAGCCCGCCGTGCTCACCTGCAACACTTCGGCGCCCCCGCCCTGCCCGCCCTTGCGCGCTTCGAGTGAGGCGCTCACGTCCTCGAAAGCGATACCCGGCTCGCCCGCGAGCAACCTTTTGGCCGCAGTGGCGCCCGGTAAGCCGTGCACGAGCGGCGTCGGCGGCTGGTTTGGCGAGTACTCGATGCGGATGGTGCGGCCCGAGGAGGCAGCCTTGATCACGACATAGGCGTCAGTCACAAAGGAGCCGCGCACTTTCATCCCACCCCAGTGGAGGGGCAGTAGGAAGGAGGCCATCTCCCACGCGCCGTTGACAGAGATATTGGTGTGCGAGAGCATGTTGTAGACAGCGCCGTCCTCGCCGCGAAAGTCCGCCTCGCCTCCATCCGCAAAGTGCAGATGCGGGTCGCCAGTGAGGCCGGGGGAGAGGGGGAGCGGCGGCGGAGGGGGCGCCGGAGGGCCCGGCGGGAAGGGCGGAGGCGAGGGAGGTGGCGAAACGGCCGGACTGAGGAGGGCCGCGAAGATGATAGCCCCTGCCATGGGTTGCTCGCTGTAGAGCTTATCGCTTCTGTTTCATGTCGGGGCTGCAACCGCCCGTCGTGAAAGCCGAGCGGAACTATTAAGAAAGCGGCCGGCACCCGGGACACACACACACACACACACACACACACACACACACACACACAGAGAGAGAGAGAGAGAGAGAGAGAGAGAGAGAGAGAGAGGGGGGGGGGGGTAGCTGGTTGGTTCCGTCCGTGTGTATGCGGCGTTATCACGTGTGAAGAGTGTGAACTGAAGGAAGGAAGGATTTTCTTCTAGCATCAAGGACAAGGTCCGTGAATTGACTACCATAACGCATAAGGTGGTCCTCCGGCATGCCCATGCGGCATGCGGCATGCCGAGAGAGATTTTTCGTTGTACCAACCAAACAACTCTAACAGTCACTTGTGCCGTCCGTCCCAATCAGAAGACGAGATCCCGCCGAATGAGTGTAGAGTGAGAGTGAGAGTTCGCCGGGCGGGGCGGCGGCGCGCGTCGTTTTCGCTCCAGTTTCGCTCTCGCGCAGGAAGGACGGCCACCGTCAAGCGTCAGTCAAGATCTGGTCAGGCGGGTCGCGTGATCTTGGTGAACGTTCCCTTGCATGGCTGCAAGCATGGGATCTTCAAACCAATTACTCGAGTAGTCGCGTTTGGGCAGGGGAAGCATGGCGCCATGGGCGCGCACAGTCCACAGACAGACCTTGATGTGTGAGTGTTAGATTTGTTTGGTATTGTATTGCAAAAACAAAACACATTGTATTGCTAAAAATCTCTCTCAGACCTCTCAGCTCTCTAGCCCGTAGCCCGATCCCGATCATCCGGCCCGCTGCGCGCTGGGTGCGCTTCTTAGCTCCGCGGCCCTGGATGTGAGGTTAATGACTGCACTCCAAGTGCTCCAAGTGCTCCAAGACCTTGGCCTAAGTCAAATCGAGAGAGATATTTTTAGCAATACCAAACAAAATCGAGAACAAGCGCTGTGCCCGACGTGATTTCTTGTTGGTTTTCTAAAATCTCTCTCTTCAAAATCGACGAGGCCCTTGGTCTCAATACATCGTCCATTGACGGCGGGCGTGCTCGCCGTCAAGCTCAGCACCGGTTCTGCCTCTCTCTGTCTGGCCGAGCCGCCTCGATCGATGTATGTAGCGAATGGAGGACGCCGAACAGCCTGGATTTCTTTGTTTGTTGTAAAATTCTTTGTTTGGCCCAGCTGATAATCGCTTGGGTCCGGATGAGGCGCAGCTTGGGCGCGGCCCGCAGCCTCGCCAATTGGGCTCCGGTCCTCGTCCTCGGCAACGGCGCCGCGGGCGCCGAGAAGCAGGCGATCGCGCTCGCGGACGCGCTCGGCCTGCCCTACCAGGTCGAGCGGCGGGTGCCTTCGAGGGCGGCGATGCGGCTACCGCTGCCCACGCAGCTCGCAGTGCAGTCGCTGCTCGGTCCGCACGCGCTGGGGCTGGGAGAGCCGCCGCAGCCTCCCTTCCCGCTCCTCGCCATCAGCTGCGGCCGCGCGAGCGTGCCTGCGAGCGTGGCGGTCCGCGAGGCGAGCGGCCGCGCCACGGCGACAGTGCACGTGCAGCGGCCGCTGTGCGACGCGTCGCGCTTCGACATGGTGGTCGCGCCGCGGCACGACTTTGCCGGAGGCGAGCGCTCCGCCCCGCCCAACGCACTCCTCACGGCCGGTGCGCTCGGCGGCGTGCCGGCCGAGGCGCGGGCGCGGGCGCGAGAGGAGTGGGCGGCGACGGCGTCGGCACTCCCGCGCCCGCGCGTCGCCCTGCTGGTGGGCGGTCCCGTGACGCGGCGGTGGTGGCAACGCCGCCTCGCGCCGCCCCTCGACGCGGCGGCGGCCGCCGCCCTCCTCCGCTCCGCCGGCGCTGCCGCGGCGAGGGAGGGAGGCTCTCTCCTTGTCAGTCCGTCCCGGAGGACGCCGCCAGAGGTGGCGGGCGGCGGGGTGGGGCGGGAGGCCGCGCCAGCGGCAGTTCCTCGACGCGCGCGCCCGACCGCGCACCCTAGGCGCGCGCCGCTCTCGAGTCGGAGGCTGCTGCGGCGGGCGAGGGGTGGAGCGGCGACGGGCGGAGGCTGCGCGTGTGGCTGTGGCGCGGGGAGGAGCAGGACGGGCCCAACCCGTACGCCGGCATGCTGGCGTGGTCCGACTACGTGGTCGTGACGGCGGACTCGGTCTCGCGACACCGCGCCGGGACGTGTGCCCGCCGGGCAGCACAGCTTCTCACCCCACCTCCCCGTCACCCGCCGAGGTGTCGATGGCGAGTGAGGCGGCGGCGGCTGGCAAGCTCGTGTACGTCGCTTCGGCTGAGGAGTGCACCGGTCGCGCCTCGCCGCCCACGCCCCCCCTTTTCCCCCCCTCCCCACGGTTCGGGGGGGGGCCCCCCCCCCCCCCCCCCCCCCCCCCCCCCCTCCCTCCCTCCCTCTGCGCAGGCCGGCTGGAAGCCTTCCACTCGTCGCTCCTCGCGTCGGGCCGCGCGAGGGACTGGGCCGAGGTGGCGGGGGTGGAGGGGGGGAGGCTCGCGCCCGGCGAGGCGTGGAGGCGGGGCGGCGAGGAGGACACCGCCGTGGCGGCGGCTCGAGTCGCGCAGCTGCTGCGAGCGCGCGCTTGGCTGCGCAACGCCCCCCTCCCTCCGGTCACGCTCGGCCGGCTACAGGAGCGGTTTGGCGGCGGAGGAGGGAGGGGGGCCGAGGGCGGTTGCGCGGCGTCGGATACTCAGCCCTATACGGCACCACCGCAGCCAGAGGGCGGCGCGCAGGGCGGTGCGGGGACGGAGGAACGGGTGGAAGCGCTGCCGTGGCCGTGGCCGCTCCGGCTGTACGGAGCCGCCTCCGAGGCTGCTGCTCCCCTGCTTGCGGCCGCAGCGAGCCTCAAGGCGGGGCGCGGCGGGGCGTTTGCAGAGTCGCTCTGCGTCGGCCCGCCGAAGGAGGCGGCGGTGGAGGCGGCGCGGCGGCGCGGCTACCTCCTCTGGCTGCACGGTGCGTCGGTCGGAGAAACGCTCTCTGTGCTTCCTCTCGCCCGGGAGCTGCTGCGGCGGAGCAGCACCGCCTCGGTGCTCATCACCGCCGGCACCGAGACCGCCCTCGCGCGTCTGCGGCTGGAGGCGCTCGGCCCGCGAGTCGTGCTGCAGCCGCGGCCCGTCGACGCCGCCTCCGTCCTCCGCCGCTTCCTTCGCCGCTGGAGGCCGGACGCGCTGCTGCTCGTCGAGTCGGAGCTGTGGCCGGCGATGCTGCGCGAGACGCGCGCGGCCGGCGTGCCGGTCGCCCTCGTCAACGGCCGCCTCTCTGCCGCGTCGGTGCGCCGCTGGACGCGGTGGCCGGCCTTGCACGCCAGCCTCGCCGCGCTCCTCGCCCGCTTCCGCCTCCTCCTCGCGCAGTCTGCGCCGATGGCCGACTTGCTGCGCGTCCTCGCGCCGGCCGCTACCGTCGCCGACCCGCTCCACGTCGGTGAGAGGAGAGGCGGGGAGGCGCAGCCGCGGCGCCGGCTCGCTCCGCACGCCCCCCCCCCCTTCTCTGCCCCCCCTTCCCCCAGGCGACCTCAAGCAGCTGCGAGGCGCGGCGCCCCCCTCCGACGAGGCGGTCGAGGCGATCCGAGCCGCCGTGCGCGCGGCGCCATGTGTGTGGCTCGCGGCGAGCACGCACGAGGGCGAGGAGGCGGTGGTGCTCGACGCGCACGCGTCGCTGCGGCGCCAAGGAGGGCCGGGGCCGCTGCTGCTGCTCGCGCCGCGCCACCCCGAGCGCGGCGCCACTGTCGCCGCGCTGGCCGAGGCGCGCGGCTGGCGCGTCGCCCGCCGGTCGCTGGGGCAGCCCGTGATCTGCGAGACGGAGGTGTACGTCTGCGACACGCTCGGCGAGCTCGAGGCGCTCTACGCGTGCGCAGGCGAGTTCGCGCTCACGCCCCTGCTTCTCGCCACCACCCGGAGACACGCTCCAACGGCGCCGCAGGCGTCGCCTTTGTCGGCGGGTCGCTCGTGCCCCGTGGCGGGCACAACCTGCTCGAGGCGGCCCGCGCGCCGGGCGGCTGCGCGCTGCTGCACGGCCCGCACATCGAGTCGATGGCGAGCCCCGCCGAGGAGATGGCGCGCACGCGGCCGCCGGCGGCGCGGCGCGTGGACGGCGGCGCGGAGCTCGCCGCCGCGGTGGGGGAGCTCCTCGGCGACGGCGACCTGCGGGCGCGCAGCAGGGCTGCAGCCGCGGGCGTGGCGGCCGCGCTCGAGCGCGGGCTGCTGGAGGAGACGTGGCGCACCTTGCGCGGCCCGCTCAATCTGCCCGACGACCTTGCCGCATCCAGCAGGAGCAGCCGGGCGCGGACTTGAGAGAGGTCTTTGAGTCTCTCGGTGACCTCCGGAGTCCGGTTTTTGTGGTCTCTCTCTTTTTGTGAGGATGTGACCGCTTGCGCGTAATCCACTATCCGTAAACCTTAATCTAATGAGCCGAAATCCAAAAGCCCGGAATGCCTTTCCGTTACTGGGCTGGGTTTTTAGGCATTGTGGGGTTGGCACTCCCATCGACCCTCATGACCTCCTGCGGTCTCTGAGATGGACACCAGTGGGTGTGGGACCACAGCCAGGATACACTCGAAGGCTGGGTAAGCAGTAGAGGTCGATACTCGACGCGTCCCACATGGTCTGTGTCGCTGTCGGCACGCTGTCGACAGGACGTCGAGCGACACCGGTGGCAGTGCCACCCAGGAGTGGTCGGGCGTTCTCCCGTCATGAGAGAGCCACCATGTAATCCGTATGATGATTCCTGACAACCGCCTCAGTCAACTTTTGTCACAGTTCCCGCTCTGAGAGGAGCTGCGGGTCAGTTCGACAGCTGGAGCTGTGTCGCCGGCGTGCGGTGGCCTGCCTCCGGAGGTGCCTCTGAGGTGGACATTCTTTGGTCACCGTGAGAGAACGCGTTCGAATTTTCACTCCGGAACTTCAACTGAGCACGCGCACCGGCCAGGGCTACAATAGTGCCAGTGAGGCGAAGGCGCGAGTCGGAAGGCCGCGACCGCGTGAGTTTCAGTGAGTTGGTCCCCCAATTTTCCTACAATACAATCGCTGTGAAGAGTGAACCCAGCCACGTAATGGGCTATGGGGAATGTCGAAGCACGAAGCCGCGGAAGCGCGGTGCGACCGCAACCCTGGTTTTTTACATGTGCACCGCCATGGAACTCGCATGGTACACCGCTCTCTTCTCTCGCTCAGCGTACCCCGGCACGCGAGACCACGGAGCATGGTCGACGTGTCACATTGTGCACTCGCCAAGCACGTCATTGCGCTACCCTCTCCCCCTTCAAATATAGCCAGGACGCACTTTAATCGCGTCGTCCATTACCGTCTCGTCGTCCATCCTGACGTGCCTGAGCTCTCTCTCTTGCCGAGCGTCGCGGACAGCGGCGATGCAGCAGTACGCCCCCCCGACGGTGCAGAACAGCAGCAGGACGGCCACGGTGAAACACAGGATGGGCTGGCCAATCCCCACTTTTGTCTTGCGGGCGCGCCCTCCCGTTGCGAAGGAGAAGCTCAGTTCGTCCTCGATGCCAACCAGACCAAACGCGTCCGCCAAGTGCGCCCGCCAGGTGTCGTCTAACCGCTCTAGGAATGGTGAGGAGGGCGGCGGCGGCGAGGGCGGCGGCGGTGATGGCGGCGGCGAGGGCGGCGGGCGCGGAGGAGGGCTCGGCGGCGGCGGCGACGGCGGCGGCGGTGATGGCGGCGGCGAGGGCGGCGGCGTGGGCGGTGAGGGCGGTGGTGAGGGCGGTGGTGAGGGTGGCGGCGGCGAGGGCGGCGGCGTGGGAGCCTTGCCTGGCGGCGAGGGCGGTGGTGAGGGCGGCGGCGGCGAGGGTGGCGGCGAGGGCGGTGGTGAGGGCGGCGGCGGCGAGGGTGACGGCGGCGAGGGCGGCGGCGTGGGAGCCTTGCCTGGCGGCAATGGCGGTGGTGAGGGCGGCGGCGGCGAGGGCTCCGGCGGCGAGGGTGGCGGCGGCGAGGGCGGCGGCGACGGCGGCGGCGGTGATGGCGGCGGCGAGGGCGGCGAGGGCGGTGGTGTGGGCGGCACACGCAAAACAACGCTAGCGCCCGCGCCGGCGGCGAGCCACCCCATCATTAGGAGCTCGAAGCAGCGCATCGTTTTTATGTGGCGGAGCGGGCAAGCCCGAGGGCGCACCTGTGGCTTTGTGTCTCCATGCCAAAAAAAGAATTGTAGAACTTCCCGCGTGCCACCGTCCCATCCTCCCTTAAAGGCGAAAGGGTCTAGATTTGGAGCGCTCGCCGAAGAGGAGTACGACAAAATAGAGCCCGTGATTGCCTGCACGCTACCCGCACTCACGGACTCCATACCCGAAAGAAAGAGAAGGGAGCTCGCGGGAGAGGTGACGAGTGAACTACAGGTAGTGGGGAAGGCAGCCTCGATTGCCATACAGACATGGGTGCGAAACAACGACAAGACCAAGGCACGGGCAGAGGAACGAGAGAAGAATATAGGGTGGATAAAGCGCCTGTTCACGGCATGGAGGGTGAGCCACACCGAACGTACCGAGCGAAGAGCCGAGCGGAAGGAGGACGGGGAAGATGACTCCGAGGAGGACGAACCAGTGGAAATCCAGTTGTCAGATGTCACGATGCATCCGAAGGGGACCCCAGCGGCCTCCTCTGAGCTCTGTCTGATCCCGCTGAGGGAGGGTGTAGAGGATGTAGAGTGTAGAGCGCTGTAGAGCTGTAGAGATGTAGAGCGCTCTGGAGCGCTGTAGAGCGCTGTAGAGCTTTAGAGCTCCACATCTGGCGCGGGACAGAGCGATGCAGATGTAGAGCGCTGCTGAAGAACGCGACATGAGTCGCGCCAGCGCGTGCGGGAGCTCCTGGCTGAGCGTTGAGTCCAAGCGAGTTGCGCTGGCCACGATCGCTACGCCGACCCGAGCTGACGCGCCGAGGCGCCGGCCAGTCGCAGCCGTGAGGCATGCCACAGCAACAGAGGCACCTGCCACCCATTGGGCAGGCAGACAGAAGACCAGGGCAGCACTGGCAGGTGCAACGCGCCTCATGTCGGAGAGAGCGACCGTGCCTCGTCCGCCCTTATGATGTAGAGTTTGTTGTAGAGATTTCACGCTGTAGAGGGCCTCTACATCGCTCTACAACGGAGGCGCTTCGTCCCGCGGCGGATGTAGAGCTCTACAGCGCTACATTGCTCTACAGCGCTCCAGAGCGCTCTACAGCTCTACAGCTCTACAGCGCTCTACACTCTTCATCCTCTACACCCTCCCTCAGTGATCCCGTTGACTCCGCGGACGGCGATCCCGTGCTCGACTCCCGTCTCCCCGGGGGAGGGCGGCGGCGTTGGAACGTACCGCCGCACCTCCACGAGCGGCTGGGCCAGCTCTCCCTAGTCGATGAATCGCGCCCGTGTCCGCGGTCTCTCTATCGTACCCGGGTACTCGGCTCGCCCCCCACCTCCGCAGACTCCTCAACGAGCCAGGGGTGGTGTGGGCTTCCTGGTCGTAAATCATGATGGTCCTGCTGAGCAGGAAAACATCGTTGCCGGGTAATCTGGACGAGAAATTTGGCCGACCGGGTAATCTGACGTGACAAATTTTAGCGACCGGGTAAGCTGAAACACGAATTGTGGGAGACTGGGTAAACTGGTTTGACGGAAATCGCGCTAAGCAGGAAAATATCGTTCGTCGGGTAATCTGCGAGGCGAATCTCAAAAACCGGGTAATCTGAAATTTATCCTTTCAAAAATCTCTCTCTAGGCCACGACGGATCTCTGTCGCACAACACTGGGCACGGGACACTGGCGCGCACTGGCACTGACACAGGTACAGGTACCCACCGGGAGCCGCCCCGAAGAAACGGAATTTCCGCTTCTGGATTTCTGGGACCGGGGGCGCCCCGCGGCGCCCCAGCCCGGTGTCCTGAGATGGCGGTGCTGAGCGGGGGCGCATCATGATCTGCGGGGAGGGCTCGACGGCGCACCCCCCCGCCGCCTGCCGGCTCCAGGTGGCGGAGGTCATACTGACCTGGGGGGGGGCGTTGGAATGCGGAGCTCTTCGCACTCTCCAGGGGTTTGAGCGATGTCTCGCTCCACGAGTACCTCTCTTTCGTACTCTCTGACTCTGTTTGTTGTCTTGCGTGACACTTGTGCCTCCACACTGATCACTGTCCGGTGTGACTCCTCGTGTCACGCACGCCGATGCGGCTGGCTTAGTTGTTCGTCGGCGGCTTCCAGCTCTCTTTCTGTCTGTCCTTGTCTGTACTTGGCCTATGCTCTCGGCCTCCTCCGCGCGCCGCCGGGCGCGAGTGGAGCCCTCGTGCTCCCGCAATCAAACAAACGGAGCGATGCGAACGTGGCATTCGCCATTCCGCATTCGGGTGATCAGATCACTACTACCGAAGCGCTTGCTAAAACAAATATCCAGACTAAAAAATAACGCACTCCGCCTCCTGCCTCGCTACCCAATTACAACCAAAAAAAATCCACCTCAAAAACCTCAAAAACTCCCCCACAAAAACTCCCCCAAGGCTCCATCGTAAAAAAGGCGCTCCCAAAAAAAAGCAGCGTTGCAGCTTCTGCATCGTTCTTCAGCTCGCATGCTCGCTCTAGCCTCGTTTGGACTGGCGGGCTCACCGCAGCGCCCTGCGGTGCCGCACGGCGTGGCGCGGGCTCGCCTGCCCGTCGCCGCCGTCGCCGAGGAGACGGTCGCAGAGGACACCTGGGCCGGCGCCGAGACGTGGTCCAAGGCATTTGCCGAGCCGGAGGCCATCTTCGAGATCAACCGCATCAAGGAGATCCTGCCGCACCGTTACCCCTTCCTGCTGGTGGACAAGGTGATCGAGTTTGAGGCCGGCAAGCGCTGCGTCGGCGTCAAGAAGGTCACGTCCAACGAGGAGTTCTTCAACGGCCACTTCCCGCAGCGGCCAATCATGCCGGGCGTGCTGCAGGTCGAGGCAATGGCGCAGGTGGGCGGCCTGGTGGCGCTGCAGGAGCCGATCACCGACGGTAAAGGCGATTTCTTCTTTGCGGGCGTCAACAACGTCAAGTGGCGCCGGCCGGTCGTGCCGGGCGACACGCTCGTGATGGAGATGGAGCTCACGGCGTTCAAGGCCAAGTTCGGCCTGGTCAAAATGAAGGGTGTCGCCTACGTGGACGGACAGAAGGTCGTCGAGGGCGACTTCCAGTTCGCGATGGTCAAGTAGTTGCCTCGTTCCCAAGTACTACCTTGAGTGATCATTCAACCAACATTAAATCGACCTCTGTGTTCACACACGCGGCTCTTTTATTTTGTGTGTGCTCGACACACTCTGATACACACGCTCACAGCAGGCCGACACCTGTCCTCGCCGATCACTACAAGGGCGCAACTCGAGAGCTCTCTCCCACAGACCTACCACAGACTCAAGACACAAGAGCGCGGGTGCGCGGCCGCGGGTCCACACCCCCGCAAGCTGCAGCGTCGCGCCGCGCAGCAGTGCGGAAACGGGGCTCCGGCTCTACTAGTCTCTACTAGCACCGACTTCCCGAATGAGTACGGTTGAGTAGAGGGCAGATTTGGAGAGATCTCGAGGAGTACACATACAGGTAGACCCTCCAATCATCAGAAAACTCCAAAACCTGATCGGTCGTACTGACCGCCGACAGATCACTCCAGTAGAGCTGTTTAACGTTGGGAGCTGAACAGTGTTGCTAGTGTTAACAGTAACAACAGAACAACAGTGGGGCTCCCCAACAACAGTAGCTAACGTTAGGCCGGCTGAACAACAATAAGGAAGGCCTGGCAGTGACCCACGACGATCTCCAGCGTCCAGTGCGGGTAATACCCGAAAATACCCGGAAAAACCCAGGTATTTTCGTTCGGGTCCTACCCGGTTTTTTTGGCATTTTCTGCTTGCTGACCGCTGAACAACAGTAACAACAGTAACAAACAGTAACAGCATGAGCTGGGGTGAACACTTGAACAACGTTAAGGATTTCACCCAACACTAGCGCAACTGTTAGGGTTAATGTTAAACAGCTCTACACTCCAGACAGCAGACAGGCCGACGTCTGCACACGGCCGGCCGGGCGAGAGGCTTGACACGATCCGACCCTGCGACCCTGACGCTGCTGCTCTAGCTATCAGACATGCACTGCTGACTGCTGCCACAATGTGCGACCGGTGCTGACCCACTTGGCGGCCTTCCCGGTCAGTGGTGAGGCGCAGTTCAGAGCTGTCGATGGCGCGATGCCGCACTGGTCCCACATTGGTAACACGAGACCACCACGTTTGCCGGTCCAAGAGAGAGGCACTGGTGCTGTCCTGAGAAGGTGCGTGGTCCCTCTTGACTGCCCATGCGCGCGAGGCTGTGTAGGCATAGCCTCGAGAGTGCCAGCAGCCAATCCGAGGCAGTTTGTGACGCGCATTGCGTCAGAAGCGTGCACGCAGCTGGAAGGACACCTTCCTACTGGCCGTACGATCAGGTCGTCACTGAATGGTGGATACTAAGGCCGCGAGCTATGCAGGTGATCAGTTGTGCAGCATGGCACGGTCAGCAGCGCCGACAGGCTGTCGCAAGGCGTGATAGCATGGCCGCAAGTACGCCGAATTCCCATGAAAACAAGTGAAAAATCGCGCAAAAAAATCCCGAAAAAATCGGCGCCTGCGGCGGGCCATGGGACCCCATCGCCCCCCCGCATGGACACCCTCTGGGCCCCCCGCGCCGGCCCAGAGTCGGTTAGCCGTGCCAAAAAAATCGGCGCCTGCGGCGGGCTGCGGGCTGGGGGGCCCCATCTCTCCCCCGCATGGGTACCCCCTAGGGCCCTCGCCTCCCCCCAGAGCAGCGTCGCCGTCGAGGCTCGAGCGTGAACATGTGCGCGAGCCAGCGCCTACACTTAAGAGTTGACTCACACGCTAGGAACCACTCGGCCCACCCACAGGCCCAATCTCAAGAGTCAAGTGGCGGCGCTCCGCGCCTGTGCAGCGGCGCGCTCCGCGCGTGTTCTGCAGCGGCGCGCTCCGCGCGTGTCTCTGGGCGCTACATGCGGCCGTCGCCGTGCCCTTCATCAACCGTGCGCTCGAGAACTGGGGCGGGCTCAACTGGGAAGACCGCTTTCACCACAACGACAGGTCACATGCACAGAGCTCAGAGGGGCGGCATTGGAGCTTCGCTGCAGCGGGGTGTGGTCATGACGCGGAAGAAGGCAGAGACACAGCGTCTGCCAGACGCGTGCTACGACGTCAGGCCAGCTTCGAAGTAGCGTGGCCACAACTGACTGCAACAGATTGTCTTCATGTGTCTAGACTCTACCGGTACTGTGGTGCGCTCCGCGCACATAGGTGCCAGCGTGCTCCGCGCGGTATCTAGCCAGCGCGCTCCGCGCGTGTGTCTAGCTAGCGCGCTCCGCGCGTGCGTCCAGCTAGCGCGCTCCGCGCGTGTGTCCGGGTAGCACCAGCGCGCTCCGCGCGCACGATAATCCAGTGCCTACACTTGTAGGCAAGCTGAAAGCTTGTTTCTGCAGCTTGGGTCCACACAGACAGAGGCTGTCACGAAGTCAGTGCTCAGTCTCTCGGCTCAGAGTGACAGTGTACACAGTGAGATCCTGAGATGTGAGTGCGTTCGAAAACCCCTTAGGCCCTTAGGACCCCCCCCCCCCCCACACGCACACACAAACACCTCATCCAACATCCTCAAAAAAGAATGCTGTACTCGTCTCGCTCGCAACTTACACGGCAATTACGCCATATGTTTATTTAAGAGTGCACACCACAGTGCACTATATAGTCTATATAGAGCTCATACACCGTTAACGATCATGTAAGCGATGTACGGTCGGCTCACGCGTTGGACCACAACGCAATTGTGTGTTACAACACGTGCGGTGTCGGCAGGTCTCCGTACCTCCTCGCAAGGCCGGCCAGCTGCTTTGGGTCGTACCCCACTGGGTAGCGCACGCCCTGCTCGCGGTGCGACTGGTCGTCGAGCCGCTCGTAGCTGCCTCCGTCCCCCGGGCGCAGGCAGGTCGCCACCGAGGCGCAGCCGAGCGTCTCGAGCAACCACTGCGCGAGCGGCGCGTCAGTCGTGCCACGCAACTCCGGCGCGAGGGCCGGGTCGAAGGGAAGGAGTGCGAGGGAGAGGGTCGCGCTGACCGGGCGGTGGTCCGAGGTCTGCAGCTGTGGGTGGGCCATGTACGCCTTTGGGGGGGGGGGGGGGGGCAGGAAGAGGGAGGGTGAGACGAGGAGGAGCGGCGGAGGGGGTAGCTCTGGCGCGCGAGGGGCGGCGAGGCGGCGGGGGCTCGCCACGCAGCGCAGGCCACGAAGCAGGCCACGAAGGAGCAGCACCGGATGGCGCGTGAGTGCGTCTGGCGCGTGAGTGCGTCTGGCGCGTGAGTGCGTCTGGCGCGTGAGTGCGTCTGGCGCGTGAGTGCGTCTGGCGCGTGATTGTCTGGCGTGCGGTCGCCTCACCTCGCAGGCCAGGCTCGGCCCTATCTCCCCGTATCTCCCCGTATCTCCCCTCACCTCGCAGGCCAGGTTCGGCTCGTCCCTCCACAGGACGCGGTCGCAGTACGCTGGAGCTCGCCTGCTCGCGGAAACGGAGTGAGCACACCTCCCCTCCACGGGCCGCACCTCGCCAGCTGCGCGCGCCGCTTCTTGGACGAGTCGAGAGTGTCTGTGCCGCGGTCGAACTTGTACGTCGGCGCGAAGTGGATCGAAGCCTCGGCGAAGCCTTCGAAGGCGTGCGCACCCTCGCGGGAGGCGAGCAGCTCGTCCGCCTGAAGCAGCGAGTGGAGAGGAGTTCACGCAAGCCTCCGCCACACCTCGCCGCCGGGCTGGCGGAGAGCAGCTCGCCTGCAGCATCTCTGCGTGTCTAGGAAGTGTCTAGGAAGTGTCCAGGAAGTGTCGCCTGCAGCATCTCTGCGTGCCTAGGAAGTGTCTAGGAAGTGTCCAGGAAGTGTCGCCTGCAGCATCTCTGCGTGGCGGCCGGCGGCGGCGAGGGATCGGGCCTGGCACGAGGCATGCCAGCTCGGTGAGTCGCTCCACTGGCTGGGAGGGGGCTGGGAGGCGTGTGGGAGGGCGCAGGGAGGCGTGCGCGTGCGAGGGTAGACTGGGAGGCGGGCGGGAGGCGGGCGGGAGGCGGGAGGCGGGAGGCTGTGCGCGTGCGTCGCAGGCTGCGCCTCCTCGTTTGGCAGCGAGAGGCGATAGTTGAGGTCGCCGCACCAGACGAGGAGCTGGCGGCCAGACAGGGCGGGGTCGGTGCTGATCGCGCCGCCCTCCCGCCGCTGGTCGAGCACGCCCAGCCGCAGCCGCCGCATCACTTCGTGGAACTCTGCGTTCCTCCGGTGCGGCCCCTTCTTCCCGGCGGCGAGGTGGCAGCAGAGGAAGGTGAGGCTCGAGCCCTTGAAGAGGAGGGTCGCCGCCACCGCGCCCTTGTTGCCGAAGCGCAGCGGCCCCGTCCCCGCCAGCTGCGCCTCCACCGCCACGTGCGGCGCGAGGGACGGAGAGACGTACACAAGCAGCACCATCCCGACCAGCTGCAGGCTGGCGACCCGCTCGAGCGAGCCGAGCTCGGCGCTGACGGCCGCCTCCCACGCGGCGGCCTGCCGGCTCAGCCCGCCTCCCGCGCAGCATCGGCAGTACGAGAGCACCGAGTCGAGCTCGACCACCTCCTGCAGCGCCACGGCGTGGATGTCTGCGCCCGCGCCCGCGCCGAGCCACTCGCCGAGGCCCTCCGCCGGAGGAGCGGTCTGAGCGACGTTCCAGGTGGAGACGACGATGCGGAGGGCGGGCTCGGCGGGAACGCGCCGGCACATGTCTGTATACATACACAACAGTCGCGCGAGCAAGGGTGGTACACAACAAGGTCGTCGGCTGAAGCAAAGAGAAATTCGGGCCGTCCAAAATATGCCGGGCTGAGGGCAGAGCTGCGACGAAAGGCGAGAGAAGAAGCGAGAGCAAGGGATCGGCAGGCGGCGGCGGCGTCGCAGAACGAGGCAGAGGAGAGCGACGCGACAGAGGAAGAAGCGAGCGACAAACAAGAGAGAGAACGAAGAGAGTGGGACGACGACCGCGAGGGAACGAAGGTTGCAGCGAGAATCGGCGAGAGACTGCGAAGAGAGATAGGAAGAGGCGGACGCCCAAGGGTGGGCGACGGCTAGCGCATCACACCCCTCTCCTTAACATCCATCCCTGTGTGGTGGCGCTGGCGGCGTGCCGTCCTCCCATCCCTCCCTTGGATTGTCTGATTTCTTTCTTTCTTTTAGGTGTGGTTTATTTTTGTTTGGGCGGCCAGCATGCTGAAATTCTGGAAACCCTGGCCGGCCCCTGCGGTGCCCCTACCTACCTACCTACCTACCTACCCTACTTAAGGAAGGTAGGTAGGTAGTAAGGTGAAGAACAGCCAGGCTCGGACTGGACACCAACGCGGTATGGGTGGACGCTGGACAGATGATGACGACACGCACGAGCGACACACAGACACAAACAAGCTCACAAGACACACAGCCAGCTGGCTGCCACACACCCTGAGTCGGCGTACACATAACTCAGGGCCACATCCTCCTTGTCGCCCCCCCCAGCACTCCACGGTGCCAAGGGCACAAACAAGGGAGAGAGAGAGAGAGAGAGAGAGAGAGAGAGGCAGTAGGTGGGCGAGCTTCAGGCACGCTCATCTCGATCGTCAAGACGTTGCTACGCGCGGTCTTCCGCGGGGGGAGCTGCGTCGACGGGTGCGGGACCGCGGCGCAGCCAGTGCCGCGGCGAGGCCTCCGGCTGTTTGCGGCGGGCGGCTTGCTGCTCGCTGCGATGGCGAAAAACTCGTCTCGCCACACGCCAAGGGCTTATGCTCTGGCGAGACGTGAGGCGCATGCGCCCAGGAGGGGAGGGGGCATGTGTAACGACACTGCTAGAGATGCCTTTCGGGGCCCAGAGATAAAACTTCTGTGATGCCATGCGTGACCTAGTAGTGTCCCCAGCTATGGGCGTGTCCACGTTGGAGCCAGGTGTGGTGTGGGCGCGAGAATAGCTCCGCCGTTCATGGAGGCAACCGATGCGAGTCGACTGGTGTGTGTCGTCGTGGTTTCGTATCAAGAATTCTCTCTCTCCACAAACAAGGGCACAACTCAAACAACAGACGACAGCAAGTGACATGTGAGGCTAGAGCAGCGTGCTCCACCTCTAGCAATCTCACCGGCCTGCGAGGCACGGACGAGGAAAACTAAAAAAAGAAATCATAGGTGGGAGTGAGAAGGTGGCTATACCAATTAAAGTGATATGGGTGGTGGTACTCTCCTCACTCCTGCAACCACAGTCCTTCCTGTGACATGGCAGGCCACTCTCAAGCCCTACAAGCACCAGATCACCTTGCTTGGGGAGGGTATAAAGAGAGCAGTCATCTCCAGGAGAGAGAGGTGGGGCGTCGCACGAACACAGGCACAGTGCGCACCCCCCCCACACCTGGCGGACGTGGAATTTTGCGATGTCCCACGACTCGCCACAGACCGTCGCCGCGCCGCTGCACGAGGCGTCGTCGCGCCGGTCATCCAAGCTCGTCTCCACACTGCCGAAAAGCACTCTTCTTCCATCGCCGGCGCTCGAGGCGCTCCTCGGCGACCGCGAGGACGACGACACGCCTCTCACGCCGCAGCAACTCGTGCAGCTGCTCGTCGACGCGGGGCACTTGACGCGCCAAAACGTCGCCAAGGAGCGCTGGCGCACGCTGCTCCAGCCCGCGCTGCGGATGGCGCTGCCGGCCGACGACCCTTGGCACAGCATGGACGTGCACTCCCTCGCCACCGAGCTCGCCAAGCGCTGGGACTACAACTCGAGTACGCGGAAGTGGGAGCTGTCCGAGGTGATGGTCAAGTTGGAGAGGGAGCCCTTCGCCGAGGGCGCCATGCGGGAGTGCTACCGCATGAAGAAGATGTCGCAGGTGCTGTGCTGCATGCGCACCGGCGTGCCGCCCGTCGGATGGCGTGATGTGTCGGCCGCCTTCGCCGCAGGTGTCGCCGTCCTTCTTCTACCGCATGGACTGGGCCGCGTGCAACAACTACGTCGCCAAGCGGTACAAGAAGCGCGAGACGGGCCGCGGGACCTACTTCTCCGACATCGAGATGCAGATGCTCTCCAAGCGCCTCTCGCGCCACTACAACGCCCTCGCGCCTCCAAAGGCGGTCGACTTCCTGCACGCGTTTGTGATCGAGGTGGAGCGCGGCGGCGAGCAGATGCTCTTCTGTGTCGAGCGCGCCATCGAGCGCGGCTCCTACGTGAAGCACAACAACAACGCCGGCTCGCTCGACTTCGACGGTGTCGTTCCGAGCGGAGGCGGCGGACGGCGGAGCCTCGCCCGAGCCCTCCCGCGTTCGGTCACGCGTAGGCTTGCACCGCGCCACGCCCAACGCCTTCTCGCGCTTCACCTTCCACGCCTCGCGCGGCGAGCTGATGGTGGTGGACATCCAGGGCGTGGACGACGTGTACACGGACCCGCAGGCCCGCCCTGCCGCTTTCCTCCTCCCCGCTCCCCGCTGCACCACCACTCCACCGCACCACCGCCCGCCACTCCTCTGCCCCCCCCACCCCCCCCACATCCGCAGGGGAGACAGAGAAGGGGGATTGTGCTCCCCAATATCAAATCAGGGATTGAGCTGCCAGAGTAAGACAGGATCCCCCTACGTTGAACCCGACCCACGCGCGACGCCCCCTGCTCAGAAAAATAGGCCGCCGGCATGGAATCCCCACCCCGCTGAACGGGGCTCAAAAGAGCCCTTCTTTTCGATAACTACTCTCAACCTGCCCGAGTTGGCGAATCAGGCC